TCCGTCACCGACGCCGCAGAGTCTACCTCAGACGACCCCGACAAGCCCGACGACGAGTACCGCCGCGCTCACCGCGCCCCCAACGAGTTCCGCCTTTCCCACCGTAGCTCCGACGAGGAGGACCCCGGCCCGTCCTTCGTCCCGCAGCCCGAGGACCCGGGTCTCCACTTTCTGCACAACCCCACCTGGTGGATGGGCACCTTCCTCATGGCCGCGGGGGAGGTCGGCAACTTTGCCGCCTTCGCCTTCGCCCCGGCTTCCCTCGTCGCCCCGTTGGGCGCGTGGAGCGTCGTCCTGTCCGCCATTCTGGCACATGTCTTTCTGCATGAAAATGTTTCCAATCGCAACCTCCTGGGCATTGCGCTTTGCGTCACAGGCGCTTTTCTTATAGGCGCCGCAGGACCAGACGTCTCAGCTGCAGAGAGCGCTCTAGACGCCGACGCCGTTACCCGCTTGCTCCTCCGCCCGCCGTTCGTTGCCTTCATGCTTATCACACTTACAGCTACAGGTCTCCTCATCTACCTCTCCCACCACACTACACTCGGCGCGCAATATATTTTCGTTTACGTTGGCGTTAGTTCCCTTCTGGGTGGCGTCACAGTCGTCTGCGCAAAAGCTCTTAGTACCTTCCTGCGCCTCACCATCGAGGGAGATTCCCAGTTTGGCAACTGGCTTCCGTTTGCGCTTGGCCTTGTTTTAGCCATTGCTATTCTCGCCCAGTTGAGATACCTCAATCTCGCCATGGCTAGATTTGGAAACGCCCAAGTTATTCCCGTTTATTATGTTTTGTTTACCACTTGCGCCATGTCGTCCGGCGTTATCATGTACCGCGAATTCGATGCCCTTACTTTGGGGAACATCCCCTTCTTTTTGGGTATCTGCTCAACGATGTGTGGTGTGTTTCTGGTGTCGAAAAGTGCAAAGGCAGAACAACAGAAGGCAGACGCTTCCGGAATGCGAAAGGGCTCCCCTAGAAGAAGAAAGACGGCCATTGATTCAGACTACGAGCCGATGATCCCAATCTCCCCGATGTCTTCGCCGCGCAGTCAACCACAACAGCCTTGGTCGTAGGCAGGAACCTGGACTTCAAGACTTGGGCTCAAGAGTTTGCTCGTCCCGAGTTTATTTAAGTTTCATACGATTCATCAAGACTCGTCAGGGCTCCGTACAACCCGCTGATTACGGCTGATTTTCAGCTTTAGGAATCTTTACTACGATTGGTTTGCATAGTCGCGTGGACGAGGGTATCAGACCTGAAGTGTTCAGTCGTACCTGCAATGTTGCATTTCACGATAATCTCGATGTATTTATCCATTCCCCTCATCGCGCTTCTGTGAAGACATTGATCCGTATTTCGTACCCTCTCCCGGAGTCTTGAGACCTGTGATCACTTCGCTCTCCGCGGCAATAGAAATCTGAGTTGCCGGGATGGGGTCATGAACATACGGCGGAAATGGGCCAGATTGTCGTCGAACTGTCGCTCGCCAATTCGTGAAGAAAGATGCTAAATACCGAGCGGTGGTAATGATAGATTCGAGCCGATTGACTTTCGCTCTGGGATATAATTTCTCACCCCTCACTCTGTTTTGTGAATCTATGAGAGTATAAACAGTTAAGACGGAAGCCGTCAATGTAGATATCGTCGCTGTTCCTGAAGCAACATACATGATCACCAATTGGTACTTTGCCGCTAGGCTGGGGGGTGTACCTCCGATGATCTGGCGTCACACATTCGAGTAGTTGCAAGTAGTGCGATGTTATTATTTTTGTTTTGTTCGAGGTCATTGGATGCGTTAGTTAGCCTAGATCCTCGACTAGCCCTAGAAGGCATGTTCATAGGAAACACTGGACATGAGAATATGCGACGGCCATGAGTGCGATAAAAGTGTCGTTAACATGTGAGACGAGGCATGTGAGGCAAACTTACCTGTCCGGTCATCATTCCTGAATGGGCAGGACTCGACACAAGCAATGATGCGCATAGGAAGTTAGAAACTGACATTTTGAAAAATGACACCTTGGATACACCGACTGCTCCAGCATGAACGATGAAGGCGTGGTTGGATGAAGTCATCGATACTACTTACCTGGAATGCTTACAAGGCCCGTAACACTCATGGTATTCAGAGTTGGAGTGAGACCTAAAAGGACACTTGACCTCATTACATCGTACGAGGCCTCCCATTTGCTTGCTCCAAGCGCAAGTAGATTCTCAATATTACTCTTACGTTCGGCAAACTCAGTAACTATGTTGGACAGTGCGACGCTCAGAGACGACATGGACTGCCCGGTAATCATACCAATGATTGGAATGCAATACTGCGCATCAAGCCCGGTCCCTAGCACTACGGTAAACGTGAAGAGGCCAAACATTGCGACCGTAGCCGTGATAGATATGAAGCAAACGACTACCATGGCGTCAAACACGTACGGCGGGCGAGCGGATGCCTCCACAGCCGCGACGAGCATCATGAGTGTTATATAGGCCAAGACTACGGGAGGGTAGTTGTACATGATGATCGGGACCAGAACCAACCCTAGGGCGGACAGCTGGACTAGACATCGCCCCGCGGCGACAGCGAGTTTCCACTCAACGCCCAAATCAAGACGATGGCTCGCGAGAAGAGCTACTCCCAAACAGACCACCAGTGATGCCAGCTGTAGGTTGGAGACAAGGACGACGCCGTTCGAAGCGAGGTTACCACCTGCCCCCTTGGCAAGCAAAGTTGCGTTTTCTGACAACTCCATAGCGCTGCGACTGGCGTCCAAGGCTGTAGCAATTTTGTACTTCTCCGAGCAGGAAAGAAAAGGCCACAGGAAAGTAGCTGTGTTAGAAAACTTCGCAGAAAGTCAATGAAACAAGTCAAGGGAAGCTTCTGCGAGCTTAGCTGATAGCCGGGAAACGTTATCGCTGGTGATCACGGGACGCAGGGCAAGACGTGTATTGCTGGCTACAGAGCTGAAGCCATTTCTGAACACACATAAAATAACGTAGGATCGAATCGAATTTTGCTGGTTTCCTTTTCGTGCTTGTGTGAGGTGACTCAATAATCATTCTACAGTACAGCACAGTATTACTGCACACGTGAAAGATAAAGATCTGACATGTGCCGAGCGAGATGACGGAGTTGACCTTGGAGGTTGACTGTCACACCAGCCTGAAGAAAATCTGAATCTCCTCTTCGAAGACATACGTCAGTGCTGTGCCGGGTCATGGAAGGGCACTTACAGTACATGAGCCTGCGGTGCAACACTCGTTCTGCATCTCTTCCTGCAACTTAGTGAAAAGGATAAGACTACTTAAACTTGCTGCAGCTTCCGCCTATGTCATGTAAACAGACTATTACATTTGCGGAACAGCCAGGGAGCTCTTGAAGAACAAAATTCATAATCTGATCTAAACATCATAGTGTAGAGCTGAGATTCAAAGCCACATAAACCTTTTTTTCTGTACCTACTGCCAAGCCTCGATAGATGAATGAGAACAGGAACTGGAGACTTCAATTATTTGTGCAGGTTCTTCACGGGTTAATGTAACTATTTCTGGAAACCACCTTCCATGGATAGTTATGGTGCTTAGAAAAGGGGAAGGAGTTAAAGCTGAGGGATGCACTTCTGTTCTGTGTTTAACGATCGGCAGGAGCCAAAGTATCGTAGATGTGAGTGGGTCGCCATAGGCTTTATGACTGCAATCAGTAGAAATTTGCAAGGCTTAAGCTGCAAAATGTGACCCCAGCTTATCTCAGAAGTGCCAGAAGTTTATTCATTTATGTCTTTTTTTGAATATGTGACATAAATGAGCGCCGTAGGGGTCTCCACTGTTGGTATCACAGTCTTTTATTCATATAGGCGTGTTTATTCACTGGTCGGGTAGGTACAGTATTCCTTTATTGGGGTTTGACTGTGGGAGTGTTGCACGTAGCGGATTTGTGAAAATTCTCCAGAGCGACAGGTGTGAAATTGCGACTCCTGGTCTTCCTGGAGAAGACGTTGCGTTGGCCATTACAGTAAAGCGTAGTGCTTCATAATGCCGATAGAACACTTGCTCGCATTTGAATAGAGCTTCCCTCGCCCCCCGAGAGCGGCGGCGAAGTGCGACGGCAAGCATAATAGTTGGCTGTGCGCACGCCGCGGGCACTCGCAGAGGGACACACGAAATTCACTTCAGTAGAAGAGTGTTCTATTTGTTTTGCGTCGCGTCTGTACTGCGCCTCGCCCTCTCTTCGTCTTATCCGCCACCCACACGGCGAGCGCAACAAGTGAATTGTATTAATAGTGCGCACGAGCGAGAAGCAACACCTCACGTTCTCACGACACAGATCGCCCGGGAAATCTCTGGTACAAATTCAACAAAGCAAATGATGTACCCGGATCAATGTCTCATACGCACGATGGTGTTTGTATTTACCCGTACTGTAACAGAAGAGCTTCTCTCCACGAATTGCATCGCCACACAAGCGAAAGGTACTATATGCGCAGAAATGCATTAAAAGTCCTTTTAAATATGCTCTTCAGACTGAGATTTTCTTTGCTTCGCCACCCAGGAGTTTTTCCCTTTGCATTTAGCGTTGTGTCGCCAACTTGCAGAGGCGGGTCATTTAGAAAGCGTGGGATGCAAGCAAGAGGCTTATAAAGTCGTAGGGACAGGTGCTTGCAACACGCACTCATACTGCATGCAGTGCAGTGCAGTACCCTTCTCACTGGTATAATTTGGACACGTTAAGGATTTTCCTGAAATCGGTCATTTTACCCCTCTACTGGCCGGTTTTTCGGTACCAAAAAATCAATTTTTGGCCGCTCCATGTGCCATCCGGCACAATTTGGGTACCCACATAAATACTTTACATCGGAGTTGCGATCCCAGCGAACTCCGCGCCGCGACGTGCTGCCGATCTGCACGAGTACTCTCTTCCCTCCCTTATCGACGAAGCGGAGAACGTCTAGGCCACTTTTTTAAGGAAATATCATCCAGAGAAGTCCAAAAACTGCTCTCTAAAGTGCGAACAACCTCCTCTCTTCCAACAGGCGCCTTACTTCCCTTCTCACCAACTGACCTTGTTGACACACGCCGCCCGCGTGCCTTGATAGCCAGTGTGTGTTTACTGTCCACATTTCCACATCTCGCAGGCTGTGAGAGCATCTGAGGGGCATTGCACGTCAGAAAAGCCACGCCTTTCATGCTTCTAACACTCATACGATGCTTTGAGGGCGTCTACTGCTTTCTTTAATATTCCCAGTTATAGAAAAACGCGTTTTGCGCTGCTAGCGCGTTCTTCTCTACTCTTTTTGATTCGTCACTTGTGTGCGAGGGTTTGAGCTCTCATTTCCGGCGGCATACCGCCACCGTCGAGCCAGGAGGCGGACAGAGAAGAGGAGGAAAAAGCTTTACTGTCCAGGTGCTGGGTGCGTGTATGTGTGTGTGTGAGAGATGGACTCTGCATAGTTGTGGAAGGCGGGGAGGGCAGAGGATCGTGGGTTGAAATGTGCCCAAAATACACCATTACCCAAATTATACTACAGTAGTGAGAAGGGTACTGTTGTAAAATCGTTGCTTGTCATACTGTACCAACAGAGAGCGTATGTTGGTACTGTAATGTGTAAAACGTGTTCAACCTGTATCTACCAGTTCACAAATACTGTGCGCTAACACGTAGGCTGGTTCACAACTGTACCCTTACAGGTGCAGCATTTCGTGCCAAATGTGGTGCAAAAACACGCTTGAAAAAGTGTTTTCATTGGATGTGGCTATCCATTGCTATTCTACAGTTGTACAGAGCAGTGATCAAGATGTGCGTCTGCTGTCTGATAAGCATACGTCGTCTCCCATGAGCAGCTAGAACGGGCCAGTGTTGCGCCCCTGCTTTCAAAACGCTTCGTCAGGGGCTTTCGACTCGACCTGCTTCAGCTGTCTTCGCTGCGCCTTCCGGTCTCCCTGGGACACAGCGAACGAACCCGTGTCAAGTCGAATCTCGTGGCGTACGCGAATCCACATCGCTTCAACGGATTTGTTTTTGTGTACCAGAAGTACGGAAAAGGCATAAAGCACATCACGCTGGGTCACATGTTCCATCGGGTGTCAAGGGAAGACAACCTTTGAAGTACAGGTACTGCAGTTGGCCTTCTTCAGAGAGAAACGACGCTATCAATCCTGTACAAAAAAAAAACGTAAACGATGTTTACTTTTGGTGGAATTTAAAATTTGTAAAAAGGGGCGGTGGCTTGAAGAAACTGCTACTATGTTGAGTGGGTGTCGCCAGGGGAATACAATATTTCAGATCCAGGTTGAAGTGACGGATCTTCAAGGGTGGGACCCTCTTGCTATGACCAAGAGACAGTGATCATACTATATATCCCTTCTCCGTAGAATCCCTAAACGTGTATCTTGCGGGAAGGACAAAGCCTTTTCATAGGACAGAGCCTTTTCCTTCACGCAAAATAGTGTGTCTTGGTCATAGCGTGTGCTCTCAGCTTTTCCTGTACAGTACCCTTGACGGGTGGGGGTGCTCTAAGGGTACCGGAAAAGCGGAGTCATGCTATGTATATGATATATGCGTATTTTGCGAGGTCGCGATACGTCGTTGAAACGTTAGAACAAGACCTCATTTCATCAGAAGTAAAAACAAGGCGCACAGACTAGCATGTCGAGGAAAAGAAGTGGCAAGTGAGAGATATTCAAGGCGCGTTTATTGATACGCTATCTCAAGAGCGAATGAACGCTTTGATGTACGCTGCGTCAAGTCTTCATTGTGTACTCAACTTGAAACAAACAGGCATGAAGTCTCAGGGACGGCACGGTTGTTGTTGACAACCTCATACGAAGCCTCTTAGGACTCCGGCGGAGGGACGAGCCAAATAGGGAGTGTGCAGTTTCCAACACAGTAGAAGAGCTGTTCTTGCCATTGTAGGGTTTACTTCAGGGAGCGGCACCTGTTCTTAACAACAAATAACGGGGCGCCCGACAGGGAGGGCTGGCGGGAAAAAGGGTGTACAGCACACAAGAGGAGGCAATACCACGCGTGCTGTAGAAGAGGCGTCTCCAGGCCGGCAACCGTATGATTCCGCAAATAAATGGCAAAAAAGAGACCACAATGGGAATCCACACAACCACTCCCCCATCGCCAGGTGGCGGCACCCAACGTTCAAAGGCAGGACGGCCGATGCTGTCAAAAATACTTGTCACTCTCGCGTTGGTCGAAAGAGCCTTGTAGCCGGGAAAGCACCGTCGTCCGCCATGCAGCGCGCATCCGTTTGCCCACATACGCCTCCGCCAACGCCTCTGAAACAACCCTTTGCACCTTTCACACCTCACTCCTCACTGCCCCGCCACAATTCCTCTGCCCGCTCAAAACCATCCCCCCTTAAAGTCGTCGTAGCTCCGTCCCTTTCTTCCCTATTCTCTACTCGCCCGGCCCTTCGCTTTGTTGCGCCTCCCTTTAGCCAGGCATGGCCCGAGCTGCGTGTCTGGGTGTTGACACACCCATCCTTTGCCTTCCCCCGGCTACAGGCCAACTGCCAGAAGAAGGAGGTGTCGTCGTCTCCTCCCCAGCTACACCCTATCGGAAGCCCATCGAACATGCAGGCCACTCTTACCAACAACAGCTCATCCGTACCTACGCCCTCAACGCACCCGAAGAGCTCCTCCATCCAGCTGACTCTAACAAAAACAAGCAAGCAAAGAGCGCCCCCACTTTGCGAGCCAAGGATACCGATGCCGCCAAGTCCCTCGCCTCCAAGATGGCAGTCGGCAGCGACGATCTTTATGAGCTTCTCGAGCTCGGAGAGAAGAGGTGGCACGCCACTGCTGACGATATCAAGAAGAGTTTTCGCAGGATTAGTTTAATTTATCACCCGGACAAAATATCCCATCACGGCGACGAGGCCAAGCAGAACGCAGAGACCCATTTCAAGGCTGTTATGAAGGCTTACGATGTACTTTCGGATAACAAGAGGCGTGCGGGTTACGATTCTGTTGACGACGTCGACGACTCCATCCCCAGCGAGAGGGATGCGACCGCATCCCCACAGCGATTTTTCGAGAAGTTCGGCAAATGCTTCCAGCTCAACGCGCGATGGTGTGTCTCGGACCGTGTCCCCGACCTCGGTGATGATGACACCGACATGGACACTGTCCACAAGTTTTACGATTTTTGGTATACTTTCAAGTCATGGAGAGATTTTTCCTATGGTTGTGAACATGATACGGACACGGCAGAGACTCGTGAAGAGAAGCGATGGATGGAGAGGCAGAACTCTAAAGAAATTAACAAGAAGAAGAAGGAAGAAAGTTCAAGGATTCGACGCTTGGTAGACCTTGCTCACAAACATGACCCGCGTCTCAAGCGTGAAAGGCAAGCTGTTAAAGCCAAGAAGGATGCCGTGAAAGAAGAGCGCAAGCGGAAGGCCGCGGAGGTCATTCGTCTCAAGGAAGAACAGGAAGAGAAGGAAAGACTAGAAGCTGAAAGCAAAGCCGCAGACGAGAAAGCCGCACGGGCAATTGCGAAGAAAAAGAAAGATGCAGCCCGCCAGGTTTTGCGCAGGGCTCGTCAAAACCTACGAGCTGTAGGCCGTGCGTTGAATATTATGGCAACAGAGCGTGGGTTGCTCGGTATCGAGGGAATTTGCGCGGAGGGAAATGCAGAGACTATTGGAGCTGTTGCCACCCAGTTATCATCTCTTCCGGACACCAGTGACAGGTGTGAAACTGCGTATGCATTGCTCGATGCAGCTCGCGCAGATCCCACAAAGCCCATATGTAGTGAAATCGTGGCTAACTTGTCGACGAAAGAAGCGAAACTTGAAGACATGACCGATTCATCTTCTGTTTCTCTTGAGGCCGATGCGGAGACTGATGCGGATTCGAAAAAGGACTGCACGATCGAATCTGAACCGGAAACAATCGTTCAAAGGCCCACCGTGAAGAGCGAGAAGACGGTCGCCAAAGCACCCGAGAAGCCGTGGTCTAAGGAGGAATTATCACTTCTGTCGAAGGGTGTGACGAAGTTTCCGGGTGGAACAAGAGATAGATGGAATCGACTTGCAGACTATATCGGATCTCGAGACGCAGACGAAATCCTGCGAAAAGTCAACGACAACCGGCCTTCTAAGATTAAGCCGGGTTCACTCAAACAATCGGTGAAAGCTCAGCATACCCCTGTCTCAAATGATAGATTGAAGGACAAGAGGAAGACGAATCCAGACGTTGAACAAAAGACCCGCATCAAGCCGGTAACGAAGCCTTCAGCATCTGCGCCCTCACAACCACCAAATGTGCTCCAGTTTACTCCGAAGCAGCAGCTCCTTTTCGAGACCGCTCTAAAGAAGCATGCAAAGGGAGACCCTTCCAGGTGGAAGAAAGTTGGTAATGCAGTCGGGAGGACCCCTGATGAATGCCAAGAGAGGTTCAATGAGCTGATAGAATTTTATGCCGCCAAGAGGGCTTCGCAATAAAAGGCCTTCGCGGGGCGACCTTACCAGTACACATCACCACGGAATGGTATCCATATTTGTGGTTCTTTCCAGTGTATTGATTCTGTCACCAGATGATTCCGCATACCGGTGTGCTCAACGAGCAATACTTTTTGTACACGGACGATAACGTATTATTCTCCAGAAATCCGTATGTGTACTGACGAGGCTCTCCCCACCATAAGACTGCCGAGAAATAGAGTTGCGTGTGTGGCCATTTGAGCATTGTGAAGCTGCAAATATTCAAGCCTAGAAGAACCTGCCGTTCGTTTCGGAGCTCATGTCGTGTTTTTATCTTACTACTCACATTTAGACTTAGCATACACCCCCAGTTACGCGAGCAGAACATCATCGTCATAAATGCACTACTGCACACAGTGAATACCGTCGTAGTCCTACACTCTGATTTCACATCAGTGCTTGAATCCATTCAGTTAGGAAAGTTTAACCTCGAAACCGGACCTTGCATCGCTTTCCCATGCTGATAGGTTCTGCCCAGCCCAGTTCTCCGGTCATGTCCATAGTCCTAATGTCTGCAATATCACTCAAGAAATCGGATGGTGCCAACGAAGAACCAGAGGGGGCTTGGGTCAGAACAATAAGAAGATCATCTGGGTGCCATCCTCTTCGAAGATCTTTCTCGCCTGGGTTCAACGCAACCTTCGTGTAGCGGATTGTGCTGCCTTCTTCTGAATCTGATTGCACAATTTCCCTTTCCAGGTAGCCTAACACAATTGTGCCGACGTTCCTCCCGCGAGCCATCAGTTCAAAGAAACTGACTTCCTCATCTTTTGTTAAGTCCACATAAGATTCAACGCTTTCCAGGGTGATTTCGGAGTCATGTGGGTCAAATAATGTGTTTAGAAAACGATTGACTGAACCATCTTCTGAAACCATTGCCACTGCCTTCGAAATAAGCTCGCTGCTAGCAACGACCGCGTCAATGGAATTGACAATCGAAAGCATAGCCCGTGATCGAGAATCCACGATTTCCCCAACTATAACTCCTCGAGAAGAGTTATTATCAAGAGTGGCCTTTGAGCCAATGAAACGCTGGCTCCGTGCTCTGCCCAACGCCCCACGCATCGAAGCGAATGTGCTCAGGCTGTTCATGCTTCTTGGACCGTTTGAGTCATCTTTTCGTGGTGCTGCAATGTTGCAGAACTCGTTGTCCGGAGATGGTTCGTTTCTTCTCGTGGTGATATCCTGTATCATCATCACTACTGTTATCACACGTGCGTCTGCATCACCAAGTGTCTCTGACTTTCCTCCTGAAGACTGATCTGATGACCCTTTTGAGCGACCAGAAGACCTCAAATGGTTTGAATGCGCATCGGATGCGCCAACAATAACACTTGAAAAAGTTTCCAAAGGTAATTGGGCTAGCACATTTCGTCGACATGCACCAACACGGTGCACAACCTTGACTCGACTATTCGACTCCCACCCTCTGAGTGACAACTCACTTTCTCGCTGTTCTACAGCAAGTTCAGATAGTATCCAAAATTCTGATCCGAATGGAGCAACGGCAGAGTAAACCTGCAGTAAGTTTCCCATGTCAAAGCGCCAACCACAGAACAAAATCCGTTCAATCTCCTGTTCTCCAGAATCTTTGCTAGCAAGGCACTTTGACGGCATTGCTGAGCTTCTCGCCCAATCCTTCGAAAAATTCCGGATAGCCTCGAGCCCTCCGGGACAAACGTCAACATACCTCATGGCATGATTGTAGGGGTCGTACACCGCTTCCCTAATGAGAGAATGTGTAATAGAAGCACAATAGGTGTCGTCGTCTTCTGCAAGAACAATAATTTGGTCGCCATCACCAATGACGTACGAATCCGAAGGGTTCAGCATTAAATCTCCAGATGCGGTCTTCACTCCTACGAAAAGAACACAGGAATGGAATGTCAGCACAGTAGTCCACGCTTCTGGCATGGAAGGACCAATATAGGGGCAAAAATGGGAATACGCACCAAGCGGGATTGCATCTTCGAAGCTGCCAGAATTTTGGGAAAGCAATAGGGAGCGAGAGTGTTTAAACAAGCACAAGATCGCGGTGGTTAGTAAAAAATGCTGAGACGCGAAGGACAGAAACGGACAGGGCACAGAGAGAGGTTTTTCTGCATACCATAGAAGGACCTCCTTAAAGCTCAGTCCCCGTAGTATCCCCCACTGGCCTGAGTACGTTTCGCAGCCGTCGAACCCCAGCTAAAAGGTCAAAAAATGTTAGGATTCTTGTAGCAAACAGGAGATGCGAGCATCCCAAAGACATTCATACTCGTGAAGGGAATACAGATAACTCACCAGTTCTTGCCAAACGTCCGCTACCAGGGGATTTCTTGCTGCTTGCAGCATCAACCTTCCAAGCACATCATTAGCTAGAACAGGCTCGACAAGCTCTGGGCATATTGAGGTCATTATTGCAGCATTTTCTGTATCCATTACTTCGATGACGACTCTGTCTGGCCGGGGGACGACAATCTCGGCAGAAGCTTCAAAGTTGGGACCTTTCAACTTCTTGTTCTTTTCAACCGCCGCTTTCTCTCTCTCAAGAGCTGAGACAATGCTTAAAAGGATTTGTAATGAACGGGCATCGTTTGTCTCAGCATCATTTTCATCATCACCCAAGATAATTATTGACCGGGCTCGGAAGAAGGACACCTTTTGCAAGTCTTGATATGAAAGGGGGGATCCAGATCTACAAACAACTCTAGTACCCACGTTTGCAAAACTGAAATCACATTGTGCAATATCGTTTTCCATATCTTCTTTTTCTCGCTGATCGGAAAGACATACAATGACGTTACCTCCGGCGCTTTCTCCAGCTTTCGCCAATTGAACCATGACAGAAAGCGACTTCACAGACCACCCTATTATGAGGGTATGGCCAGTTTCCTGTTGATATTCGCGAAAGTTTCGAATCATTTACGAGATGTCGAGTCAGAAATGAGAACGTGAAAAAGTGAAAGTAATGGTTCTCGAGATAGCATATGCTTCTTGAAGATGCTTCTTGAAAAATATTTGCGATTCTTGATATGTGCCTGGAGGCTACATAATTGACTGCTTACCGTCACAGAGCTTTCTCCTTTTCGTAGACTGTCGTACTTTGTCTGAACAGCATCAGAAATAATGGATAGGAGTAGAGCAGTTAGAACCAATCCTCCAACATTTGTGCAGACGGCGACCAATCGTAAGGAGGGGCTGGTTGAGTTGATGAATCCCCAATCGAGACCCGACCCGAGTGCGGCTGCCCATAAAGACTCTATCCACGGCTCAGAAGCCATCCAACTGATTAGTGTACCTGAAGACAGAATGAGGCACCATGTTAAAGCCATTAGAACCAAGGCTTTCGCATACCTGCAGGAATAGATTTAGCAAGGGATTCAAAAGGAAAATTTCAGTTAGACATGCTTAGAATAGAACCGTAGGCGTGGGAGATTGAGCATTGGTAAACTTTAACTGTTTCCACCCAATTGAGAACGTACGGGTTCGTAGACAACCAGTAATCAACGTAATAGTAAAGCTTTTGTCGTGACGTAGGTCCATGATCTTGGCGCCGACGTCTCCAGGTCTGAAATACGGCCTGAATTTTAGTCCAGAAACCGTAACGCTTCAAGCTGAAGTGAATTGACATCAGAAGACAAGCGGGTTTAATCCCATAATGAAGCGCAAAAACGATGAATGCAAGCAAAGACATGTACACCGGGATTTGCACAGACTTAGAAGCCCCATCGTCGGCAACCGTGAGACTTGCAAGTCGACGAAAGTTCTTTGACAACACCCGCCTCTGTTTTACTCGGCGCATTATGTTTCTTCCCCTAAGCATCTTGTGATCCAGAAACAACATAAATGCCGTAAGTTGAGGCTTGCAAAATTTTTTCAAGATGAGAAGTAGCTGGACCGCTCTCGAAACCCCGCGCTGGTAGTTCAAGAAGGATCGGAAGAAACTAAATAGTGTATGTCTTTATGTTTAGAGAATATTGATCTTGCAGCCAACATGCCTATGTGCTTAATTCCAGCCCTCGGAGAAGCAGGGAATTTTGCGCTGATTACGCGGCATTTCGAGAGATGTGACAAGACATTTCGCTTGTCACATGTTGGGACGCGCCTTCACAAAAAGCGTCTGGAGTATCTCGTCAAAACGTGCAACCAACATTCCATCCAACAGCAGAAATTCAATTCAAAGATATTAACCTACGGCGTCATTTTTCCTTCTGCTTCTATGCATGATGAAGAGAATGATACTCTTTTTGGTCCTTCACAGAAATCACTCTACGCTTGATGACAAGCACACTTCATTTCGTTTCACGCCAACCTAAGATTTCATGTATAGACATATATGTATGTGTATCTTGGAAGCGTTCTCCTTGAACAACGTGTAAGGAGGATTGTACTGTTTCCCTAAAAGATTTATGTATTTTTGCCGTGTTGTGAATGTGAGGCCCTACCGGAGTATCACCCAGAGTTAAACCAATGTTGGACACTACAAAAAGCGACATGTGCGCAAACTTTCCTCGGTCGTCATGCTCACTGCTACCCGTCCGTCCTTCAATCATGATATATTATAGATAATGTAAACTAGGTACTGCAATAGGCCGTGCATTCGTTCTCTCTGAACCTTGCACTTCCACTGCAATTTTGTGCCCTGTGTTGCCTCTGATCTTCTCTTGGATAGAGCAGTTGCTTTTCCCTTTTTCGTTATTTGCATGAGCGAAAGTTAGTTTTCCGAAGGTATCGCGATGGAGAAGATCATGCCGGTTTGAATGCACTGTATGTGCAGTACCCTTACACGTAGGACGAACGATTATTTCATGCTTCTCGTGGGGATGCTGCACTGTACAGTGGTTTCCTTGCCTGGTCGTCATCAGCCAATGATATCACTGAAATGCTTACACCCTTTCCGGTCTCGGAAAAATCCCACCTGCCTCTTGATACCCAGTCGCCTAACGCCCCATGCCTAAGCGCCTTATTCGGTGACTAGTGCACCGTACGGATTGCTCAGCCAACCTCACGCCGGTCGTCTCTACTCTTTAGTCTATGGAATCACCGCATCTCACTTGCCCGCCGCACCAGCAGAGGATACGCGCGTAGTTTCATGATGTATTCGACAAGAGTCTGGTTCTTGTTTTTGCTCGCCGTCTCGTGGCTAGCACTTACATCACACGCGAACACAGTTGGCCGGCAAGAGGACGGCGCGGAGCCGGCCGAGAATACACCGGGCGAGGATCAGAATGCAGGCCATGCGCCACAATCCTCTGTAACAAATGGATCAGAGCCTCAACCGGAGGAAAACGCCCCTGAGCAACCGCCGGCGTCTGAAGGCGATGGTGTGACGGGCAATAGTACGGAGAGCAAAACCCCGGAAAAGAGCCCCGTACTTTCTTCCCTTTACATTAACACTGCCAAACCTGGATTGGGAAGCCGCATTACTACGAAAGTGTTCAAAGACGGAGCTTTGTCCGGCCTCTTCAATTCGTGCCTCACTACCACCGCCGATCCGTCCACTCCTGACACCGATTGCTTTTTAGACGATCAATACAATGATCGTTTGCAGTTTGATATTACCTATAGCGTGCCTGCCTCTGAAATTGAGAACGCTTTCAAGGCGACCCCACCAACACTGCAGTTACTCGGGGATTCCGCGGATGCTTCGGATGCAATTGTTTTATCGTACGCGGTGGCACTGCAATCGTCAAGTGCAGAAGTGATGGTCAGATATTTTTGCAAGAAGGATGCGGATGCCCTAATAGATCTTGAACTCAAAATTCAATTCGGTGCCGATCCCGACTCTGTGGTCCCAATCAAATGGAAAAAGAAATGCACAGGCGGAGTAAACACACAATTGGAGTTTGGCTACACTACAGACAACCAGAAGAGCGGTGAAAAGGTTCGCCATCCTTTCGGGTCTGATGCGGATGCGCCCTACGTGGTCCCGCCAAGCGATGTGTCCACCGAGGTATATGCGAAGTTACTGCAGCCTGGTGCACAACAGGAATTCTTAGCACCACTTGTAATCAGCAGCGATCCGAGCATTGTTAGCGTTGCAGTTCGCGGAAATCATCCCAATGGGGGGATTTTCCAGGGTCTGGACATGACCGAATTTCAAGTGAGCTACGAATGCGTGACGAAAGGTTCTTCTGATGTTTCTGTGAGCGTAGGAATTCCGCCTTTTCAGAATTTGACCTCCACGTGGGAGAAGGGTAAGAGCATCAAAAGACGGATCGCTCCAGAGCTATTGCGTGAAATTAAGAATGTCATGCACTGCTATATTTCGTGATTTTTCTAACTGAGCTTTTTTACATTGACTTCTCTTTTATTGCGTAGATTGCGGGGGAAAGATAGCAAGTAAGCTTTCAGTTGGCAGCACAGAAGGTGCTTTCGACATTGTAGATATGGGCAAACCTACCCCGAAGTACATGGTCGCGATTGAAAACATTGGAACAGCCCATTCGGAAGAACATCTACATCTTCCTGGAAACCAATCGGAATGGACGATATATTTGACGTATGGTACACCAGGCACAGACAGCGGGGCCTCTAAAGATGCTGCCCTACACATTGGACGGATCGGCGTCACTGTCGAGCACCCAGGAGTGATAGCTGCAGCCTCTCCGCGGTTGAGCACTCGCAGAAAATTTGGTTGGGGGGATGTCACAAACTCAGAAAATTCACTTAATGCTGGAGAAAAGGTCAAGGTGTCTTTCCATTTCGTGTGTCGTAAGGTGGGGGAGAGTCGGTTGCTTATTACAGTACCGATTCTTGACTATGATACGTTGGAATTTGGTATAGCAAAGGAATGCGATCATGTTGGATCGTCGCACAAAGCGAAGCAATTCGTGTTGACAGTAGGAAATGTGTCTTGGGTTACCGGGGTTGTTGTAGTTTTGGCAGTGGCGTACTGCGTCCGAAAACGACGCAGGGATGCTGGGTTTCAACCGGTTGCAAACACTGAGAAGTGAACGATACGTAGTTGATTGGTCACAACATATATTTTACCACATCGTCGCGTTACGGTTTATGAGTTGGGGTTTAGAAGCTGTTCGACTTAGTACCTCGAAGCCTGCTCTATTTGGTTTCGGTGGCCTGATGATGTATATTGGTTTGCAGTCTAAGTTTGTTGGCTCCAAACTTGCCAGGTGCGCGAAAGCTTGTGGTGTATACTTCACAATGAATGTATTTGTTATGGGCTTGATATCCTTCAGGACCCAAGAACGTACCCAAGAACGCCGTTCAGCGATATTGCTCAGCCTTGTCCCTGGATGGGTGTCGCGGCGGTATGGCGTACCCTTGGTACGGTATAATTCAGGCGGGACACGGCACAGTACAGTTCTGTACGGAGAAAAAGATTGCAATGCGAAGATTTTCTGGATTTTTTCTCTGGTTCGTGATCGATCTGGAGAGTATTGCACACTGTCTATTAGAACACCAGCAGCCACCTACCCCGGCACCTCGTTTTGACATAAGAGTGTGTAGATTGTCAATTCTAGACAAGGTGTCAAGCAGCTACAGTAGTGATAATTGCGTGGCTTGTAAACATATTCAGTCAATCGCAAGATTTCCGAAAGGCTTGCATGGAGGGAAGGATGGCGTGGGTGCCGACCTCGACTGCATTTCTCTCTCGAAGGGGAGCTTCAGGCACATGCGTTAAAGGAGCTCGACAAAGGCAAATTTACGGGTGCGCAAAGCGAGCCCCGATGATGTCTGCGCTCAATGAACGCCCTAAGACGGACGAGTACGCTCAGTTTGCGGAAAAGCTTGACGTCGGCACTACGAAACCTGCGCCCTCGCCTTCTGATGATCTTAGCGCAACGAAAGAAACGGTGGTGAAAGAAGAAGAAAAGAAGAAGTACGCTGAGTTTGCAGAGTTGCTGGGAGTGGAGGAAAGGCAACCAAGCTCTGACCCAGTGCGGAAAGAGGTTGGAGAGGCTGCCCCGAAGACGGTGGATATTGATCCTAGGGACTACGACATTTTCGATAAGCTATTACATCGTTCCGGTGGGACTGGAAGAAAGCCAGTTAAAGGATCGAAGCGATTTACGTCTGCCGCTGCTGTCACCGGCAGGGAGCGTCCAGTCCAATCTGATATTCCCAGTGCAACCGACGAGGTTCCTGATACTTCGAAAGATCGTCAGAACGAGGGCACTGTTCTTTCCGAAGGAATGAATGTCTCTGCTTTTTCGGAGGAACAAGTTGAGGATGCTTACGACGTAATGATGGAAGAGTTTGGTTCTGATTTCCATGGGAGAGCGAAAGCGAAACCTATCGACGCACCTGCTGCCGAAGTGGAAGCACCAGTACCAGATTTGCAAGCGCCGCCTATTCGCCCCGGGACACCTTCAATTGACAATCATGGAAATCCAGACCCCGGGTCGAAGCCTATTCAGCCAGAAACCGAAGTCGCACAGACCCCACCCCCCGAATTGAAGGCGAAGCCGATGCAACCTGGGCTGGTCCCTCCCATCACGGGAGTGACACCTTCAATTGACAATCATGGAAATCCAGACCCCGGGTCGAAGCCCATTCAGCCAGAAACCGAAGTCGTACAGACCCCACCCCCAGAATTGAAGGCGAGGCCGATGCAACCTGGGCTGGTCCCTCCCATCACAAGAGTGTCAAAAGCCACGCCACAGAGCGCGCAAATTTTGCATGAGGGACAGGAGACGGTGTCCGCACCTGAAGTAGTAGAGGAGCAAGTCTCGGAATTGCGAAAACCTCCAAGCAGGCCGGAGTACGAAGAATTCGCCAGTGCTTTTAGTACACGAGATGGAAACCGCAGCAGGAGAAGAGAGCGAAAGACAGAGTTTGTGACAGATGAAGCAGTAACTCTGAAGGACCCAAAGCTGGTATTTAGAGTGGATTAATCAAGACGAGTCTGCCGCAGGCCTTGTTTGTCGCTACACGCGCCATAAAGTTTTGTGTGATTGTTGCACGTTGACCACATGAAGACAAGCTGTTAGGCATCACGTTATGCGTAAAAACGAACCGGCACTTCAGCGCAATTAGAAGGAACTCGCGGTCATGAGTGCATGGACTTTCATCAATGTGATATGCTTTTTTCTACGCGGATGCATTATATGGGGGCAAAGCGTTTGCACAGGCAGCCTGAAGAGACGACTCTTTAGTCTGCTTTCTTAGGACGTTTTGTATTGTTGGTGATGATATCTCCCAGTTTGTTTGAGGTGACGTTTGCTCAAAGGCCACAGGAAGGATTTTGTGTCGCACACTGTCTCGGCTCAAAGACCCGGTCACTAGATTGTATCGTGGCTATTCCACTTCTTAGTTATGGTGCCGGAGTTTGGCCCCTGTTTGCCGGAGCCTGTCTCGGGTTGCTGCCGACCTTTAGATGACGACCGGGAGCCCTACCCTTGGTACAGCATGAGAGGTCGATGGTGTGACTCGGCATGTGCTGGCATCGCCATTGCGGCCAGCAATGTCGCCGGCCTGTATCTGCAATAAAATCTGAGACTCGACGTAATTTCGTTGAGCCTCGCTGATCCACTGTAAGGAAGTCAAGTGATGCATTCCAGCGCGGTCTGCTTTGGAACGACTATCTTTACCGCATGCTTGCACAGGAAGCCGTGACAGCCTCTGCGCCCGAACTGCCTTGTGATACAGCAGATATTTTCATTCACTTTTGAGCGCAGTGGGAGTACACTTGTCAAGCTGGAGCTCTGAGTACTGACGTCTGAGTCATTAGCGTTTCTACATCTTCCACAAATGACCGACGACAAAATTGCCACGAACCCAGCCCCCGAGCCGGTCTCTGGCGTGGAAACCGAGGGGAAGCCAGAGGAGGTGGTCCCCACACCAGACGATAACAAGCCCACGGAAAGCTCTGACTGGGCTGGGGCTGAAGAAACCGATGAGCTAGGTGCACCGCCCGACTTTGCCGCCGAAATCGCTGAGGCTGATGAGTCATCGCGCGTGGAAGTCTTGCAAGCCGATCCAACCACTCCCTACCACGCTGCGACTACCTTTGAAGAGATTGGAATGAGCGAGGAATTGCTCAAAGGCGTTTACCACATGAAGTTTACAAAGCCCTCTAAGATTCAGGCTTCGTCCCTGCCGCTTATTCTTTCGGCGGACGGCGATCACAAGAATCTCATTGCGCAAGGGCATAACGGTTCCGGAAAGACGGCATGCTTTGTGTTGGGTATGTTGTCACGGGTTGATACGAGCAGTGAAGCTACTCAGGCCCTGTGCCTCGTGCCGACGAGGGAGCTTGCAAGGCAGATCGGCGATGTTGTCGCGTCGCTTGGGCGATACACGAAGGCGACTACAAAAATAGCTGTGAAGGCAACAGAAGAGGAGCGAAGGGCTGCGTATGCGAGAGAGGAAACAGGGCATTTGACTGAACACATAGTCGTTGGGACGCCAGGCAAGGTAATGGAACTGATCAAGAAGCGTCGCTTGAACACTTCTGCGATGAAGATATTGGTATTGGACGAGGCGGATGAAATGGTTGATACTCAAGGGATGGGTGACCAGACCATACGAATCAAGCGCATGCTTCCAAAAGGCGTGCAGGTGTTGCTCTTTTCGGCAACTTACGCAGATAACGTCAGAGGTCTTGCGAGTAAGCTGGCACCGTCAGCAAATCAGATTACTATCAAACGTGAAACTCTATCGCTTGACAAGATCCAGCAATACTACCTCGACACGGGGTCTAAGGGGGCACGTTTTACGATACTTAATGAAATTTATGAACTTCTGAATGTCGGTCAGAGTATTATTTTCGTGGGGAGAAGAGATGAAGCGGCGTCTCTATCTACTAGATTACGCGATGATGGGCACGCCGTTTCCGTGTTGTATGGAGGAGATATGACGCCAGAGGAGAGAGACCGGGTGATTGACGAGTTTCGAGCGGGCACGACCAAGGTCCTCATTACAACAAACGTGCTCAGCCGCGGCGTTGACGTTCTTGCGGTGAGTGTTGTCATTAACTACGATCTTCCGACAGACAGGCAGGGCCAATCTGACCCGGAGACCTATCTCCATCGCATTGGGAGAACGGGGCGTTTCGGGCGAAAAGGAGTTGCGGTTAACTTTGTTTATGATTCCCGGTCCAAACGTGTCCTAAAGGAGCTGGAGGAGTATTACTCGAAACCCATTACAAGGGTTGAGGACGCTGAGGAGCTCCAGGACAGGCTCAAAGACCTGTAGCTTTTGACTTGATGCGTATGCAAGTCGTGGACGACAATGGCCGTAGTGGCAGTATCAACCACGGCCGTGGTATCTGCACGTGTGGCATGGATTAGGCGCTTGTAGGATCAGACTTGAGTTTTCGACTGACATAAAGTTTGTGCGACGGGGGTTTGAACAAAATCGGAATACCGCCTACTATGACCTGTGGGTTTAACATTGCGCCTTCTACGTAAATCATGCTTCAGTTTGAAGTGCATTTGCCTCCAAGCTAGCATAAAATGTTCAACCACGACATAAAATGGCAAAAATGCTCTAGGATTGGGCCAGTAGCGAGCATATCTTTACGCTGGAAGGTAGTACTCAGAGAAATACATGTCACCGAGGTAGCGCATGGGGTCGTTCGTGACGCCCATGTGAGAAGCAACGCTTGGCATCTGATACCATCCATGAGGCGGATCGCGGGATCGCTGCGCATATCTTCCGACGTATAGACGTTTCTAGCGTCGCTCATATCGTCGTCCGCGGCCACCAGTCTGTGTTTGCTGCAGAACGAGCCCCGGAAGCTTCGCGAGGTCAAGCTCCTTAAGCATATCCCTGGTTTCGCTATCAACTTCGATGACATCAGTATCGATCGCGGACACCTCAGGGACGAAGTCCATACGACGCTCGCGTTCTTCTTCCTGCAACTTAAGGGAGATACCGCGCACCGGTCCCTTCTGGATTCTCGTCATCAAGTGGGTCACGAACCCTGCGACCTTGTTGCGCAGTCTTTTTGAAGGAATGACAGCGACTTCATCGCAGATGCGCTTGTTGGTTTGAAAATCAAGCGTCAGTCGGGAGTAGTACTTTTCGATGATCTGACGCGCTGACTTTTTCACGGTCTTCGTGCGAACGCGACCCTACGGAAAAGGACAAAGTAGCATGACAAGAGTAGTTCGCAAAGAAGATCCGGTTAGAAATTTGCTGTTTGCACATCGTCGCATTTGCCACATCATCGCGCTTGTTCCTTCAGCTCGCAGAACTAGTACTTACCATGTTGAAGGATTGCCTGCTTTACCCCAGAAGGCTCTGAATCGAGTCTGTCGCGATAGCGGTAGGGCGGTATGTGGAGAGTCCGAGCTGAAGGTTGTGAGAAGTAGTTTGCAAGTGGATGTAGATGCAGGATCAGCTTGGTGATTGGCGGTATGGGTAAGAAAGGCTCTATGCGTCGCCGACCGACGACGGCTGCACGGCAAACCTCATTGGTTGCTTTCTGACAGGTGCACCAATTAATATAACTCTTCAAGTTTTTCATGAATGCCAAAACCTAACTCCAAATTTGAAGATTTTCACCCTACTTTCGAACAAGTCACACTGCACAAATAAAAAACGTGAACCAACACTTCGTGACGTGTACCACCCGCATGTTCATCGACTTGGGGGCGGAGGTCGTTGTTGCCAATACCGCTCAAACCCGTTCCTCTTTTTCTTCTGTTGCCACAGCTGGAAGGGGGGCGGAGCTATCCCGTCCATTTCCAGAGAAAAGGGACGCCGTTCAGTCCCTCAGAGGAGAGCCTGCGTTTCTCGGCAGAAAAATGGTTGTATGTTGCTATTCAGTTTCGACTAAACGCAGTGGCTTGGGAAAGCGTGGTTTATAGGGTTGCTGACATCATTCTTATGAGTAGCTCGTCCTTGCTATAGGAGATTTTCACATTCCATATCGATCCCCCACGTTGGCTCAGCGCTTCAAGACCCTTTTAATGCCCGGAAAAATCCAGTTTGTTCTATGCACTGGAAACCTTTGCAGCGCGGAAGTAGACCAATACCTTCGGTCGATAAGTCCGGATGTGCATATTGTCACAGGAGACATGGATTCGGTATGACTGTAATAGTGAAAGTAATCGGTAATTCTAGCTTTGCGTGTGTTTGCGAGTTGACTAACGTTCTTCTTCTCGCTGCGAGTATTGCGTTTGGAACAGGCCCCATATCCCGCGAAAGCTGTCGTAAACGTAGGAAGTTTGGGGTTCGGGATCTGCCATGGACATCAGATTATGCCTAGCGGCACCACCTCTGGCATTGAGTCATTGCGAAGGTATGTGATGGTTTGAGCGATGCTAGTTGATTCGGCTGTATTGCGAACAGTTAGAATTCTGACAGGTGTTGTGACTTGCGTATCGCGTGGACAATCAAACGACTCCCTCGCAGGGAAATGGGTGTCGATGTGCTAATCACAGGACACACGCACAAACTTGCTGTCTGGCAAGGGAAGGAAGGCGGTCTCTATGTAAACCCAGGTTCTGTAAGTGTTGTCTCTCGAACAGGAAGCTGCCATATCGCTCGAATTCGTCGCACCTTGCCTAACTTGATTGAGTGTTTCAATATTTTGTGTCCTCGAAAAAGGCGACTGGGGCGTATTCGACGACGAAGACGGAAGTTGAGCCGCCAAGTTTTGTCCTGATGGATGTCCAAGGAAGCAAGGTTGTTACGTATTCATACGTACTTGATGGAGAGGTATGTTGCCCCGTGATTCTCTGTAGTTTCCCTTTTCGTTTTCTTCTCGTTCTCGACGGAGAATTAACTCTTCCATCCGTTTACTCTTGCATTAAAACAGGAAGGAGTGCGTGTCGAAAGAGAAGCGTTTGATCGAGCAAAGTAAATGATCAATTATCACATCCATCTGTGACTTGCACAACAGCAATGAAAATGCAGATAGAATTTTTCGAGAAGTTAGCTTTGAGACCAACCAGCATTGTAGAAAAAGAAGAATGAATGTGAGATACAGCACCAGGCCGTCTTCGCAATGTTAGGCCTTTGTGACGCAGGTTTGTGACTGGCGGCAAAAGCTAAAATTCAAGTAAAACCAGACCCGCAGAAATCACGGAGAATATGTGCAACTTTCCCCACTGCTGTTGCAGTTGTCATAGCCATTCTGGCGCAGGCTCACGACCACAGCATCGGGTCCTCTCTCACACTCCTCCACGGCAGAGTCACGAGCAATATTTGAAGCTGCACCTCCACCTCCTTGAAAGCCACTTCCCCCTTACGATCTCACCATGTCGGAAGTTACAATTCAAGTCCGCACCGCCCCGCGTGACAGGCGCTTTCCTACGACGAACCAGACGAAGCATTGCTGGGCGCGCTATCTCGAATTTCATGCCTGCTCCAAGGTGAAGGGCGACGACGATCCGGAATGCGAGAAGTTCAAGCGCTGGTATTTGTCCCTGTGCCCGGAGGAATGGGTAAGCTGATCGGCGTAGAAAGAATATTACGCCTAGCGACTTGACCCATGCAATTTCTAATGGTGGCTAACGTGCGTTTTGCGATTCCACTGCATCAAAACTTTGCGACTGCGACTGCGACAGGTTGAGAACTGGGATACCCTCAAGGAGGAAGGGCGCTTCCCAGGACCGGAATAAGTGTTCCACACACATGGGGGAAGGGATGTGTTGCTTGAGGCATGGAGGAAGGCTTATATTCATAGTGTGGCTTTCCTGTCAAGCCGCATAATTGTTTAGTCTGCTCGTAGCGTTCCGTCTCCTTGTACTACTGAAGAACGATGTGCGTTGGTACTGAGACACCGGAGATGGAGTAAAGCTGCGACTCGACATCTTCAATCGTGCATTTCTTTTTCAGTTTATTCTCTTACCCTTGGTCTACTATAAATACGCCCCATAATACTAACTCATCTTAAACCACACGTAAGCAAGGAAATGAATCAGCCAACTGCGCCCGCGTCAGGGGCCGTGACTCACTGGTCTCTGGAATCCAGCGCAATTCCATACCCGCAACTTCCCCAGTCCGTAATCTACAAACAGCATCAAGGGTGGAGCGCAGACGGCAAACAAGGGCCTTGCTGTCATCATAGCAACCCAGGTTTACGCCGACTGCTGTGGCGATCACGAGCGTCACCACCCCATATTGTCCAAGCTTGGCCTTCGGGCTCACATCGTATCCCAAATGCCTACCCGATATTCTGTCAATGCGGTGCTTCTCGATCTCGACATGGCCGGAGAAGCGCCTTGCGCCTAGTATTAGGTCATCGGCCGTACAGATATCCATTGATGGGGCGAACTTCGTCGAGTCTTCCAGCAGTCTGTTCTCCTTCAGCAGCACCGCCGCAGCATCTCGAGCAGCAGCCGCCATGCCGCTCGGCGTGACCAAGCAGGCAGAGTCGGCAAGCTCGGTAAGCCCATCGAGCATTTGCTTGCGTTCTGGGACGCAGAAAGGTATATGGATGCATACGATCGAGCACATCTCCGACGGTTTGGTCACGGTTTCTAGATCACTCGGGGTGTCTTTCTTTTGGGCTATCGAGCGCAGAAACACAGATCCGGATGTGAACGCGCCAAACCCGACAAGCCCCAACGTCGCCGGGCGCATGCGTCTGCGAAGCAAGAGGAGGCGCTCTGGCGAATAGATGGAGCGATTTGTCCTCGAGGCGCCCCATTTCGGTAACGCAGCCCTGGAGGATGCAGTTTGAAGTCTTGAGGGCCCGGTGACAGATCGCTGCTCGTCATTGCTCATATCCAAGGAGGCGTGGTTCTCGGCTGTGTACGAGGTGGGAGTCGGCTCTAACAGTAGAAGAGTGCCTTCTTGCATCGACGCTTCATTCTGCGGGACAATAAGGAATGGACACGAGGGCTTCTCTGCGGGGGTGGACTTCGGGTGCTTGTGCACGCGGATGGCAGTAGCTGGATCTGAAGAGCGACTTGCGTGGGACGCGTACGACTTGGAGTGGGAACCAGCGGGCACGCGCTGGTCGAGCGCGGCAGAAGGCTCGGCTGATGACGGGGCGGGACCTAGGAGCACGGAAAGAGCAGCTAGTCCGGTTGCAAGCAAGGGGAGCGCATTTCTGACTGCATTGTCGTTGGGTCTTGCGTCCTGCGAGCGGGACACACAGACGACGGTCTGAGGTGAGACATGTGTATTGAGAAAATGCGCGGGCTTGCAGCGGGCCACCGGAAGCGTGGTAGATGTGAAGGCGGAGGCGAAGGCGGGGGTGTGCATGGTCTCGAATTGGCGCCTACTATGATACATGTTGGAGCATTAGTTTGTGTGAGGGGGCGACGGCAATGGGGGCTAGGAACATGTAGCCGTGCGAGGGTAGTGGAGTGCGGAAGCTGGACGGTGAGGCGGGGGGGAGGCTCTGAAGGCTGAAACAATGGGGGTTACGCGTTAAGCGGGGGAGAATTTGTGAGCTGGTGGAACCCGAAGACGGTGTAAGATTTGTGGACGGCGGATAGTAGGATAGGAAAATATCTGGCAGATGAGGGAAATGTGAACAGGCGTGGCGCTGCTTCTGCATAAGGCTCTGTTTACCTTTTTGGGTTGCGATCCCCCCCCCGCGGAGCGCCCATGCGTGGTGTCATAAAAGAGCTCCTCTGCAGCTTTATTGGGAAGACTTGCCGTGTGTTCTGGTGAAGTCTCTCTATTCGGTAGCCGGGCATCCAAGTGTCGCAAGGTGATAAGTGGGATTCTTCCTAGAGGGCGTCTCTGGTCGCATTCTGCAAATCTGTGGCGACCGCTCCGTCCAAAACGCCACCACGATATCCAATTGCCTCCTATGACAGCATGCTTACAGAGCTTAGGGCAAGGGCAGGCAATCTCGCAGCCCCTGTCCACCACAGAAGTAAGAGAGTTGCGTCACACTGCGATAGATGGCGTCACAGCTCAGCGGAATTGCTCTCTTGCCCTCGTAGAGCACACCTGCGATGCACTTTTGTCGCGTCATTCCTCGCTGACGATGCGCTAAATATCTCTTTCTGGTACCGCCGGTCGCGAGCTAGCGTCGATTCATTGCGAGACCGTGTGCGTGGAGCGCGAATCTTTTGAAATACTCAACAACTAACAATGCTAAGTTTGCTTTGAGCCTCACTTCCATGTATATCTCAAGTCCCGCTCTATCGTCCACGGCTGAAAAGGCCAAAATAGAGTCTAGCTTGCCCCTTATTTCGATGCGCCACTCCAGAGACGCCTCCCAGATATAGTATCGGCATGCAGCTGCAACAGCTTTGGCCAGAAGGTCAACAAACTCAAGCTCTGATGATCGTAATGCCAAGGCTCTCCGGAATCGCATTTCGCGTATCAATCACTGCTCCTTCAAACCCTCTTAAAAACCTAAACTCTTCAAACCTATCATGATTCGTCACCAGCACCACCGCATCAAACCCAGCACAGTCGGCACTGCCATCGAGTCCTACGCTTCTTTCCCCAGAAAGTCTCGGATGCTTTCTCGTTGGACACACAACCGGTACAAACGGGTCATGGTACTTCACGTCCGCCCCCAAGTCCAACAAATTCTCCCAAATTACCAGTGCAGGTGCTTCCCGAATATCGTCCACATTCCCTTTGTATGCAATACCCAGCAGCAGTATCTTACTTCCCTTCACGCTCTTACACACCTCGTTCAGCGCCCCCTGTACGCTCTCTACCACCACCCCCGGCATCTTTGCATTCACCAGAGCCGCCAGCTCAATGAATCCGCATGGTGCACCCGTCTCCTTAGCCTTCCACGTCAGATAGAAAGGGTCCACCGGAATGCAATGCCCCCCAATCCCAGGCCCAGGGTTAAATCGCTGGAATCCGAACGGTTTTGTTCCCGCAGCATCCAGCACTTCCCAAATGTTAACGTGCATACTTGAAAATACTGTCTTCAGCTCGTTCACCAGCGCGATGTTCACAGCGCGATATGTGTTCTCGAGCAGTTTCGCACACTCCGCCACTCGTGCCGACGACACTCGAACGACATTGAGAAACCCTCCTTGTCTGTAGAGTAGTTCCGCTAGCGCGCCAGAACTTGCATCGACTCCACCAAGGAGTTTTGGGATTTCGTGCGTGTGCATCGTCACATTGCCGGGGTCCTCACGCTCTGGTGAATACGCGAGGAAATAGTCGCTACCGAGCGTCAAACCGGATTCGTTTAACACCTCTACCATATCTGTGTCAGTTGCACCGGGGTACGTGGTGGACTCGAGGACAACAAGTGTGCCCTTCGTCATGATGGAAGCAATTCGCTTTGCCGATGATAAAACAAAAGACATATCCGGTTCGTTATGGCTTCCGACAGGTGTGGGTAGGCAAAGGATGAGGACATCGCACTGTTTCAAGGTCTCAAAGTTATCTGTTGGTGTGAACGAAGTAGAGAGCGAGAGGGATTGCGCGACCTCGAGGGGGATGTGCTGAATGTAAGAGATACCTGAGGACAGCTTCTTGATTTTGGAGGAGTCTGTATCGTATCCGATCACCGAGAATTCGGCGTTGTGGAGGGTATGAACTAGGGGAAGGCCAACATAACCCAGTCCGATCACACCCACAGTCGCAGTGCGACTATCAAGCTTTTCCTTCAGTCCTAAAAAGCATTCTGCCTTAAATGAAGCTGCGTTGGTTCCCATCGCCGCGGAGCTATCAATGGATGCAAAGTCAGCGTGCCTCGAGATTCCGTGAGAATCGACAAAGAAATCCTTGTTCGCTTACGATTCCCGAACTTAAAGAGCACGAGCGCGTTACTGAATAAAAGTGATAAGATGCCGTCGACGTGAAAGAAGACCAATCCATCCCCCCCTCCACGCTTTGGGCCTCTGGATAGCTCTTTTTTTGGTTAAACAGTGCACCTAATAATATTAATCAGAAGCACTAAATCTTCGCTCCTCGATTCTGTACAACAAGGTGACATAGTTTGACTAATCGATTTTGCTTCGAGGGTACGGCATTAGTGGTGTTCAATCATAAAGTTTTCTACACCGCTACACCTCCTTCCCGCTCTTACTTGACCCGGGTATTCAAACATCACAATTGCAAGTCATTCATTCTTCCATCTCGAAGGGGACTCCCTTTGCAGTAGATCAACGCAAGGCGCTTTAATCGCGAAATGGAGGACTGTACAGTATCACAGCTATGGAAGATTTGCACAACCCATGCAATTTTCATTAATATGTCCGCAGCTGCTTTTATCGGTTTGCGCTCACCCATTCAGTCTCTTGTGTTGGGGGATGTATTCTTCCACATCCTGAATAGTATACATGGACTTCATCGGGAGCGTCTGCAATCGCTCAACACTCCACTTCTGCGCCCAACTCGCTCCACCTCTACCGCGAAAGTATGTCGCCGAAGGAAGGACAGAATCAGGCTTGAGTAGCTGCCCGTCGACTGGGTTCGGTTGGGGTGTTCTTCCGTCCTCACTTGCTGTGACAACTACGTCTAGTTCAGCCCTGTAGTAAAAATCAATCGGGACGCCTTCGAAACGATCAAGAGCCTCTGCTTCTTCTGATGTCATGGAATAGAGTTCGCCGTGAATGTTCTGCGCGTGTGGATGACCTGGAAGGGGCAGAATGTATGGCACCCCCATTTCTGTGTCGACGACTAGTGGATGGGGCCTTAGTGTTCTCGCGGTCCCAAGGAAAATAACAGTTGGCGGAACAACTGCCCAGTTCGGAAACTTGTACTTCAGAGTACCATAAAAGAATGCCACATGTCGAGTCGATGTACTCGATGAGGACATCTCCCAACTCACAATGATACAGCGCTTCCTTTCCGGTTTTGTCCTAACCACTAGATCCCGATGGGAACGAGGCAGTAGGCATGAAGCACTCCTGTTTTTGGAGTGCCCGAAGAGCAAATCTGCCAAGCTACGGCGCTCTAGAAATCAACTGGGAACGTTGCCGGACGGAAAACCACCAATTAACAACGATGAACAGCTTAGATGTTTACTCACACAATCGAAGGTGCAACCGAAATAGATGAAATCATTTTTAGATGTTTAGAGGTGTGTGGGGACAGGGCACATATTGGCACCACTGCGAGCACGTGTGATCGATGCAGGGCAAAGACCTCCTGTACTTCATAGGTGGCTAGTCATCGCGTTAGCAGCTGATTGACCTCGGCATTTGGAGTATGCCGTATTGCCAAGCAGGCTCTGGACACGAAAGCTACCTGTGGGTGCTGGAGGGTTTCCACAAAAGACGACAATCTGCAATTCGGAGCGAATCTTAAAACGTAAGTAAAGTTTCTTTAAAAGAAAGTGCGAAAAGAACTAAATAACAAAATAGAAACTCTTTTTTAGGATTTTTGTTTTTTGTTGAAAAAGGCGGAAATCTCTTGCATCTGTACACAGGACACCCCTGTATCCCGCAAGTCTGTGACACTCTGGAACTTCGTCAATAGAAGACCTGACAGGCTCCACCGCAGCTTTTTCTCTCCTTACTCACCCCGTGAGTGACTACATCAGCAAATTTGTCGAGAAACTCCACACTTTCTTGGATCTTAAGACACACACCCGACACTGTTCAAACTTCCCATCAACATCAAACCTAACTTTTCATTAATGGAACAGCTGTTTGCTGTGAGAGTGCTTGTGCACTATCATGATAAGTCCAATGTGGACCACGCCGCGGTGCGCAGACTTCTCTCGGCCGCGGGTGTTGACTCACTACACCTAGTGCTTTCCGATGGAACTTCCGTCTCCCTTTCTTCGTTCATTCAGTCTGCTCCGCACGAAAGAAAGTCTATCTCAGAAGTCTCGGGCTCGAGCGGTAGTGCCCTGACCCAAGTGGCTTCAGTATTTATGCTTGCGGAAGCGAGAGCGGCAGCTGATGCATTACCTTCTAGTCCTCATGAATTGGAGACCGCTTGCAGTTCATTAGAGAGACTGCTTGGTTGTCTTGCCACCAAGAGACCGTTGCTTCCGGTCAGAGATATAAAGCAGTTTGCGAGGGTTAAGTTTGGAACTGCTGCAAGACGTCGCGCCGTTTGGCGCCTTTCTGAATCTGAATCTGATCCTTGCCAAGAACAGATCTCAATTCTGAGAGCAGTTAACGCTATTCTTCGACTCTGTGATGTTGCCACTCACTGCTTGGCCGTGGTCTCCCGCCAGTCGGTCTCCTCAAGGGCAGCTTGCGAGACTGCAGTTGCCCTTAGCACAAGGCTACTAACTTTAGCTGCTTCTTTGTACGAGGTGCCAAAGGCAGAACCCTCTCCAGCTCTGTCTTTCTTTTCATCTAACTCTCTCCGGACTGCTCTTGTCGCTGGAGCTATGCATCTTGGTACAATAGTCATTGAACATCCGGGGATTGAGCCTATGGGCTGGATTCATGTTGCGAATCGTATCGTCATGAGCAGCAGCACGTCGATATCTCGGCGAACGTCTGTCTTATCTGCTCTATTCGGTGGGATGATAAAAGCAGCCAACAGATACGAGGCAAGTGAAAGGGATTTAAAGGCTGCTGAGGCAGCCGTTTGTTTGCTCTCAACTCTTCATGTTGTACTAGAGACCGACATGGCACGTGACTCGCAGGCTGAATATGGTCCAATGCGTGGCAAAGTACAACAACGGACACAGCCGGGTGTATCAAAGGCTTCTTCAGGAGATACTACAGGAACGACAGCTATATCACACGCAGCTCGTTCTTTTCTGGGAGAGAGGGTAGTTGCTGCTGAAGAAGATGGAGATGAGGGGCGAATTGCTGCTCGAACAGTATATCAAGCTTGTGAGGAGTATGCAGAGAGAGCTGGCGAGCCCGACGGAATGATGGGACTTCTTGCGCGCCTTTTCGCTTCTGCAGCGCGGCATTATCACTCTGAGTCAACAGACGAATCGGTTGTTTCGATCTCGGAGGGTACACTACCAGGACATCCTGAAGAATCCGACACATCGTCGGATAGTCCAAATGTACGATCAGAGAGTCCTCCGTTCACCCTAGATGTATTTGACCAAAGGTCGAAAGATGGTTGTGCTGCTAGCGCAACCATTGGTTCAAACAGTGAGGCTGGGGCGGACCCCACGGAGAGAGTAGAACTACACAGGGAAGTAGCAGCTCTCTCGTTAGATACCTTGGCGCATTGGGTTAGCAGGGCTGACAGTCTCGGCAGTCGTGAAGGTCTGGACATGAGAGAGTTTGTTGTGAACATATGCAAGAGCGCTAGCTTCTTCTCATTGCGGAATTCGCCTGCAAGCTACGATCTTCATGCGGCCATGGTCGATTTTGGGTCGCTCGTTGGTCCCCTCATATTCCAGCAAACAAACAACTCTCAAGCGGATGATAAACCAGAGGGGCGAGCAGCTCTCGTTTTCACTCTGATCACGGCGTGCCAGAAGATGAACCCCATTTTGAAACGTGTTTTGAGTTTTGACAGAGGCGTCTCAGTGGTGAGAACTCTTGCAAAGGCGCTACTGGAAAAGGTTGAGGAAGACAGACCAGTTCCTGACCAGAGTTCCGAAGCTTCACATGGCCTACCTGTTGACGATTTGGTTAGTGCAATCATGACTTTGTTAAGCGCAGAGAATGCAGTTGACGTCGTGGAAATCCTTTGCCAGTACATCAAAGCACCACGGAAAGTAGAGACGGCAAACGTAACAATTGCCCACCGTGCGGCATGCCTGATTGTTTTAAGCCGAGCGATCAATGTAACTCTTGGAATTCTTGACGACAGGGATGCGACGCGAGTGGCGATTGCAGCATTGTATAATAGGGACGTAGATCACGCTCTCGATCCGGTCTTTCCCCATTTGGTCGCCGAGTTGGTACCAGAGGCGATCTCCGATTCACAGCAGTCTCCAATTTGGGAACCCGACGACAGATTGTTAGCTTCACTGCACGGAATTACGAAGTCCGTTGATCGCATGTGCTTTCATCCAAGCTTCGGATCATGGGGCGGCTTGTCAGATCTCGCCACTTTACCCACAGAAAGCGTCGTCCAATGTAGCGAAGTTAGCTCGCAGAGCACTGTCAGTGCGAAACTATGCTTTCATTTGTTCTGGGGCAGTGTTATGTTGCACCGCGCTTTAGCATCTGTTGCGAAAGTCACGTCGTTTACGTTCACCGGCCTTTGTCCGTTGAGTGATGAGCCTGCATCGTTTCCTTTGTCGAGTCCGTTTGTCTGCATGAATGCCACGGAGTCGAAAGTCGGTAATGATCGCTTAAGGGAGCGCCTGGATCATCGCCAGAAGTCATCGATACCACTGCTATACACAGCGGAATGCTTGGCGTTCCTTCATCCGCAAACAGGAATGCGATCTGACGAACAAAAAGTGTTCGCAGATCACGACCTGCTGTCGTTGATAAGCTCTCTTGTGAAAAATATCGTGGATATCGTTTCCGACCACGTTTGTCCTGACGAGGGTAGCACATTTAAAGCACTTCATAGAGCGTTTCGGAAGGACTTCGTGTTTGACTCAGAAGATCGAGTTGAAGAAGAGACAGAGCTTCGTCGGCAAATCCGTCCTGCAATGACAAGAGACCAAACTTCGTACGCTTGCTTGCAATTAGCGATGGCTTATATGCGTGATATTGGCTCTAATCAAATCGCACAGCTTCTAGGAACAGTTATGGTCTCCGTATCACACTTTTTAGCACGCCTCAATCCACAGCAGTTAGAAGAGGCCAGGGACCTAATGGTTGACGTTTCCAAACTCTTATTATTTCTACCGGACGCCTTCGGAAAACTTGGGTGTGCGATTCGTCGCTATTTGAAACTTTGCATTAAGCTTTCCTTTGGGGACAAAATCACTGAAGACTCTACCGTTGAGGCGATGGTATTGTTTCTTGCTCGACTGGCTGGGTTTTCGAAAGCTATGGACGTCGGAGCTTCTTCCGGACCTGGGATCCACCTTCTTTGCGAATTTGCACATGACAGCAGTGCCGAAGATTTTTGTGAGGCTAATGTTTTGCAGCTATGCCTGACAAGTGACATTGTGGTGCCTGAAGACTTCAGCAAGGAATTTGTCGCATGGTTACAAGATGTGTTTCCCAAGGTAAGACTTCGTGCATTGCTTGCAAATCTCATGATACTTCCCGACGAATCGGCAGTAGCTGTGTCAGCGCACTCTCAATCTCTCTCGCTACTTAGTGAGGCTTGCCAGCTCTCGAAATTCTGGAAGTACGCGGTTGTGGCAGATCTGTATGACCTCTTGCTCGATCGCGACGAGTCGTTTGTGACCAAATTAGTACGACATTCCGTCATGGACTCAGCCACAATGAATGAGAGTGTTCTTGCAATTTTCGAGCGGGTCATCGGAGCTGGGGATGACGAATCATCCGCGAAAGTAATCGTCAAAGTGTTTGAATCTGCATGCCAACTCTTCAGGGAGGACGTCGATTCGTCATTAGAGAGTCGGGTCAGACTAATGACTTTTATGGTTCGCTTGGCGACATCACATCGCCTAATTGTAGGAAAGGTGTCGAAAACTCCGTCGCGATCCCTCATGGAACCTTTATTTGAATTGACGATTGGTTATATGCGAGAAATGATGGTTGTGTTGAAAGAGACAGACGGCAGTGATGAGTCCGCGAAGCGAAAAGTCTTGTTTCTCTGCGGTCTAGTAGACTCTTTTCTCGATGGAATATATGGCCCTGGACACTCGTATACTTCTCAGCATGGCGACCCGTCAAGACCTTTCAATCAGGGTCAGAATGCCGATCCTGACGGAAATGGCAGTGCGAAGCCTGATGAGAACGAGCGAAAGTCTAGTACAAACAGTATCCCATCGGACCTTGACATATCTGCTGGAAACTCCACGAAGTCATTGCTGTGTACATACACAACAACTGGAAGTCAGTTTGTTGAGCAACATTGGTACTTTTGCTATTCATGCGACTTAACAGGGTCTGAAGGTGTGTGTTCAGTTTGTGCACGAGTATGTCATGACGGATGCGAACTGGCATTCAGCAAGTTTAGCAGATTCTTCTGCGACTGCGGAGCTGGTTCTGATCCCCAGCACGAGAACGCTTCAAATGCTATGTCCGCATCCGAGGATGGAGAGGGTGGAAACTTAGCAGCACAAGATGGTCACTCTCAGACGTTATCGGTAATCCAAGGGCGGAGGCGAAAACTCTGCAAATGTTTGAAAAGCTTTCCCAGTAGGGGGGATAGCCCATCTTCGACTCATGGTTCCGAGGATCGCAAGCTGGATTCTATACCAGAGTGTGAGCATGATGTTCTCTCTGAATTACGTTTACGAGAGTTGCTTCATTCCGAAATCCGGACCGCGAAGGAGGAAGGGCCGAAATCAGAGCCAAATAGTGTGCCGACTATTCAAGAGTCATTTGAACGAGTGATGAAATCAGCCGAGACTGCAAGATGTCTCATTCACACCGCCCTGGTGCTTGTATGTGAACTGCAGCTTTCTCACTCAACAAAAAACGCTGTGTGCCTACTCCCAGAGGAGGCACAGGTTGCAGAGTCCATTAATCAGGCAGTTAAGACCCCACAGTACGTGCGGATGCCGAGGACCACGAAAATCGCAAGATCTACGAGGGTCTTCAAGGCAGGATGCTTCGATATGAATGGAATGCCGCCATCTGCGGGGAGCCCAATAATTTGGAAGGGTTCTCTAATCTCGTATTCGTCAAGTAGCAGTATCCTCGCTATCGCTCAAAAGACGGGCAAAGTGCAGTTTATTGATGTCTCGGAAACGTTGCAACACACGGGAAATCCGTTGGAGAAAGCAATAGGGTCGAGTTACGCGCAAACTTCCGTACCGTACGACATTTTTCATTTAGTCTTCCATCCCGAGAACCCGAATTTGCTGCTCGTTGTCGGATCGACGAGGGTATCCGTTTTAGTGCGTGTGCCCCAATCCGGTGGATGTCGTTGGCATTATGTAGAGATTGAGCTTGGTTTGGTGGCTTTTGACAGTGCTGAAAGCGGGAGCATTTTGCTGGATGCGTCTTGGGTGGAAGGCAAAGCGGCTTACGTCCTTATAACAACAACAAACTTTGTGAAAGTGTTTGACGTGACAAAGGATAACATTTCTCCGTGCTTTTTCGCTAAAACTCCTGGTGTTAACGAAGCCGGAGCAAGCGTGGGAGTCCATACGAATGATGGCGAAGAAGAAATCCATGAACCAAATTCAACCAAGGCAGAAAAGATTGATGAATGCTCCGGTCGGACTGTGCGCTGTGCATTCGTTGTTCCGCGCTTGGTACAATGCGAGACACAACCGATACTTTATTTAGTGCTCATTACATCAGATAACCTCCTATTTGTTTCCCGCTGCAAGGTTGATGAGGCAGATGCCCCCAAGTTTCTGAAGCTGTGTGATTTGGGAGACACTATTGGGGACGAGATCAAAGACCCTTCCATTAATGGAGTGTTTTATCATCCCACGACATCTCTCATCATGGTGAGTTTTAAAAATGGTTCTCTTGTTGGCATGGCGCTCGCTCTTGAGCCTGAAGGGGAAGATTTCCGCGCTGCCACTCAATGGGTACACTTTTACTCCGACGCTATTCCCGCCGGCGACAATGCAGAGCTAATTCCTGTTCCAGGATTGGAGACAATATTCATGTTTTGTCGTAAAGGGCAGTCCTTGAAATCTGGTGGGGTATTGTCGGTGACATCGGACAGGTCAATGAAGATACACTGCTTCAGTGGAAGCCCGTCTTCCTCTGTACTGGGGTTGACAACATACGCCCCGTCGTCTGTTCTGGGGCGTTCAGCTTTTGCTGGAGGTTTTATTCTTTTGGATGACGGCAGTCTCCATAGGGTTGATGTGGCTTGCGGGCCTCCACGCCCACAAATATCTGATCAGTCTATACTATCCACTGTCTTCGAGCGACAACGTCAACGTGCATTGAGAGCGTCAAGGGCTCATAATGACGGACTGAACGGGTATCACGCTGTACCAGATACCGTGGGCTTCTTCGAGAAGTGTCGTCTCGTCTCCGAGCAGGTGCAAATACTTCCACCGTTCGAAAGCAGTGAGCCGGGGCCTCTTTACGAAAGGATGGGTGTCATCTTAGCGGGAAGCAGCGGTGATTGTGTTGTGAGTTCAAAAGAAAACGAGAGCTTCGATTTCTCCGCTGCGATAAGCAACCAGTCCATTGTCTTAGTTGGGGCAAGATTACGTTTCGGGGGCAGTGAGCGCTCCCGGAATCGCGTTCCACTTGAAGTGAAAGTTTTTGGAAGGACAGTGAGATGGCAGGCTAAAAACGGCGTAAAACGCTGGCTTGACATACCGTTTACTGTTCCAGAGAGCACGGAATCGCCGCAGAAGGCTCACTTCGAATTGCTACCTCGTCGAACCATGGGTGAGAGCAGATTTTCAGGAGATGGGTACCTAGCTATTGATTCCCTTGAGCTCTACGCCGTTAGCACAATCGAATTTACAGAGAGAAAGCTGTTATATGAGAATGAGGAGGCGAAGCACTACGAGCAACTTAAGAAGCAAAGGGAGCCTGCAGAGGAGAGAAATGTCAAAAAGTATTCAGAACTGTTAAGCATGGCGTCCCGTGGTACGCCCAATAGCCCAAATTCAGCGAAGTTCAGCCAAGAGCAAGTGGCTTTGCTATCGCTTCTTAATTCTTTGGACTCCAAGAGCTTCGCGAAGCAAACTGGAGCAGAAGCCGAGAGCGGGACTTTGTTGCTAGAAATAAACAACCTATGGTCGGCAGTATTTGAGGGGTCTCCGGCGCGTGACCCGAATTTCCTTGGCCACATGCTGAAGCCAGTGTTGAAACTGTGCACTGGGAGCGAGGAGGCGGACGCTCTGGCAGAGTTCGCCTCCAACACCAAGGAGCTGATGTCAAAAGCCGTGATATCAAGCACCGACAAGATGCTCTGTTCAGTGGGGTGCAATGGGGTGCTCTTGCATGTGAACGACATTGAACGATCCTTATTCGCAGTAGGTGGTTTGTGTCGTTCGCTGCTGGTCGCCGCATCTTCTGTAGGAAAGCTAGATCGCGATACATGGAAGAAAACACGAATGGAAGTTCTACCACCACCGTCATCTTTGTATATGCTTCTGAAATGCCATTTTGGATTAGGACCGGCCGGAAGATCACTTTTCACTTCGTCTTATGCTGCGACAACCTGTGCAGTTGACATTTTTATGGTTGAGTTTGTCCGAGGCTGCCTTGAGCCAGAGGATGAAACTCTGTGCACTAGCTCGATGTTTTTTTCGCTGCTGATACAAATGCTGTGTTCTTTTGATCAGCGCTTACGGCTGTTTATAAGTCAGAGACTCCTTGAATTGTTTGACTCATTAGACGCAGCAGCTGAGCTTACAGGAACTCCTTTAGAGGCGGTTGTTGGGGCATCCCTTTCGGATCACTTGAGGACTGCGGAAACGTCTACTGAGCATCCGAGCTCGAGTTCCGAGACAGAGAACACCAATGAGGAGACTGAAAGTGCGCAGCGTTGGGCTTATCGATGCGATAATTGCAGGGAGGTATGTGATCAAGAATGGTGGCACTGCAATGTGTGCGAGGACTTTGACCTGTGTACAGGCTGTCTCCGCAAACCAGGCATCTCCTTTGATGGTCAACACAATGAGGAACATCTGCTTCTCCGGGGAACGGCTGGCGATGATTTATCCAGTCAAGAAAGTGTACATGGAAACGACGAAGTTTCCGACGTCACTCTGGCAGTTCAGAAGGCATTGGGTTCCATTTTGGATGAGATACTGTCCGCAGCTGCGTCTGAAAAGAGTTCAAGCAATATATGGAGATACCTTGATGGAATTGAAACGGTGTCGCAACTGGTTGGGAAACGAAGTCATCCATTGCTCAAGAGCTTCCGCGTTGAATCTTTGTTTCAGTCGACATTCGTGAATTTTCTCCGCAGAGAAAGCGAGAATGTAGGAAATGAAATCGAGGGCACTAGTACAGAAGCGGGCTTACGTACGATTCCGAAAAACATGGAACTGTTGTTTTTAGTACTAAGGATCGCGAACTGTGCTCAAGGTGGTCTCACGCCTACTTTCCTCCACGAGTGCAGCATTCCTGCCAGCCTTGTAAGGCTGCTCCGAAAATTCCATGGCAAGCTCCAAATACTTGTTAGGTCTCTCATTTCTGGACAACTGCAGCTGCGTAAATCCCCTGCGGAGGAATGCAGCCTCGTTTCCTGGGGAACGTGGAACAATTTAATCCCGGGGCTTGCGTACGACGTATTACATCAACGGAGAAGTCTTCGACCGAATGGAAAGGTAGGGGCCCTCTACTATCTTAACGAAGAGCTCGGGCAGGGCAACAGCTTATTCTTAAATTTGCTTATTGCCGTGTTGGAAGTCCTTGAGTATTCCTTCAAGTCCGCATCGAGCTCCTCGATTTTAACTCAAATGAGTGAGACACCACGGAACGTGCTCTGTGACATCATTAATTTTTGTGAATCCACATATCCTTACGTACAGGATACAACATTGCTCAAAGAATCGGCCCGCGCGGCGACTAGGGTTCTATCTGCCCTCTCATTTGATGATGTCAACGTCCTTAATGACACCCTGGACAAATACTTATACGAAGAGCAATGCCAACATTTGGAAAATGCCGTCAAATCCATGTCTGGAAACACGAATCAGATCGTAGAATATGATGTTTCCGTCGAGATTGCAACGATTTTGGAGACATTGCACAAAGCCGCAGAGACTCATCCTGCAACATGGAGAAGTTTCGTAATCGAAAACGATCAGGTCCTGCGGCACATTTACGGGGCATCTCGTCTCTTAGGCGGTCAGATGCGAGTGAAGGCATTACAATTACTAGCTACAGGATTTGCGGTCTCTGACAAGGTAGCTTCACGAGTAATTCAGGGTCTGCGCTTTGTAGACTTTGATGACATCGCATTGCCTAATTCCTCGGAGAATCCTGCTGAAGCCCAAGATGACGGGAACGTTGAACACGAAGACGAACCCGAAACAGACTGCGTGTCAGCAATAGCGTTATCAAAAGAAAGTCAACACAGACAGCAAGTTGCAGTCTCAATCTTCCAAGAAAAGAGCGCTGACATACTGCAGTTCCTGGTCCACAAAGTTATGCTAAGGTCACAGGACGCAGCTGCTAGAAGAGCAGCTTCACACATCATAATCTTAGGAATCGCCAGGGCAGCTGCGCACGTCGAGGAAGAATCGTTTGTGACAACTATTCATTCTTCGTTGATGAAAGGCATACACCTAATGCCTTACGCAGGAGAGCTTTCCGATGGACTTCTGGATTGCGTCCAGTTTTTTATCAAGTGCTGCCAAGGTGATCTTTTTGACCTACAAAGCGAGCCATTGCTTACGAGTTTATCATTCACGGTCACATCTTTAATGAAGCAAAGGTGTAACCTACTCGTCTCGCATCCGAATGCTCGCTTATACGGGCGGCTTTCAGCTTTGCTTGACATTAATGGCTATTACCTGGAATCAGATCCATGTATGTCCTGTTCAGGATCCGTATGTGCCTCTTCGGAAAGCACGGAATGCCGGCTTGACACCATCCGTGCCGAAACAAAGTATACGGATTCGTCCATTATGCACCGGCTTCTCTCGGTTCATGAAGTATCGGCAATTTCCGTGAAAGTCGTAGACCCCCGAAGAACCCGAAGAGCTAAGACGATCGATGTGTTGTTTTCATCAAGGAGTGTTGCAGATGCTGCAGAACTAAAGAGTGTTGACTTCCCCTGGAGGAAGCTAAGATCCTTGGAGTTGGATTCGAAAGCAACAGAGGCGTCTATAAACCTGGTAGTTCCCATTGCCGCTGCCAACATCAAGTTGGAATTCGTTGATTTTCATTCCTTGGCTGAGCTCCCTAGCGAGTCTTCGAGTGGGAACATTGACAAGAGCTCAGCAGAACCATCGAATTCAAGACGATCGAATTCAAATACCGGAAGTAATGAGAATTTGCAGTGCCCGAGATGCTCACGCTCCGTCACAGACCGGCATGGCATTTGTCGAAATTGTCACGAGAATGCCTACCAATGTCGCCAATGCCGTAATATCAACTATGAGAACCTCGACGGATTTTTATGCAACGAATGCGGCTACTGCAAGCATGGGAGGTTCGAGTTTTCTGTAATAGGGAGACCAACTTTCGTCGCTGAACGCATTGCGAACGAAGAAGATAGAAAAAGGGCATCTAAAATTATTGAGAAGGAAACAGGAAACGTACATCGATGCATGGACCAACTTACTTCCATGAGATCATCAATTATTCGCTCTTTGAATTCTGGGATTCCGACTGAAGAGGGTAGGGAGCGTACGAAGCTGCTTGGAAATGCGAGAGTTGGTTTGGCCGACCTTCTGGACTCTGTGGCACCCCGGGCTGAAATCGCAGTTTTAGAAGCGCTACTTGAACAAGGTCATGCACCCCAGGAAATCGAAGAGGCAGCCAATTCCACCCAAGGAGGGATCAGCATTACTGAAGAAGTTGCCGCTGAAAGTAGCGGGTCAGCAGATCGCAGCGACAGAGACCAAAATAACGATGCCGGCTCGAGCGTAGCTTCACCAGTGAACAGGAATGATCCATCTCGGAGCGCTAGTGGTGACGGAAATGTCATCAGCAAGAGCACCACTGCCCTCGCAACAACGTACGGCAAGGAATGCCGTTCCATTTACACTGGCATGAGCAGAGGTATCCGTGTGCTGACGCTAACAAGAGCCGAACTTGTTCGATATGCGAACTCTGTTGGGGGCAGTCGCCTTCAGTATGCTAATGAAATTGTCCTTAAAAAGAGTTTACCGAACACTGACGATATCGAAACTGACTCGGCGACTTCAGGACTGACGAGGTCGATACCGAATCAAAGAAGAGTGGCTTGCTATGGATGTACGCAGTCGTTCGTTTCACACTGTGTTCGCCTTGTCCAATGTGTCCTGAGAAGGGACGGACCAGCGACCACTGCAATACGGAGCTCTGACCTCTGCCAGTATATCTTGCTGGTGTGCTCCTTGTGCGAAAAGCCCGAGGTGCGTGGAAACATGCGAGATTTGATAACATATCTTGTCAATGATAATCTACATGCGACCCAGCTGGTATGCAGGGAGCTCTCCCGGAAAATTGAATTTTGCGTCGATTCGTTCGAGACCGTTGACTCGCATTCAGTTGCAAGATTTGAAATGGGAGTACTGGAAGCCATTGCGACGTTGGATGATTCTTGTTGGGAAGAGCGCTTGAAGCTTGTGATTCGCATCCTGTTCAAGTCTTCCACTCAAGCGCTGACATGCTCCTCCGTCTCAGAAAGTATCATTCTGCCGTGCCTGCGGGTCGCATTGAGACTCATGCGAACAGATTATGACCTAATGGTTATCGACAGCAAAGCCCCTGCAGAGGAATTTTCAGGCTCGCATGACACAGGAGATGTAGAGCGTCCCAGTGGCCATTCGACTGGACCCAGTGACGGTGAACCTGTAGACGACTCTAGATCCGGCAGAAACACCCACACCAGTCAGCCTGAAGCATCATCCGATGGTGACATAAGGCGCACATCGGAGCAGGATGGTAGCGGAGTTGCGAACACTTCAATTGGCTCACTTGAGGCGGTTCGAAGCAGGATCTCTCACATTCCCGACAATTCTGAACAGAGCAGCTCAACAGAACCGACTTGCACCCAAACAACGGCTTCAAACTTGGAAAATATGTTTTCGACACCTGAAGTGCCATCGAGCATTGGCGGAGAAAGTGATCTCCATGATTCAGGTGATGAAGAAAACAATACCGCCCCAAGACCACGCAGAGATATAAGCGCAGAAGGTCTCAGCACCCTTCTCGAGAACGATCACGAATCAAAGGTGGTAACTGCTGATGTAGATCGCTGGCTGGAAGGGAAATTTGACCAAAGATCCTGGATCGCTGAGATGACAGAGAGATCGAACGGTCAGGAGGGAGGCAACAAACGTAGAACTGGCCCTTCCCAATCCCGAGCACATCTTGGAACAGTCTTCTCGCGATGGAAGCACCTCGGGGCAGATTCATCGCCCGGCCTGTTCAGCCGTAAAGACAAGCCGAAGCTTAAGCCGCTTTCTATTGAAAAAGACAACTGGGTAGTACGACTGATGCTTCTCACTCCGTGTGCAACGGTCAGGAAGGAGGCTTGCGCACTCCTAGAGCTCATTTGTGGTCACGAGGAAACGTTGCAACTGCAGCTTCTGGACGTGCTCACAGGGCCGGCAATATCTTTGGGGGCGGATGCAGGCGAACACTCGAAAGAATTTTTCGATCTATTGGAAAGGTCGCTCTCCTCTCGAAGTCATCGCCTTTATCTCATTGCAAAAGGGTTCCTATCACGTCTAGCCGATCTCATACGCACGAGGGCGGAGCGCTTGCTTTTATCGGAAGCAAGTTCAGAATCATCGCTCCAGCTAGTTAATTTTCTTGAAGGATATGCCGTCAAGCGTCTACTTTCACTGCTGCGTCATACCCTGGACGCTATTCCAGGACAACGGTTATCTTTGAGAGAAAAACTGTTCAAAGTGAACGATTACAAGCTTGTGGGGTCTCTTGAAAGGGCCTACATCTGCATGCGAAAGCTTATATCGCTGCGGACGAAATTAACAGATGAATGCGGTGCTCAGCTGTGTGAGATACTATTATCCCGTGACCTGTTATTTGCTGGTCCCTCGGTACTGGCCGTTGTGTCGGCATGCGTTGAAGAATTGAAAACAGCAAAGGCAAGAAAAGATGCGCAGGCGATTGGAATACTCTTGGAGCAGCTTTGTCTGATGTTGTGCCCGGAGCGCAAAGAACCGATATGCCATCTATCTCTGAAAAAGGCACCGACGCAAGAAGAATACATACGAGGAAGCATGTCTCGGAACCCATACGCATCATCCACATTTGACGGTCCTTTAATGCGAGATGTGAAGAACAAAATTTGTAGGGACTTGGAAATTCCAAGTCTGTTAGACGATGATTTTGCCATGGAGCTCTTGGTCGCGGGGAATCTTGTCAAGCTTGATTTGCCAATTATGGCTGTGTACGACCACGTGTGGCGTGGTTCCTCAGAAGCATCTATGGTATCTAATATGCAACCGACACAACTCACCAGATCGTTTGGGTTGCGTCGAACCTCGCATACACATCCTTCTAGAGGGCAGGTTTCGAGGAGAAGCACGATTCTCACACTTCGCAGGTTGAACTCAGATAGAGATGTGTCTGAGGACGACAGCAGAAGTGACGGTCGGGCAGACCCGCCTATGGTAGTAGTCTATCGTTTATCAGGGCTAGACGGCGAGGCAACAGAACCTATAGTTGATTCCGTGCCGGCAGAAAGCAATGACGAAGAAGATGCAGAAAAAATGTACGGCGATACAATTGTGTTTGGGGAGGTTGGAGGACTTGAAGTTCTGTTTCAGTTATTGGCAATTGTAGGATCATGGGGAGATGATGCTGAGACTGCTGTTCGCGCCCCAGCTTTGCGTCTGCTTCGTGCCTCTTGTGAAGTAGCAAAAAATAGAGCTTTACTCGCAAAAAGTGCGGACACGGTAAGCACGCTTTTGGACTGTGCCGCCTCTGCATTCGAGCATGCACAAGGGAGCCCTACCGCCGTCTCGTCTGCCGAATCATTGCTTGTCGCAGCGGAGCAGATTTTAGCGCAACAGCGAAAGGAACTGGAGTCACACGCAAGCACAATGACGGATACTGTAACTGTATTTTCCCATGATCCAGACGAAATCATGTCTCGCATCCAGGTCTTTTTGGGTCGATTGTCCGTGGCGACGTCTCCAAAGGCCGAGAACTCAATCCTACATTTGCTACCGTTTCTTGTGCAAGGAGTTCCCAGTGCCATTGGTGCTGTGTTGCAGTACTTCCAATTTGCGTGTGAGACAATTGATGTTGAGAGCGAGGGACAAAGGAAGGCTCGGCAGCTTGGCACAGTTTTGTTGGCAACTCCGAAAGACCTTCGAGGTGATAAATTCGCCGAGCAAACCATCCGAACAGATGTCGCAATGAATGCAGTTCAGTACTTGGTCCGAAAATTCCCAGTGCCCCGGAATACTCACCAAGAAGATTGGGCTGCCGCCTTGGAGTATCCAGGCCCACCCCTTGTTCTTCGTCTTTTAACTGGTTTGAGTCTCTTCTTCGGTCCAGGGCAGGATCAATATCAATCCGGAATCCTGTTGAAAGAAATTCTGGGCGACGAAACAAAAATTATCCCGGCCTTATGTCAGCTGGAAATGGCAGTATCTGGAAACGCTATTGGGACAACCACTGAAGAGCTGTTAGACGCTTTAGGGAAAGATGGGAAAATCAAGAGTGAGATAGAAAGAGAGCGAAGCGAGATCAAGAGAGCCCGTCGAGAAGCTGCAAAAGCATCCAGAATGGCTATTCTGCGGGAGACGGGATTGTCAAAGCTTGTCAGAAATGAGACACCCACTTCTCAACTTTCCTCGGAGAGTGTTAAAAAGGGCGAAGAGGAGCAAGTCGAATCTGTATTGAAGCTAATGGATGAATTGCCAGATGAAGTAGGCCCGTCTTGTGTAGTGTGCGGGGACGGCTTTCGATGTCGACCGGAGGATGCCCTCGCCTTCTACGTGCATTGTCGCAAAGTGCCTTTAGATTTAGCAGGGAGTTCTTACGCTTCGAAGGAATCTGGTCCTGGCGAGACCTCACCGAGCGGCTCTGCTCAGAATTCGGGTCGCTTGGAACTACAGCTTTGGGCATCCGGCAGGTCCCGCAACCATGGCACGTCTACTAGAACTGGTGGAAGTTCATGCTACGCCACCGTTACTCATCTCAACGCCATTCACTTGTCATGTCATAAGGAAGCGGCAAGGGCGGACAGATCATCGCGCAGGGATGAATGGGAAGGAGCGGCTCTCAGAAATTCTCAGACGAAGTGCAACAACCTCTTCCCGGTGCGACCTCCTGTAACACTCGAGAAGGAGGCTGGCGATGATCAAGCTGCAATTCAAAAGACAGCAAGAATGAGTTACTCAGCCGCAGTTGACAGCTACTTTGGACGCCTCTCTTCCATCGGGCGGACTAATTTATCGCACTCAAAGGTTGTCATATATGATATCGGAAGAAGTCTGCTGCGCTTCGCAGACGGGGGAACAATGATATTCTCAGAGTATGCGAGAGGTGGAGGCCCACACTCGAATGCCTGCCTCCTTCCGCATCTCGTTCAGCTAGCAATACACATGGTAGAAGTATCACCTCATGGTGAACAAAAGAGCTTTTTTGACGAAAGCCGGACTCTGCAAACCCAAGAGGCTGCACTGGTCAAGTTTGTAGAGGAGGATGAGGTAGGTGACGTCACCTACTACCTTGCATCTGCCTTAGTTCTGCAATCTCTAGAGAAATGGAGTACATGTGCTACTGTTTTTCTACGACGCGGTATCCGCGGCGGAGCCCTAAGGTTGGCCGTTCTCCTCAGGCTAATCGCCTTTACGGATCTAGTGAATCGTGTGATGAAGAGTGGAGTTTCTGTTGCCGATGACCAGCACTGGTTGGAATCGTTTAGAAGGCGTATTGGGTCTGACGAAGCGTTCGCGCAAGAGTTCGGAGATATTGTGAACAATCGATGGGAAGAGTACATTCGCTCCGTAGATGATGCAGAGTCTCTATCAATGGCTATTTCGCGAAACTATGAGGTTGACAATATGGGTCACGGAGGCCAAGGAAAGGCCTTGCACGAATCGATGAAGTTGTGCATAGAATCAGAATGTAGTCGCCCCACAAACACTGTAAGTAAGGGTGAATAGACTGTAGAGTTCATTATTTTTCAGGCGGCAACGTCATAAACCGAGCACACAGTTGAACGCGTCTTCCTGAACCAAACCAAACCAACAAGCTGTGATGTAGTACAGAAGCTGTAATGGTACGCACAATACTGGCCGCTCACAAGTACGAAGCTCATTCCGATGTGTTCCTTCGGACGAGAAACGGCGTTTAATGTATCCATGAGACCGTCCCGTATTGGAACTGGGCAATTGAAGACATATCTTAAAACTTTGAAGTAAGGCTTAGACATTTTATTTGCTCCGACAGAGCTGGCTCACCCGTCGCGAAAGCTTTACATCTCATACAGTAGTAGTACAAAGTGCTCTTCATACAGCGTAGTGTCCCACACTGATTGAAGCATATGTTAACGAAGTGATCGCTGAATCAGTTTCGAAATTAACTTGAGCAAAACCTACTCCGTGATGTCTCTGAGCTCGAAAATTGCTATGCAGAGAACCTCGAGTTAGTAATAGCAGACAAGTCCGCAGGGTTTGGATGCTTCTTCATTTCTTCCTCCACTGCCTCTTCCGGCAACCGATGAACGTTCTGCAAGTGCCGCTTCAGATGGCAACGTTTCGTTATTCCGTTTTCGCAAATCGGGCAAGTGTACGCCTTTTCCGTACGATGAACCTCTCTTTCATGTCGTGTCAATCCGTTGCAGCTAGAGAATGCCTTTGCACATTGCGAACACTCGAAAGGTTTGTAGCCTTCGTGCTCCGTGATTGCATGTCGTTCTAGATGTGCGGGAAAAACAAAACTTCTGTCACAACCTTGGTACCCGCAGAAAAAAGTTGGTTTTTGACCATGATGCGTGCCATTCACATGTCTTGTCTTCGCACCAGAAGAGTCGTAAGATGCATCGCAAAACTCACATTTGTGCGTCCGCCGGGAGTCAGTGTGCACATTGCTGATGTGGTGCCATAATGTCCCTTCAGATGAGTAATATCCTCCGCATTTTGGACACATGAATGGTTTTCGTTCCTGGTGCACATGACGGAAGTGTCGAACCAGGTTTCCTAGGTCAGACATCTTTCTTGTACATACGGCACATGATAGTCGTTTACTCGATGGACACGTTGAGTGCTCAGCTTTCCCACAAGTACGCGATCGCTTGCGAGGCCTCTCCTCGCTCTCTATTGCCGGTGAATCTCCTTCAACGGAACTTGTTGTGGCTGACATCGTGAAGGAGGACCTCTTCGTGCCAACCTCCATCATGACTTCTTCATCAGAACCAGACAGTTCCGAACCGACCGAATCCGGCCGTACAGGTGCTGGATCCTTATCAAGTATGAAGTCAAGTGGCCGGTCATCAAAATCAGGCATTTCACGCTCAGCTGCTGACATGACATCAAGGGCTATTGACTTCAAGCGGTAGCCGTGCTTTGCGAAGCACTTTTTGAAGGTCGTCAATGTTGAGTACAGCTCTCTCGATTCTGCGAGATGGGCTTCTGATTCGTGCATGGAGCTAATCTTGAGCAGTTCAACATCGGACAGGGAAACGTTAGGGGCATTCTTATCGGCTACGGATCTCATAGCATCAAGCTCCCTCTTCCCGCCAGCTGTACGGGATGTGACCTTGTGAAAAGACTCGGGTCGGCCGAAAGATTCATCATCTGAGCCGCAGATGCTAGGACGGAAATCCATATTTTCTTGCTTGAATGTTGGAGAAGAGAGGGAGGTCTGGTTAACCATGTCATCAACATGGGTCTGGACATGTCGGTGATGCGCATGGTGCTGGTACTCCATGGGAGTAGTGGTAGGTCCCAAAAGTGCATCGAGATTTGTGCTTGCCTCCTGACGCGGTGTCAATGGAGGAAATGGGATGGGGAACAAGTTGGGATCGGCTTGGAAGTGCGAATGCAAGTGCCCTTCGGGGGTGTCCGTGGCCGGTGATGAGAAGAGGAGGGCGAGGTCTGTGTTTGGGCCGAGACGGGCATCAGAAACGGCAGTTCTTGGGATATGATCCGCGAACAAGTTGAGAAAGGATGCGGAGTCCTCCATGATGTGTGGTGAGCGACCAAACGTTCTGGAGGTGTGGAGTCAAACGGTGGTCTGCTTGAAGGGTTGTTGTTGGAGTTGTTACCCCGCGATAAAGGTTTTGCGAGAAGAGGGCAGCGAATGGTTAATGGAAGAAGAATTGGGACGGAGTAGTCTGGCACAAGTTGAGTAGCGAAGGTGAAAATGGAGAATTAGAGAAATTGGCGGGTATACAGGGGTGTGATAAAGGGCAGCGAGGAGAGAGTGACTGCGCTGAAGAAGAAATCTCGAATGCGTGGGGGCTGAGTGTGAAGAGATGCATGAAAGTAGGATTTAAGTATAATTGGTGAGCGAGTCAGGCTTGCAAGGTGATTCATGCGTCTTTGGTAATCGTATGGCGGAACGGGTGCGGAGATATGGCGCAAACGGGGACGGGGGCGTGGGGCGAATGGGTAGGGACAAGTGGAAACGGGGCTGCTAACTGCGATGATGTGGCGGAAGGTTGTGAGGAGACGGGATGGTGAGCGCCGAAAGGTCGGAAGTGCAGGATGGATGCGGACATGGTGGTAGAGCTGGGTGCTGCGTACGGGCGCTAGGGAAGGCGAAGGCAGTTCGATAGCGGCAGGGGGGAAGATGGGTATCCGGTATTGGCTCCGTTGCTACTACACCAAGCGTCATGAGCTGACGAGGTTAGGCTATGTCACGTGGATGCGTGAGGCAACCAACCAAGATAGTGCTTCGTCAAGCGCGACTAGTACTGTACGGTAGTTTGTTTTTTGGTTATTTTTACTTGCGCGTCCGAGAATAGTCTCCTGTTCTCAGACGCGCTAGTGTGTTGCCACACTACAGTAGTACACTGTAGTGTTGTACAGTGATGCCGACTGTAAGGTTTGTGTGCCGACGGTGAATGGATGGGGCACACCCCCCTGGCACACCTCCCTGGTACAGTCCTAGTGTGACGTCAGTGTGGAGAATGCCTTCACATCCCCCAGAGCAGCACCGCAACGCTGTGACGTAACGTTCAGCAAATCACAGCCCACTGGAAGCCTTTTCCATACGATGCCCGTTTCCCATTCGTTCTTGGAATACTGCACCCATCCAATCACAACGAAATCTCAGTATCTCCATCGCCCCTTTGACCCCTTAATCCGCCCCGCTACGTGTACCTCAATTTATCCGCCCAACCAATCACAGCTTTCACCACCTACCTCCACACCCGTAGTCGCAACCTCCGCCTCGACTACCTTCCATTCTTCCTGAACGTTTCCTGTTGCCATCGCGAAGCAATCCCCACCCCGATACGTTTTGTCCCACTCAACCTCCACTCTCTTCGTCCTCAGCTTATGTGTCATGGAGCAAAACAGCACAACTTCTTTCCTCCCATCAACGTATCCTACCCCACGGCTCGAACCATGCTCGCTGTTGGCGCTATTGGCAAACTTGTGCCCAACCCTCTCTTGTGACACTGTTTTCAACCCCCTTCGCCTCGTTTACATTCTGGCCTAACACAAGCCCGTCTACGTATCATATCTTTAATTCAAAAGCAGTTCAGAAACAAAAAGAGCAACCCCCTATTGCTACTTGTCAACTTTCACATACTTTACCTATCATTCCTTGAATTCACTGCCCCGGTTCTCAGACACAAAACCCCGTCTCTTCCTCAATATCGCCACATTTTCCGAGCCGCCGTTTTCATCATGTTCATAACTCTTAACAGCCCCGTTTTGCAAAACAGCAATTTACAAGAATCCGCCCTCCCGCTAGTCCCACTCGCTGTTCTCCTTTCCTCCCCTTTCAACATCTTGTAACAAGCAATTACACCTGATTCCTGCTACGTCTGTACAGATGATCTACGGCGGACCAGCGGGCTCATTTCGATTATCTTCACGGTTCCATATTACGCGACCAATTGTCATTTCGTCCGCGCTCTCATTCTACTTCGCATCTTTCTCACGCGTGCACCGAATGCGTCGTGTTACCGACATTCTTGCTCAGTGCTGTCACAGCGCTGTGCGTTCAATACGTCACGCTTCATCATCACATGGCCGTCTTTGTCACAGTTCCAAGTTCGAACGTCTGAAAAACGGTCCCCATGCACAGTATGCCGTGTACATATACCAAACAGACGTTCTCTACACTGCCGGTTTTTCCTCTTTTGAACCTCATACAACCTTCTTCATGCATAGTGGCCTCCGATGCTGCATACGTTCACCTCACAGATGTCATGTTTGCCTGCATGCCAGAGACCCGTGGCCCTTGCGGTACTGAAGTGTACCGACATCACTATACGGGTCTCCCTTCCGTTTGTGAACTACAAAGCATGTTACATGAGCGTCATTCCTGCGTCTTTGCATAGAGGGACTTGTCTAAATTTATCCTCGAAAAAAGAAGCAGCCCCCTTTGGGTGCACACTGTGCCTCGCGTGCCCAGACGCACGCGCAACTGGTAGATCGCGATACCTTCTTTTTATCTAACTTACGGAATTACATCTTGATTCTGCTTGCTGGCATTGGGCCTTTCAGTCTTCGCAAATGCGTTGTCATGGGGGCTTGTTATATGTTCCGAAAGCGATCCTGAATCAAAACATTGCACACACATGTTGAAAAGAACCTTCTACTTCTGACTTTTGGCCCATCAGCACCACTTATTGAATGCTCTCCTTCTATATGTACATTCCTCTTGCGAGAATCGCAGGAGATCATTTTTCAACTTCCCCGTTGAGCAACTCACTAAAATAGTTGCAACGTTTCACACAAGTGCTGAATTCTTCAATTCCGAGGAACTGCCGTACACAGCGTGAGTGGTGACAATGGTTTGAAAGAATTATTTTTTTGAGTACTACCGACATCTCTGAGGTGCTCGAAAACATGCATAGCCAATGCTTTCTACGAGAATCGCCGAACAGCCAATCTCTGAAATATACTATGTTATGCTGGAAAAAATATGTAAGAGTTGTAGCCATTTCTGGCTGTCTCTGCAGTGACATCCTGAATGACATGGGTGCCAAATACGGAGTCACGGTACGCGGGGCTGACTATACTCATCTGAAAGGCAACACCACACGCGCTGGAAGGGCAGAGCAAACAAGGAAAGCGCGCTTCTTGTTCTGTTCCTCATACGCTGACTGTGTCTGTCTAATGCGTTTCTACGATTAATCCAATTAATCAATACTCAGGGAGATCGCTTTTTCCCACGATCTACAATAGCAGCTGACGCTTATGATTTTTTGTACAGTACGAGGCTAACCGTCCAGCTGGAGGGGCCGCTGTCATATCGGTGTCCAGTGTTGAGCCTTAATATTGTACGATACTACAGTGTACGCATCTCAAAGAATTAAGCGTCGAAACGCACGCACATTAGGTGCTCTACGGCATGAGGATGAGGTCATTGGTGTATCTGATTATTTCACATATTGTTTTTTTGGTATTTTACGGTGTCAATTTGGATCCCTTGAGGTACAGTACGTACCTGAGGGAGCGAACGACGCCTGCCAAGAAGTACGAACATGACCAACCTTCCGCGAACAACTTGATATGAAGACACAGAGAGATGTTCCTAATCGTATGCATCGCGAGTCATTGCGATATGCAACAGTACACCAATCTGAAAAGTAATTCTTTTCGTGTTGGTAGGCAGCTCGGACGAAGGATTTCGAGTAGTCCCTCGTTCTAGACTTGTAAGCTCTCGACTGTCCTTGAGAAGAATGACATCCTATCTGCGTTATATTGATTCAAATTCCTTTCGGGGCTTGTGCAGGGGACTGATGAAGTGCAATGCACCATTAATCAAGTTCCTGCACTCTTTGATACAATGCAGTATCTCATTCTCGCCCTCCGAGCGATTCAACTCAGGGGAAAAATATTTCTTTACCAGCTAAGATGGGGAGCCGATGCTGCAATACATCTTACGACAGGGGTTTATGGACTTAACACTTGGTTCTTACTCGTAAATCGAAATATTTTTGTCGAAAATCGAATTATTTTAAAATTCTGGAAATATCATAAAACATGTGTTTAAATATGGAATTTGCGGCGCATTCTCCCAGAACACCGCGGCGATCAACTCGCAGCTGTCCGCTTGGTCTAGTGGTATGATTCATCCTTAGGGTGGATGAGGTCGGGAGTTCGATTCTCCCAGCGGACCCTTCCTTCGAAAGAAGGCTTTCATTTTACTTTTTACAACTCTTGTTGATTTTTGAACCACTGATCGCTCCCGCCTTTTGGAAGACTTGGGATACCGCCAGCAGTTCCCACACCCTCAGGGTATGTCTTAACATGCCCCGTTTTTCTGCAGTTTGCTTAAGCTTTGCCCAAAGAGGTGATTTGGCGTGCTTTGATTGGCTCTTACGTTTTAATTTTTGAGTTTAAGGAAAGCAAGGGCTTACGAAGCATACGGTATTTGTTAAGAATTTAAAAGTATTCCTGGCAAAACCGGGCAACGCAAGCAAAAACCAGCCTGTTAAGACACACCCTCAGGGTGTGTCTTAACAGGCTGGGTTTTCAGGTCAACCCCAAGCACACAGATTCAACACATGCGTGGTGTCCTCCATGATCGTCAGCAGCCTCTGGTCGATGCACCTACCTTCTTTAGGGTTGCGTCAATTGCATTCTAACGGACTGGGGAAGGGACAGTGCTATCCTCGCGTTTTGCATTTTGCACGAGGCGGCTCTGCTTGATGTATGGTCTCTCTGTTTGAAACATACTCTTTCGTTAATAGCTGTTGTGTGTTCCCTAAGCGGCCTATCACGTACTGTGCCATGGAGCTACCGGTTGTTCGACGATCATTACGCTTACGTAGACCGCAAAGCAAGCGTCCCCGTACATCATCAGTCGTTGAACCGGTCTCCCCTCGACGTTCTGATGAAGCGACCTCAGATTCCGACTTCGCCCCATCCTCGCCTGGTTCTTCACTAGCGGGTGATGAAGAGGACGAATTATTTTCTTTGCAACATGAGCGAAAACGCCCCGTTCGGATCCGGAAAGCTATCGACCCTGTTTCGAGCCACAGTGCTCCAACGCCTCGCAGCCCAGGTCGTTGTTCACTAGCACCACCTGAAGTGTTGACGTTAAGAACTGCACTATTGGACTGGTACGCTGATCACTTTCGTACGCTACCTTGGCGATCGTCTCCCATCTATCAGAAAGGGGGTCTTCTACCATTAACTCACTCCGTTCCACACAGTCCTTCGTCGCCGGGAGCGCCGTATGCCGTGTGGGTGTCCGAAGTCATGTCTCAGCAGACTCGTCTATCAGTCGTGGAGGGCTACTTCACGCGATGGATGGCCGCGTTTCCAGACATCCAGGCCCTTGCCGACGCTCCACGGGAGAAGGTCAACCAGCTTTGGGCGGGATTGGGCTACTATCGTCGAGCGCGCTTTTTACACGAGGGAGCGGCTCAAATTCTTAGTGAGTACAATGGGAGGTTGCCTGAAGACGTCCCTACCCTTCTGAAGATCAAGGGAATTGGAAGATATACTGCAGGAGCTATTAGCTCCATCGCGTTTGGAAAGAACGTCCCGCTTGTTGATGGCAATGTCGAACGCGTTCTTGCGAGGCTCTGCCCAGGGCTTACCTCCCCTCGCGAGGATGGGGAGCAACGACCCCCACTACCAGCCGCATACTGGGACCTGGCGGAGATACTCGTCAGGGATGTCCAATGTCCTGGTGATTTCAACCAAGCGCTCATGGAATTTGGGGCTACTCTATGCAAACCGAAGGCCGTGTTATGTGAGGCTTGTCCCGTCCAAGACATGTGCGGTGCCTATCAGGAAGCGGTCGAGCTGGGTGTGGAAAACCCAGCTGAATATGTCACAAAATACCCCATCAAGGACCCGAAGAAAGCGACAAAAGTGAGAAACGAAACTGTATTTGTCCTCGTCGCCTGCGTTCGGACCACAAGTGGCTATAAATACCTCGTCCTTCAAAGGCCTGGCGATGGTCTACTAGCGGGGTTGTGGGAAGCACCGAACGTTGTCTTGCAATCGAAGACAGAAGCGGGAAAGGCCAAGACTTACAAGACCCTTCAAAGCCTCCTTAGCGAAACCATTGGTCATGCTGATGAGGCAAGACGAGAGACGGCATATACGAAAATGGGAGAAATCTTGCAAGTCGATGTTGGCAAGGTCACTCACGTTTTCTCTCATATTCGGCAAACGCTGAACGTTCGTCTGACAGTTTTGCAGCATCCCGATGGCGATGGCACGTTGAAGGACGGCAAGACGTCAACAGGTGTCCCTTTTCGATGGATTTCTGAGGAGGAGCTCAAGACGGGTGCCGTTCCCACTCAAATGAAAAAGGTTTTTGCAGCTGCTGAAAAAAAGCTTCCACGCGCTCACAAGCTTCGGTAATAAAGCGTCAAACGCATGCGAAGATTTGACCTCCAATACCTACCGATTACAGCTGCACTGTGCGCTGAGGCGAGGCTCCGAAATCAGCTCGCCATTTTAGTTCAATCACATGGGCGGTGGAATAGTGGCGTCAATGCAAGGTACAAGGAAAGAGACAGTGGCAGTGTTTTTTTTGTGACGAAGGTTTTATTATTTTTTTATGTCTCTTTTGTAGCCATTGATCGCCTTGAAGTCGTTCTTTGTGAAACGAAGCTTAGCTTCAAGAACTGTTCTGGTCCCTGCAGTGAGCGTTTAAAGGAAAAAATATCTTGAAGGTCGCATCAAATATGAAGTTCGCCCGCTTAGCAGTCCACCAGCACGAATTGTGACGTACAAGAGGCGGCCAGCTACAACACACACAACGCTATGGTATGGGTGAATTGAATGACAATGGTGCATTGCCAGCATTAGGGCCGGGACATATCCAGGGTTAGTTGGCTTATTAATTTTTAGCGTAATTTTAATTAAATTCGAAAATTTTAGATTTTTCGTCCATCCTTGTATTGTAAGCACTGAAACACATTTTCAACACTAGTCTGCAATATCATAGCTCTCCCACGGCTCTGCAACAGCAGAAGGCATCCTACGCGTCGAGGGAATAGCAAACCGAGTACGGGTCTACGCCGGCGGAGCACAGATTGTTGAACGGTGACTAAGCCACGTCGCCAAGACTTCAAGTTAACATTGCCGAGCAGCCCAAAACGTTTGCGAGAGAGAAACGAAAATGCGAGGACTCTCCGGCGTGGAACAGCCTCTGGTGAAGGCAGTGGTCGTCATAAACCACGAGGGAAAGCGCATCTGCTCAAGATTTTGCGATCGAAGCTTATGGAGCGATCAGGAATCGCAGCGGGCATTTGAGATGAGTCTCTTGCGAAAGGTCCAGGCCATGGGTGACGTATCCGAAAACGTTGATGTGATGGAATTCAGCGATTACGTCATTGCCTACAAGCAGGCCGACGATATGTACATGTTTGTTGTCGGAGGCGGGCAGGAGAACGAACTCATCATGGCGGAGGTACTGCAGGCACTCGACGAGACCCTTCATATTACGATGCGCGGACAGGTGTTCGAAGAGGCGGTGCTGGAGAACCTTGAAAGCATGTTACTGGTTGTGGATGAGCTTGTTGACCAAGAAGGAGTCATAATGGAGAGCGAACCACAGGAATTGGCTATGAGGGTTGGTCAACACGGTGGTGGCTTCATGGACCAAGTCCCACTTGGGGAGCAAACACTCGGGCAAGCGCTCCAGACAGCGCGGGATCAGATAACACGGTCGATTCTTAGCTAGAGGACGATGGGGTGGTGTGCTTCATGGTTATGAGGGGCAGTAACTTTGTATAAAGAAGCGCTACATTATTGTTCTACTTTTAGAAGTTGTCTTTGTACCCCACTTTCACGAATCGCACCGCTCCGACTGCAGGGCGAAAGCGTGTTAATTGATATGTAATGTTCCTCAGCGGAAAGACCTCCCGTGTGAATGCGATCCTTACGTCAGTGTCACGATATTTCTGGACGCAGAGGTGGGATACTTCCTCTACGAGGAGGCATCTCCGTCGTTTTAAGCTCTGACAGTCGGCATCAAGCATGGGACGCGCTTTGTCAGTCAGTGTAAAACTTATGACGCTCTGAATTGCTTTTTGCATATGTTCGTTTATAATGAAAACGCACTACCAGGGCACGTAGGCAGTCTAGAACAGGTTAGTGTAGGTGCGGCGACGGAAGAAGTTGTAGTCCGGAAGTGAATGGATCGGGCCCATTGCCGTGATGGCCAGCTCACGGTCGAAAATGTACTTGTTCGAAATGCGCTTGATCGCGTCAGCATCGACAGCATCGATCCGTGCAAACCACTCGGAAGTGGGAACACGGCGCCCATACACAAGCAGCTGACGGCCGATTTCTTCCGCCGTACCGGTCGGACCGTCCAGCTGGGCGAGCAGACTCGTCTTCAGAGCGGTTTTCGCGTTCTCCAATTGATGTGCATCAACCTTGAAGCAGTTTCGGACCAGTTCGCCAAGAATTGGAACAACGATATCATCAAGCTCCGGTGGTTCGCCAGTGACATAAATTCCGAACAGGCCCGTATCTGTGTAGGTGGTGTTGAAGGTTGTGGCGGTCTTTGCATTAGGGATCGATGAAAGCGTGGAGGAGAGACGGTAGGAGCTGCTAGAAGCGGTGGTAGAAGCGCGGTCATATGAGCCCATGAGAGACTGCAACACCATGAATGACACGGCGTCTGGGTGTGCCCATCCGCAGCTCTCAAACGCCAAAGCGAAGTGCGCCACGGGCATGTCGTCGTTACGAATACGGACGTCGGACCCAACAAGATAAGCTGGCTTTTCAGCGACGAGGTCGAGGGAGGAAGCTGGGTTGGGATCTGCCGGCATGGATCCGAAATGATCCGTGGCGAGGGCCACAAGCTCGTCGTGGTCGACATCACCAGCAGCGGCGAGGACCATGCGATGTGGTTTGTAGTGCTCCGCGATGTACGCCTTGAGGTCCGCTGATTTGAGAGAGCGAATATTCTCGACTGGACCGAGAATGGTTCGGGCTAGTGGGGAGTCTTGGAAGGCGGTACCGTGCAAGTAGTCGAAGACAACCTCCTCCTGGATCTGATCAATCTCCTCCATCTCGCGCAATATCACATCGCGCTCGCGGTCAACGGCCGCGTCGGATATTTCTGAGTTCTGAAGGATATCAGCCAACAAGCCGGTCATAGCGGGGACGTCATTCTTAAGCGATCGAGCATAGTAGACGGTCTGCTCGCGGCTCGTGTACGCATTGAGATGGGCCCCAACATTCTCGACGCCAACCTCGAGCTCGCGCTGTCCGCGATTCTTGGTGCCCTTAAAGATCAAATGCTCGAGGAAGTGGGCGGCGCCGTTGACGCGCTCGTCTTCAAACCTGGTGCCGGCGTCGATCCAGACGCCGACCACGGCAGCTCCAACGGGTTGGCTCTCGGAGGCGACGCGCAAGCCGTTGGGGAGTACGGTGACTTTTGTGGCGACTTCGGGCAACAGGGCGGGATCGACACGGTAATTAGGCGGAAGCGGCTCGGCGCTTGGTCCTAGGGCGCGCTTAAGTGCGCCCATTAGCCCGGAGGCCTTCGGCGTCGAGGCGCCCTGGGTTAGGGCGGGCGCCGTGGAGAGCGCACGCCGCGCCAGGCGCAAGCTTTGGAGAGAGGAGTACATGGGGCCGAGCAAATGTGGGGACCTTGCTGAATCGGACGGAGACGGGAGGAGCTGCTGATGAGAGGCTTTCAATATGTGGCGATATAAACCGCAATCTGGCGAGGAGTGGGAGTGGGCAGAATGCGCATCGAAACCGTCCTGTTACAGTAGGTGGTGATTCTTTCGGGGCGAATTGAGCAAACTTTGACAAAATAATTCAAAATAATTAAAGCACGTGTTGTACGTGTAGGGCATGTGTGACATGCCTCGCCAGTCGACGGGAGGTTCTATCGAGCAGCCTGGCCGGCTTTTCCTTTGCTGGATCTCAATGAGGTAGATTATCTCACGGCGCATTCAATTTCGCTCTGTGAAATGGCGACCACTCCATTTAGCGCCACTTCGCCCCTTTAACGTCACACCGAGACCCGCTACTCACACCTACAGAATCCACGCATCACCGTAGGCATAATTTACGCGAGTACAAGTGCCGCCGCCCACCAACGTTCCGCTTCGTCTCCTCCTCCTCCTCCCTCCCGCGTTACGCCTGCACTCCACGTCCTCGCAACCATCTTTCCGTGCCCAGCCCTCGACTCTGCGACGCAGCCATGACCAGCATAGCGTCGCGCTCGCCAGCCAATCCTCAATCTCCCTCCAAGCCCGGCTCCCCTCAAACCGTCTCGCCCCCCGACGACCATCATTCCCTTCAAAGCACGCCCGCCGACTTACAAGCGAAGAGGCTCAGCGCCCTGCAGCTATACCAAGAAGAAAAGGCAAAACGAATCGCAGAGGCTGCCCGTGCTGCCGAGCTCGCCGCAAAGATCGACTACCTCGCGATGTCGCACCATCCCTCCGGCAACCACGACTCCGCTCACGACAAATCTTCTTCCATTATCACCACAGACTTTTTCATCGCCGAAGTGTGCTCGCTCGGCCTCGCACGCGGTGGGCCATCCGCGTCGCTCACGTGGCACTGTCTCGCTATGGCCGACTTGATGACCTCACCACCAAAGATTGTGCTTGTCGCTGATCCAAAGGCTCAGGCAGAGTCTCTCAAGCCTTCAGACCGACCTCCGCCACATTCTTCTCGGAACGGACATGGTTCTTACCCGGAGCAAGGACAAAATGAGGCGGAAGCAATTGTACACGTCGAGAAGATTGCGGCCCTTAGCAAGAGAGTAAGACTAGCAGAAGCCGCCGCGGCCGCCGCGAAGAAATCTCAAGAGCAAAACGAATTACTTATTGCGGATCTCAAAGCACAGCTCGATGCATCGACCTCGGCGTGTAAGGACTTATTGGAAACTGTCAGGGACCAAGAGGATACAATAGAAAGTCTGTCATGACCCTCATTTGGTCTCGCACTTTCGTCGCCTCTGTATCGTGTTGTCTTTTCTAACCGGTCATCTCCAATCTGTCAAAGGTGTTCACCTCTAGATAGTTTTCAGTCACCTCAGGCGCCGGCACTCTGTTCGAAGAGCACCTTGCAAGTGGCCTAATTACCTGGCATGTTTACCAAACGCCCGATGCGGCTTTGCTGATACCCGCGACGGTCATTTGCGGTTGCTAGGCCTGCAACTCTGGAACAGGAGCGTACGAGCAAAGCAGAGGTCTCGTTTTCGAAGTCATCGTGCTGTGCGTTATCGATTCACTTACGACTGGCTGTCTTCAGCGATTGTAATTCTTCAGCGTTTTACCCGTCGCTCCGTAGGTGCGAAATGGACGGGCAATCACTGGAATTGACTTGCACACGGTGAGGATGTTTTCGCATTCACTTTGCTCTAACTCTGTTTACTGAGGGGGGGCTCGCATACGAGACAAGCACAGAAGTTGAAGGATTACAGTGCATTCCGTTGTCCTGTTGTCGTTCTTACTCTACTATACATTTTTAAATACTAAGGCTCGACGTCATATCACACGCACTGCTCGACCGACCTAACTTGTGAAGGGACTAATGTGAGTCGCTTGAAAAGCGCTCAGCATTGGTTCGCCAACCTTCTGACCCAACGTTATGACTATAGACGAGTCTATCACGTCCACGACGTATGTTCGGACGAGAGGTGAGTACTTTCCGGCTGGAGAATCGCGATAAACATCAACCGAAGCGTCGCGCTCAATTCTATTGATTTCAACCTGTCGAGAAGAGAAGAAAGTCAGTATGTGGACCTGGATGAAATAGCTGTGTATAGCCGTGTGAATCAAAACTCACTGTGAATACGCGGGCGCCCTCGTCCATGTATGCCGGATCAATTTCAGCCCACTGCAAAGTCACTCTCCACATCCCTTGGCTTGGAATGGGAACTGTATACGTCAGATTTTTTGCGGAATAGCGATATGTGGAGTACAGGAGGGCTTCTGGGGTTGTCTCGAATAAGGCACTAGCAAATTTGTCCTCCACAGCTACAGATTGGTTGTCAAACCACTTGTTCACATCTTTCTTGAAATTGTTTCTGTCGTCGAAGCTCCCGCAGTTGACTCTGATAGGCTTGCGCATGGTGAGCGTCCCTGCGATGAATTCCTGCTCCATCGAGCTGAACTGATCGAAGTCTTCGATTGGACTCGCGAGGGACATGTCAAACAGCCCTGTCATGGGGTCTGCCAATGGGGCTTGGCTCGGCTCCACGTACTGTGAAATGGGTTCCAATGTTTCAACAGGTTTGTTTCCTAATACTTCAGTAGGTTCTGGTGTTTCTTCAGCGGTTTCTTGCGGGGTGTACGCAGGGCTTGCAGCAAGGTCGAACTCAAAAGAAGGGGAAGGACTCACAAAAAAGTTGAACTCCAGAGTTGCATCTGGGCTTCCGCCAGGCGAACTCTCCCAGCTTCCTTCAGGACTTTCGCTGGCGGAAGTCCCAAGCTCCTCCGGGGTGCTTGTTTCGAATTCAAGCGACGCATCAGGAACCGCAGGTTGTAATGTGACTCTGGGGAAGCCTAGCGCTGAGGGTGTTTGAGTCGGAACGGGTCCAGGTTGAGACTGTCCCGAATTGTCCCCGTCAAACATGCCTGTGGTAAAGGCTTCGAGAAGCACCTGCCCGAAATCGTCTTGAGCGTGTGCAACATTTCGTGTAGCAATAACTACAATGGTCAGGAAGAACAAGGTTTGGCGCAAGAAAGCCATTTTTGTAAGAGTAGATAAGATGGGTCTCAAAGAAGCGAGTGTCACTTGTTGATGGAAATGACATGAGTAGGAAAAACAGCTCTGGTGCGAGACTGTTTTATATCAGAGAAAATGGCATTCGCAAAGCACCGCAGCAGTGCGAAACAGTAAACTGGTTGAGGGGCGAACTCGATGCGCTCATGTTCCCAAAGCTGCCCCATGCATTCATTCAGATGGCCCTCAAAGGAACAAGGCTCTAAACTGCTCACTTTGTTCTCCATCACGCGGCTCGGAAAGCGTTGCCACATAACAAGAATAATTCACCCAGAGCCTCCTCGTTGACAAGTTCGAACAACGCAGGTGGCCGCCGGATTACAAAACGTCGAAATCCATGTTGAAAGAAGGGCACATATGTTTTGAGGAAATGAAGTGTCAAATTCAAAGTGTGGGCCAGACCAGAAAATTTCTACAAAAACCACTTGCTGCTATACGATGAGAGGCACGTGGTAGATCTCCAGCTCAAGTGGTGATCATGTGAAAAAACCGGTTTACCGGCTAAAGTAGCGGCTACAGAATCTGTGACATGTTGACTGCTCACCTCAAAAGTGCTCAGGTATACAGAGGAATTGCTGGGCGATAGGATGTGCATATCCGGACAAAACATAAAGGCATGAAGACCAGATATACTCCCCTGGACAAGGTATAGTGCACTGTGTGTAAAGCACTTTTTTAGAACAGTTTTCGAAGCAGTTGGGCCTATATGGCAACGACAGCATTTCTCACTGCGTTGAGAGTCAACTCGGGGCAGATCTATTTCGCACGAATTTACATCATCTCAGTGTCTAATTCAACCAGAAAGAAGCGACTGTACCGTAGCAGAGTAAAACATATTTAGCTTAGCCTCAGCCAGTCTAAGCCAGCTTCTGATTCGAAATTACCGAGCTGGCCTGAACGACACCGGCCTAACTTTTGAAAATGATAGCGATGATGTTAACACTTAGCAGCAGCAGTGCGTGCTTCTTTGTGCGGAGTTCTTGCGACAATCGCAGAGTGTATCCCCGATGCTATACTGTACCTCGTCCTCATTGCGCCCTGTGACGTGAGAGTCTGAGGGCCGTTCCTAACGACGAGCACGGTGTGCTAGCACGCAAGCACCCTGAAACTTGGCATGAATGTATTGGTTGAAAAATTATTGGAAATGCTTTTACTCCCGTTCAACCAATCCATTCATGCCAAATGTCAGGGTGCTTGCGTGCTAGCACACCGTGCTCGTCGTTAGGAACGGCCCTGATGAATGACACGTGCGCCCTCAATAAAAATTTTAATCCATTTTACATGACCACGGATCTCAACACTCGCATTCGGAACAGGAGTATCGTCGAAAATGAGCCTTGGTACAGTAGGACCAATCTTGGTTAGACCAATCTGAGGACCACTCTCGCCGTACTTCCCATTCTCAGGCATCAACATTGGTCAAGACACAGGACACAAGACCCATAGCGAACCGCTGCGTGTTATCGCTGAGATGAACCTCCGCGACCGCCTAGCTTTCTGCAATAGCGCTACTTTCTTCTCAGTCGTGCGGCCCCTGCGCAGCTGCAGCCATCCCCCGTCAATTCCTAAAAGCCCATGCTGGGGAGGGTCAAGGCTACCGACGCGGTCAGCATCCACCATACACAGCGGTCAGCGTCGCGAGCGACTCGATATGGTCTTCACTGGCATCGTAGAGGAGATGGGCACAGTCCAGCAGATGGAAAACCTGGACTCTGCAGAAGGTGGTGTGAACATCGTCATATCGGCGTCTGTGACGATCGGCGGTGTTTCTCTCGGCGACAGTATCGCTATCAACGGAACATGTCTCACAGTGACATCGATAGCAGAAGGGACGTTCACGTTTGGCCTAGCGCCTGAAACGCTTCGTCGCACCAATTTAGGCGCATTACGTACAGGGAGCCAGGTGAATCTGGAGCGTAGCCTGGCGGCGGACGGACGCTTCGGAGGGCATGTCGTGCAGGGACACGTCGATTGTACAGGGACGATTCGCAAGATCGAACCGGAGAAGGATGCTATGTGGTATACAATTGAGATACCAAGCGAGTATCTCAAGTATGTGGTAGAGAAAGGGTACATCACTGTCGACGGAGCCAGTTTGACCGTGTGTGACGTTATGGATGCACAGAATGTTTTCACGTTTATGATGATCCCGTACACGGCAGCCTCCGTTTGTGCGGCGCTGAAGAAAGTCGGCGACCAGGTCAACATCGAAGTCGATATCACCGGCAAGTATATCGAGCGGATAATCGCCGCTCGCTACCGTGAGGGAGTCAACGCGCAAGTATGAGACCAGCCGAGTAAAAAGAGCTGCACAATTGGTCTAGTTGAAAATGGTACGGGTTCCTCTGACCAGCAGATTGCGTTCACCTGCGTTTTGACCGGACCAACATGCCAGTCGCGAGGTCCATCTCCTTTTTCTTGGCCTCCCTAACCTTCTGTTTTTGCCGCTTTCGAATGAGCAAGCTGATGGGAATTTTAGTATTCTTCGGAGGTCGACATCCGAGGCGTATTAGTTCAGCAGCATCGAACGATTTCCGTTCCCGCTTGTCAAGCGCTAGAGACCCAAAACGACCAACTTCTCGCCGATGACTGTCAACAAACTGGGCAGCGTCAACCTTTGGAGCCTCGCTCAATTGCGTTCCCGTTGAAGCTGATTGGTGCGATTGCAAGGACTTTCCTTTGTTTTTTTTCTTCCTCGGACCTGGGCCGGGGTCGCCAGCAACGACGATCGTTGATAGGGCCGATGATATGTTCTTCGGAGAAGCAGTTTCGGCTGGGTAAACACGAGGTCTTATAATTGTGCGTTGGAGGACGCGCTGGGCTGCGTCCTCTAGAGAGGCGGCGTGAACAGCCTTCAAATTTTCGAGTTGGTCGCTCTCTGCTTGGGTAGACTCGCCAGAAGCTTGGCGTCGAACCTTTCTGCGACGTTTCTTCGGGCTTTTCTTCGGACAAGCGGGTGCAGAAGGAGCGGGTTGGGAGTCTGCGGAATCTGCCCAACTATTCAAACGTCTCGAAACCAGTTCTTCGATAGCGCTCGTTTGGTCATCCTCGGAGAAAGCCATGACGGAGAGATGAAGATGTGAGGTGTGAAGCGATTTGAAGGGAAATGCGCGTGGCGGGACCCTCAGAATGAGAAAGACTCTTCCGCCATGCGATACGGGAAGCGGGGGAGAACTTCGTAGAAACCCTAAGGAGTTCTTTTGTTGAAACTTGGGCCATTTTTGTTGACTTTTAGTCAAAATATTTTGCATCCGTCTGTCCTCCAGTTTCATTACACTGTAATAACTGTTGGAGACGCAAATAAAATGATCACCCGGTAGGTGATTGAAGCAGTCTGATTCTTAAGTACACGAGCTCTCGCTCGAGACGTGTGCAGATACTTTCGAGTTAATGTCGATTGGGCCAAGTGTCAAGGAACCTGGGTCATTGTGCAAAATATCTTCAGCGATATCCACCGCGCACAATATCTGTAGATTTTTACATGGTCCACCACCCCACACACAGGCGGCTGTGGCCCACATGTTCTTCCAGCCTCGACCTCACTCGTCTCTTTTCTCTACTTCTCCTCTCCTTTCTATCGCCTTCTTGCTGCCGTTTGGAGCAGGAACCGGTTGTACTTCTCCCTCCACTGCTTCATACACCGATGCTTTGCTCGAGACCCACCGGCACACCTCGCTCCACCGCGTGCATCTCTGCCCCTTTCATCAGCACGTTGCACAAAGCTGCGCACTTAGCACCACCCACGCAACTCCGAAAATCTCGCATCCGCCGTCACTCGGCTGGAGGCATGTCCAACCCGACCCCAAATTCTAACGATACGACAGACGTCGAGACAGGCCGCGACTCCACCCCTACGCTCTCTCCCCAAGTTGTGGAATCACCGCGCATGCTCAAGAGCCCTTCAGCGCCTGTCAAGCCCGAAACGGAAAAGACCAGGTCCCGCCCCGCATCGAAGGACCCAAAGCGAGCATCCTCATCTGGGCCACCTGCGAAGAAACCTCGGAAAAAGTATGTCATTACTAAACATCGTGAAAACTGGACCGAAGAAGAACACCAGTTGTTTCTCGATGCCCTCAAGAAATATGGTCGCTCGTGGAAGCAAATAGAAGGTCACGTCCGAACGAAGAGTGTCATCCAGATTCGATCACACGCTCAAAAATATTTTATCAAAGTGCAAAAGAACAATACTGGTGAGCACATCCCACCCCCTAGACCGAAGAGGAAGCAGAACCAACTCAACGGCTCCGCCTCCTCATCTCAGCTTTCCCAAGCCACCGTCAGACAAGTTGCGTCACCAGTCGCCGTTCCGCTTTCACCATCGCTATCCCCGGGCATGCCCCACCATCCGCACGGCCATCCACATCCACACTCTCTGGCCTTTGCACTAGCAGCACAGCATCCCATGGCCGCTCATATGCAGATGCCTCAAGTTTACTCACTGCAAGCACTGGGTCTACACGCGCACGCACCGCCTTACGTCGGATACAGACATCCTATCCAGCCACTGAGACCCGTGCCAGCAAATCAATCACCACAACCCCGCACTTCTGCGAAGACCATCTCCCCGAGATTGATGGACCAAAATGATATGAACGATATGCTTGCCCAGCAGCAGCAACAGCAGCACCAATTAAAGCAACAACAACTAAGACAACAACGACTGAACCGCCATAGCGAACAACAGCAAAGACAGCAAAGACTGCAAAGACAGGAACAGCTGCGGCACGTACAAAAGCAGCGTCAACAACAACAGCTTGATGCAGCACTAGCACTACAAGAGGATAAAATTGCGACCTTTGCAACCATACAAGTCGAGATGCAAGAGGCATCCCTCTCCTTAAAAATGGATTCGGGTGAAAGACACTCGTTCCAGCCGCAAGCGCCAATACAAGTTAATAGGAGCATGCCCGCACTCCCCGTTACAACGCCCAATGACACAGACTCAATGCTTCCCACACGAGAAGCAAGCGTGGCATTAGACCCAACAGAGGACTCCAATACTATATCGGTGAATGAAAAGGAGGATTGCGTGGCATCCGAATCCCAAGACACAGCCGGAAGTTTACTGCTCGATGTCACACATGCTGGTTCTGCCGCCAGAGCAGCGACAGCTGCTGCGGCATCAGCCGTAGCTGCGGCTACCGGCGAAGGCACACCGACGAGCCCTAACTTCACTAAGATCTATGGATTCTTCGCTGCAATATTTGATCCCATGAACGCTCCAGGTGCGATCACCCTCTTGCAAAGACCTGAATTGAGTGCGTTGGATTTAGAAATCATCAAGCTTCTTGTGAGAAATCTCGAGGTGAATATTGATAGCACTGTGTTCCGTCAGCAGTTGGCAGATACCTATCGACAGCAGCAGCTCAGGCAACAAGAGCAACTCCAAAATCAAGAGTAGTCATGAGATAGCGACCCATTGAGATACTTCTAATACAACGATTCGTAACTGAGAATTTCACTAATTCTGTCTGGATTACCTTTACATTTGTGAGTAAGACTGCACGACTGAATATCTTTATACAATAGGCACGCAAAGCGGCAAAATGCCTCTCATGTGCACGAGCTTTTTCCTTCCGTCTTCGTGAGGCGCAATCTTCTGCAAAAACCACCTGACGGGACCGCTGTTCGTGACACTGTGTTCATGCGCGCTTTCTGGCCGTCGATGGTCCATCGTCAAAACAAAAACGGCGTTGCCAAGAGCGAAGTGTACAGTATCCTTGTTCTTGACGTGACTACGACTTGCAGCAGCCCTCTAAAGAGTCACTTCCGAAAGAGCAAGAAGCATGGGTTTCGAGCAAGTCCCCGAACGCAGGTGAGATACTTGGAACCCTGCCTACGAAGACACAACTACCACACCACTCCAAAAAGAGCAGAGGGGTGGGCATCTCGGTTATTAGCAGAGGTCAAAAGCAGAACGCAGTGGTTATCTTATGAACACAATGTTACACTCTAATGTCACATTCCTCGGATCCTCTCCCCCGGCCCTCTCTTTTCACCCCTCTTTTGTTCCCCCCCCCCCCCCCCCCCCCCCTCTCTCTCTCTCTCTCTCTCTCTCTCTCTCTCTCTCTCTCTCTCTCTCTCTCTCTCTCCTTATTTGCATCCCACAGGCATTGCATTCATGCCCTGCTCTATACTGCGCTTACAGACTGGACAGCGAGCCTGTTGCACGAGCCAGGGGTCGATGCAATCTGCCATGAAGCGATGGAAACACGGTAGGATGCGGATTTTCATGCCGTCCTCAAAATGTTCCAAACATATTGTACACTTCTTGGCGGTGTCGTCCGCAAGTTCTGGCGAGTTTCCGCCTTGGTCTGCTGCGCTACTGGCATCTGCAGCTCCTGCCGCTACTACCACGGTTCCCTCCCCCTTACATTTGTTGCCTTTGTCGCTCGACTGAGTTTGATCGCCACCCGACGCATCACCCTTTGCCCTGAACATGTATGTCGGCAGGCGCGCGACGGTTTCGTGGCTGGCGCCTTCCAAAAACTGGCGTAGCCTCTGACTATTATTGTCCAAGTCAAGCAGCATTTCATAATCGGCAGCAGTAAAGTCCCTGTCCATCATAGCCAGCCGCTGACTTGTCCGCACATATGCAGCCCGCTCCCCCGTAAAATGCCTGTGCGTTCTAAAATGTCTATGCCGTGCACGATGGGCGCCATCGGCGGTGACACCGACCAGCGCAAAGCGAAGAAGGACGGAAGAAAATGTGGCGACACAAGCGGCGACTGCAAACGGAAAGACGGCGTCATTCTCGGAAAGCAAGTAGGTGCCGCCCACTGCGGCGGTCACCAGGCCGAGTCCCATAGCACCGGCCATGGCGCGAGAGCGCAACGACGGTGGATGTTGGTGCTGCTGCTGTTGTTGAGGTTGCTGGGTGGGTTGGGGCTGGTGTTGCGCGGGCCGGGAGGAGGGAGGGGCTTGGGAAGGGAAGGCCGGTGCGTCGGGGGGAGTGGGAGCAGCGGCGGTACGGCGGCGGAGGCGGGGGGGTTGCGGAGGAGGGGCGGCGGTGGGGTCCGGAGGAGCGGACATGGCTCACGACGGAGTCAGAAGGGCGAAGGGTGCGGGAAGGAGTGGAGGAGGAGGCGAGGTTTGAGATGTGGAGTGTGAGAGGGGCCCAAGCCGGCCCAAGTGTAGGTTGTGAGGATATGACGTTGGGTTGGAAAAAGGGACAAAGAAAAGTATGCTCAGCCGCTCATTACAATCCAGAGTCACAATCCATCCTGACTCACAGCACACGAAGTGTCAAGAGCGTGCCTAAAACGAGGCCCCATTTCTCGGCTCTCTGCATTCCCATTGGGCGCATCTCTGTGATCATACGTGTGTCCAACGTGTTCCACCAATCCGACCCTTGGCTGCATTCCACCAACCCACCTCGCTCCACTCTCCTGCATCTCTCTCCCCATCCATGTGTTATTAAAAAAGCCGTTCCCGCCCACCTCACAACCTGAAAACGGGATACCTTTACATGGAGTATTCGCAGCTTCCGTCTTCGCCGTGTCCTTGCCCATGCTGCGCTGCAGCACTATTTGCTGCCCGACATCGTGCCTTGCCATTCCCAACCTTTTTCCGTGCAGTATCTCTAATACGGGAAAAAGTTGGGCTTGCTAGCTAGAGCAAACAACAGTCGCTGCACAAAGAATCGAACGGCCCCGCACTATTGACCTCATCACTGTCCCAACCCACGACCCCATGAGTGCCGCGCAGCTCCACCTCGTACTGTAGCGTGACCGACGCATCGTCCCGCGCTGGAACCACCAACCTCCAGGTCAACTCGTGGCAACGTTCCACCACTGTACAGTACTTGTCCCGCACAGTCATAGAGGCGGACGTACTGTCTATCTTTTCCATTCAAGCTCGACGAATTTCTGCTCCGGCAGCAATTGTTGACAAGGAGTGTGTTCATCCACCACATGACTTTGTACTTCTTTCGAATGGTGTCGGCATCAGCGTCCCAGTTGCGCCAAAGCTTTTCCCCCGAAAGCCTATTTTTATTGCGATGCCCCTCTCTGTCGGCGCCGCTTGCTTCAAAAACACCTGCTCCTCTGCCGAGCAATCCCTGACTCAACTGCTAGAACGTGTTCACGCAGGCCGTTTGCCGAACAATATCGGATTTTGAGATATATGCGCCAATGGATCCATTTCTGATACAATACAGATCGATATATTCTCTAATGATTACAATTTATTACGAAGGCTCTACCCTGTAGACCGGAGGCAGTGGCGACCCTTCGTCGTCAGCCGCGTACACAACAATTTTTAAGCAAATCTCCGGCTCAAAAGGCACCAGTGGTCTGGAGGATGGTAACCTCCTCAGCTTATGTAGATTCTGCTTCAACGCACCGTTTCCACTATGTCGGTAATCTTGAGTCTGATGAGGGATCAACAACTGTTCAACGGCGAATATCACAATACGGCAGAAAAGTTTTTGCTGAGCTGCTCTCACAGTCGTTTACGAAATGTATGGCAAAACAGCATTCAGCATGAAAGGACAAAAACAACCCCTTGTCTCTCCATCGCTGAACCGTCAGTATCGAAGTTAACTCTTTCTTTCTCATCTCGCTAAGCCAGGCGATGCTTTATCTACAAGCCTGTCATTTACCCATTTCCCCTCCTTCACGGAAAATATACCATGTACCGCGCCGACCCTCGCGATAACGCGCGCAAATATCCAAACAGCACATTCTCATCCAGTCAACCCTGGCCATTCTTATCCGAAGAACATGAGGCCAGAGTCATTTGCCCCTTCTTTGGCAAAAATCTCGAAGTACTGGTAAATGATGGTTACAGCCATCAGAATTCCGGTGCCTGAGCCGATCGCACCAAGAAAATCAGCCATGATAGTCAACATACCAATGCAAATTCCTCCGAAAGCGGCAGCGGTCGGGATGTAGCGGTTCAGTTCCTTGACTAGAGACGTATCACGATGACCCTTGAGAGTCATCTGCTGATCACGCAGCTGTCGCGCCACATCACGAGCAGAAGATCCTGACACCTCAATCCAGTACTTGCTGAAAAGACCACAAGCGGAAAGAATGAATGCTAAGTATATGATGGCACGAAGCGGGTCTTCAAGTACGGCGGCGATATTGCGCGGTCGCGAAATGTAATAGGCTAAACCACCGATCGGAAACATCTGGGCCGAGTCCTGGATTGTGGTCCACCGTCCCATAATGTTAACAAACAGATTGGTCGGGTACCGACGGTACAAGATTTGAGACACGAAGTAAAGGTTGGAAACAAGAGCAGTCTGCAAAATAATGGGAATGTTCGAAGTGTAGAACAGCTTGATAGGGTAAGAGCCTTGCGCTCCACGGATGCGATTCGATTTGACCGGAAGGTCAACACGGAAGCCTTGGAAGTAGATAACGATGGCAAAGACAAGGACTGTGGCGACCAAGTTTGAAATGTTCGGCAGATCGGGGCGGAAGAGTGCTTCACGGAATGCGCGGATCTTGCTTTCACGAGTAATCAAAAGGTGGAAGAAGGCAATGATTGCTCCTTCGAATTCCTTACCTCGGCCAATGTTGATTGTCGTGGGCGACAGAGAAGACCAGACAATAGTTTCGCAGATGTTGGTGGCAATGAACAAGGAAATACCAGAACCGAGACCGTACCCCTTTTGGAGCAGCTCATCAAGAAGAAGAACAATCATACCAGCGACGAAGAGCTGAGTGATAATAAGAATGGCATTACCAGTTCCGAGCACCGAGAGGTCTCCATACATGCCCGAGAACACATACATAGAAGCTTCAGCAAGGCAAATGATGAGGCCCATGAGCTTCTCAGCACCGGAGAAGAGAGCGCGATCTTCTTTGAGACCCTGATCTACCTGGATAATGCGTGTACCAGCCAGGAACTGCATGATCATAGACGAGGTGATAATTGGCGAAATTCCAAGCTCCATAAGAGTTCCGCGGTTGGAAGCGGCCAAGACAGCACGCACAAAGTACAGAGGATCGGAGGACTTGGTGTTCTTAACTCCATAAAGGGGGATCTGGCAGCACACAAGATAAATGAAAAGTGTAACGGCAGTCCACATAACCTTCTCCCTGAACGCGGTCCGCTTGGTCGGATTCTCAATCTCCGGGAGGAAAGGGACGAAGGGTCGCACGATGGCTCTCCACATGGTGAATGTTGGTACTTCACACTATTCGCACACACTGGTCTTCGTCAAGGAGACGTGCTCGTGCTGGCTGTTGGGCTGCAGAAGACTTGTTCCAGGGAGAGCAGCGGCAAACGTGAGGTAGGTGAGAAAAGAAGGAAATTGCCCCAAAGTTGTTGAGTTAAGGGTAGAACGAAAGTACACCAGAAAAGTCTGGTCGATGTCCTCTTGGGTCCTATTTTAAACAAATGCTGAATCAGGAATGTCGCAGTGCGATAAGAACGATTTGGGATGCGCATAGATAGCAGTGGATGATGACGTCGACGCAGAGGTGAGTAGAGGCTTAACGGACCATTCTCCTGACAGAGGGGCGGGATGGGTCCATGAAGATTCAGTGCCCGATCACAGCAAGAGCGACAGAAAGTCCTCTTAATTGAAGCAACTGAGAGCATAATTCTGATTTGTTCGAAAAAAGACCGAACCAAGCCTTTGACATCAACGGACCTGTTATTACAGTCCAAACTAGAACGGACCACATAAGTAACTAAATAAGAACTTTCGGAAATTCTGCTTGCAATGCAAAATGCTTTGTCAATTAAATGAAAGGGAACGATAACCAAACTTGATTGACATACCGATTTTCAAGAATAATATTACAATACCACACTATTTTCAGGATCCTTCATTTTAACCCTTCGCCCCCGTTTTGCCCCGATGAAGCCTCGAGGATAGACACCAAATAGACTGCACCTTTCTCTCTCTCACAGATTCCCTCTAACACGTGTGCAAACACACGATGCCGACAATGACAAGGCATTATGATGCTCCGGTGAAACAAAGACGGTTTTTGCAGCAGACGAATCTGGTTTGTTACGAGCTCCATTGAACCCTTTTGTGTTACCGTCCCTTATTAAATGAAGGTCTCCATGCATGTATGAATGCAATTACCCAAGTCCGAGCAAGATGTATATATCTGCTCTAGCTTCTCAGGCCAGCAGCGACACATTTGTTTGATAATGATTTGAAGTCCTACACATCAAGAGTCCTCTTCATCATCCCAAAGGATATGAATATAGCATGTTACACTGCACATTGGTGATATTTAAAAAGAAGGGGCGAAGTTGAATTACCACAAACATAAGTTCAAGTTTTGATCTAACATTCATATGAGCAGAGGGTACTAGGGTGGAAACTAACAATAGATCTACTTCACATCACATTTTCTTCTCACATCTCCTATGAAATTTTTTTTGCTCGCTTTACCACAAAAACGGATACAGAGAAAAGAAGGCGAGACGAAGAATGAAGGCTTCACCATTTCAGACGAACAAATATTCTGCGCGCGGTTATGATAGATGTTTGGAGGATGACACAGACTCATTCCTCATACATTTGAGACGCCCTTTACATCTCCCTGACTGACTTATATGGGTGAGTAAATCAGTTCTTATTAACTTACCGAAGGCAAAGTTACAAAACAACAGTTTTGATTTAAGCATTGCAGCAGCCGAAACAGCTTTCGTGTATAGCTATTGCGGGATAGATGTTGAATCCCTACATATTCATTTTTTATGGGTTAAGCCAGACCGGCTGTAGGATGGCCACGTCTTCTCAATACCTTCGCAGGATACTGTTAAAGGATGGTACGGTATGTGTAGATTATTACACTCGTCAGGTGTGGCTTTCTGTCCAACAATACGAACAAATACGCAGCTCATGTTCCCTTTCGATTCGATCGTTTTCAATTCATGAATTGTAGACAATCACGAAGAATAGCTATGTTTCCAATCTTGCAACCGGAAATTAACAAAAAATCGTTTCCCACATTCGAGACGTCTGTGCTGCAGTACATCAAAAACATACTATGTATGAGATTAAAACGATGATCAGGGAACGAATCCATTCAAAGCGCTTTGATGCGAATCCGGACGAACACTTTTCGTAACGTTTATGTTTTGTGCTTCATGCCTGTGTATGTCTATATCTATATATATTCTCAGTTGCAACAACGGGTCCACTTGTTCCCTCACATCGTTGATTCATCATTTTGACGGCATCATGCAAGGTATTTCAAATATTTAAAGCTTTCAAGCTTGTTTTGTTGCGTCGTGTTGTTTGTTTTGAAGCCAGTGAGCAACATTTGGTCTAAAACATCTATGACTTCTTCTTCATCTCGCCTTCTCAGTTTATGACTTTTGTTATCATTGTGATTGTGACATTGTCAACAAATTGCGAGCGAAGAAACATTGAATGGAATGATAAGGTTTGAATGGGGAGAAGAAGGAGTGCGATGGGTGACAGAAGCAGAAATGGTGAGAGTGCAGGTGCAAAAAAAAACACTACACTAAGCTTCTAATATCGCTCGGTACCTTGGTTTGGTACTGTACCTGGCGGGAATTGAAGCCGGGGCCTCGCAGCGTGCAGCACTGTACCAATTGAATCAACAACTTGTTGTCTGTACCTCGAACTCCCTTCTCCCAACAACAGACTCAGCGGCGGCAAAGTGTTGGAGTGACGAGTATTTAAATGTGATTCCATCTCAGAGTGCCCGTGTACTTTGCAAGCGACCTGCATAATACTGTGAAATAAAATATCTCTCTCTTGCGCGAATGCTGATAAGCTGTCTTCACAAGAAGTGAGAGGGGATTGAAAATGCACTCCATCCAAGTGAGACTAACTGATGGTCTCTGTGGTCTGAACAGAAATAAAACAAAGGGAGGGAGAGAGAGAGAGAGAGAGAGAGAGAGAGAGAGAGAGAGAGAGAGAGAGAGAGAGAGAGAGAGAGTCCGTTCAAATGGTACATGCAAGGGTTGAATAGAATCTTCTCTTTCTTCGAGACTGGTAGACCTGTATCTTTAGACTTTCATGATCGTCTGGTATGTAGAGAATCATTCGCAGACATACATGTGAAACGTGTAATGGTGAGAGATTAGCGTGAAAAGATCACGCATGAGTACAATGTGGGCATGATCTATGTTTAGGCAACTAGCACCTATCGGACCGTTCTTCTTCTTCTTTATTTGAGGGATCAAGGCTAATTCCGCCTTGAACCGAAGAGCCCTTTTAGTTCGGGCTCTCCTTCCCGAACAAGGTACCCCAATATTTGGAGTGGTTTCTCTAAAATTCTAGTTCGCCAGTCCACGCGTTCCGTGAAATGGGCCCTTCCACTTCCCGCGCGGGAAGCGAATGTGAAGAAGTGGGCTACAGTGTCCTCGTTGCTGCAGTGTCGACATTTCCCTCTGCCCAGCTGAAGAATTACTTTGAGAGGCTGAAACATGGCGGAGCATCCAGTGTAGAGTTGGTTCAGGACAACTTTCGCCATTCGCCGTGACCAGACCTCGCGCATAGTAGTTGGCAAGTGATCGATTTCTTCTGCATTCTTCCTACGCGCTCCTCGAAGTGTAGCCTTAGCGTCGTGGAATTCGACGGGAACAGCAAGTCGGACCGTTAGTCCTCACATGAAGACAAAACTTATTTTATCTTTTCTAGACAACCAGACTCGAGATTTCACTTCGTTTTTTTTTTTTGAAACCAGGAGGCCATCACCACAGGTAAAGAATTTGCTTGTCGATTCTAGTGCAAAACAGCTCGTTGATGCATATAAAGGTGTTCAAAAGAAAAAGTCAGCTTACAGAAAGCATTTTTCCTAAAGCTAATTTTATGCCAGTAGCATAGAAACATTGCGTTGAGGACTTCCTATTCGGTTCTAATAACTTCAGAAAAAAAATTAAACCAGTCATGGCGATGCAGTGTCTTTGGCATGTGAACTGAAACAATTTTCTACAAAACGATTCTTGTCAGTAAATTAGAAGCAGGTCACGTGTTTGCAGATTGGGGTGCTTAATATTCCGCAACTGCCATATTCGCACCGCTCTATTTTGTTAGATCGCCCCATTTCTTGGCGCGCAAATGCCATAACTCGACAAGAGCCACTTCATAGTTTACGTTTCATATTTATCTCACTCCTTTGAACTTTTAGGTGGATATCGTGCAAAATTGAACAAGCTTCTCCAAGGTTTGGTTTCTTTGTAAAAGTGAACATGCTTTGCCAAAGTCTGGTTTCGTGTAAATAATGATGCGAGTCCTGATAGAGAATACTAATGGCTTTGTATGAGTTGAAATGTTTTGCCCCTGTTTTTAGGAAGCCGGCTACCACACTCAGTATGGGCTGATGAGGAAGTGTATCCTTTCAAGCAATCTGAAGAACACTCGGTACTGCGAATTGTCCATCTTTAGCGTGTCCATCGCTACCGAAGAGGTGAAAAATCAAATGGGCGTCGGCGAATGCATCTACTTTTGCAAGGTGGACTCTATTTGATAATCGTTTCCCCTTCAGGAGCACCCTATTAATTAATTAATTAATTGGAGCAAGCACACGAACAGCGAGAAAAAGAATTATTCGGGGTGATAGGTCTCCAATCGGAATTGTGGTGTATTCATCTGGTGTGTTCTTTGGCTTATTAGCTTCCTTTTTCCTTTTATTTTTCGATTATTGAATCATACCGAACCCGATCATTTTTCACCGTCTTTGTACATAACGGCGCCAACAATGTTTGTCTGTGCGCAGCTCAAGCTGGGCTGCTGCGCAGCAAAGACGTTTCTCTATTTGGACAATTCACTCTTTTTGGAGCGCAGGGCAGCAGGCAGTTTCTCGTGTGCAGCGTGGCCTCTTCCTTCACACCTTCCTTGCCCTCACAATCGGGCCCGTTCAAACCATCTTTGTTCCCCTACTGTGAGAGCCGCGTGCTGGGAGCCTATTTCTGAAGGGACGGTTGAGCTTATCCCAGTATTAGCACATCTTCATCGCTCAATTCTTTCGATTCACAGCAACGTACGCTCACGCGAGTATCCTACGGAATTGCTATGTGTGCCCTAGAAAATGCGATGTTTTCCTCGGAAGACGTCTTGACTCAAGCCAAAGAGAGTCTCCAAGTCTTGCTGCGAACAACCAAACCGGCACCAAGCGAAGTCTCAGTCGCAGTCGAGTCTCTAGAGCGGCTCAAATCCCGCTTAGGAGATGCTCGTCGGGCGCGAATAGCACTGCGGGAGGAGACAGTGCGAGCTACAGAAGCGGCATCTTCCATCACTGCAGACACAGAACGGATCGATCGGAATATTATTGACGCGAAGCTGCAAGCGGGGGAATTGCTTAGCGAGAGGGACCGAGTGGCAAGAGACCTGGCCCGTGCACGACGGAAATTGGCGCGACTCGATGAGAGCGTCAAGGAGATGCAGGCGGCGAGGGATCGGGGGGAAGAAAGTAGTGGGGACGAGATGAGTGAGAGAGAAGAAGAGGTGCGCAGAGGCAGGATTGCGAAGTCAGAATTGGAACGCTTGAAGTCTGCGGAGAAGGAGCTTGCTGAAGTGACAGGTCAGCTCGGACAGGTCAGACGAAGACGTGAAGACCTTAAAGAAAAGTTGCGCATGGCTCAAGACGAGTGGTAGGAGGAGCGTTGTGGACGGGTAATGTATTGGGTGTAAATTTGTTTGGGGGGGTGGTTTAGATGCGTAGATCATGAGCTGGGAAGAGGGTAGGTGGAGCATTAAGGACAAGCCGGTAAGGCGTTTATGGTTATGATCAGGGTTCTTCGCTTCTGTATTAAACAAGACCGTATTTAAATTGCTGTGAGATGTTTGCATTTAGTAGATATCTGCCCTTCGCGTGAGGCTTCCTAAGAGTTCATCTCATGGACGCTTCTTGTCTCGTGCAGGTCTAATTTAATTTTCCTTGTTGTTTGGGACCGCATGCAATTTCGACAGTTATGGGTGTCTTCAGACACTTAGCTAACAGTCTTGTCCACCTTTGTAGATGGTTGACCGCCTTCTTTGATAAGCTAGTGCAGCGCGCATCCCGATCGTTTCGCCATTATGTTAACATCACTGCACCAGCACCGAGACTGGACTCGAGTCGAGTTTGCTCTTTGCTCGATAGCGACAATAACAGACTTGTAATCGGAAACCCTTCGGACGCGCAATGACTCATTTTTCTGATGGGCAGCGGCGCCATATTCACGATGGTCATTTGCGGGGGACTTTCTAGATATCTCAACACTTGACGCATGCGAAGGCTCAGCTAGGTTGAAGGAGACCAAGATACGAGCAACGGCAGGCGTGCGCACGGAATTGCCAATGACGTCGCAGGATCCAATTTCTGCTTTTTGCATGTCCACCTGAGGCTCCAAAAGAGTCAAAAGTTGTCGAAAATGTTCAAAAAACTTAATTTGGAGATGCCGAAGAAATTGGATCATGCGCGAATGATATAATCACCGCCGACGTCGCCCCCCGAGCCCACTTTAGTGATCCGGTGAATCTTTGACCTACCGACGTCCCATTCTCCTCATCGGGCAACACCTCGCATTTCTGGGATTGTCCGTCGCCATCCCACACTTTCATCGCCATGGGTATCGATTTGGAAAAGGGAGGGCGCATCAAGAAGCCCGGGCGCCGCGCGCCCAAGTCCGAAAACCCGTACCTGTCGCTCTTGGTGCAGCTGTACAGTTTCCTCGCTCGTCGTACTGATGAGAAGTTCAACGGCATCGTCCTCAAGCGATTGTTTATGTCGCGGACATCCCGCCCGCCGATGTCCGTCTCCCGCATCTCGGCCTATATGAAGGGTCGCGAAGACAAGACTGCCGTCATCGTCGGCAAGGTCCTTGACGACGAGCGCATGCTGGACATTCCGAAGCTCACCGTCTGCGCCCTCGACTTCTCCAAGACCGCCCGCGTTCGCATCGAGAAGGCCGGCGGTGAGTGCCTTACCTTCGATCAGCTCGCCGTGAGGTCTCCTACAGGAGCTGGAACTGTTCTCCTCAGAGGTAGGCGCCACGCCAGAGAAGTCTATAAACATTTCTTCGGTGTTGCCGAGAAGGGCCACGTCAAACCTTACGTGCGCTCCAAGGGCCGCAAATTCGAACGTGCGCGTGGTCGTCGCTCTTCTCGTGGATACAAGAAGTAAGATCGTGGTATGTAAAAATTTGACTTGGCTTACATGCTGATTGCTTCAGGCGTGATATTTCCAGCGGATCTTAGTATCTGTCGCGCTTTTACCGTAGGCGTCGCGAAGACCTCTGCGGACAAGGCTCGAAGAAGGGTGGGGGAGGGTCGGGGAAGTAGGCAAATAGAATAAGCATGTATGCGGATGAATAGGAAATGCGATTTGATTTTAGGAAAGTAGCAGGATGCGTAGGCCAACTGAGGGCCAGTCCTAACAGGCGCTTTTCTTTTCTTTTGTTTTCCTTCAACCAGTTGCGGTCACGCTATTGGCCGGATCATTTCATTAAATTAATCGCACGCCACAACGAATGCTACACAGAACCACTGTAATGCTTGGTAATTCTGCGAACTGGTCGAAATCCATTGGCTAAAGGAAGTACCAATCCACACCCAGTCCATATGCACACTACTAAAATTCCATGGACTCGATGCGGTGCAGTGGCACTTGCAGTACAATGAAAGGGTGGAATTAAATCCAAATACGAGCACATGCAGATCAAAGCATTAGTTCTCTCAACATTACAAACCAGACACAGTACCTTCTCCCGCCATTTTATGTGCACAACTCGGCCCTCCCCCGCCTCGACGCCCACGTGAAATTTGCGACAGTCGTTTGCTAGCATTTTACACTCTGTTTAGGAAACGGAGCACCACCGGACGGCAGAAGGGTACCCAGAGTTCAGCACCCAGAGTTCAGCTTTTTGAAATCAAATGCCTCCTTGGCATCGATCATGAAATGGAGAGAAGCCGGGGAGGCTGCTCTCTAGTTCATGATCGATGATGAAGTGGCTTCGCCGAAATCCCTTTCCTGTGAACCACCCCGCCCTCGCTCCCTCCCCCCCGCCACCAACCCCCCTTCCCCCCCAAATAAGACCACGTCCCCTCCTCCCCGCCACCCCCCTTCCCCTCAATATCCCCACGTCCCCTCCCCGCCACCCCCCCTTCCCCCCCAAAATCCCCACGTCCCCTCCTCCCCGCCACCCCTACCTCGCGCCCGACCACCACGCCCCATCACCATCTTCCTCACCTCCTCAGTACCGTGACCAACACACATCCTCCGACATGCTATTGTCCCCGCCACCGCGTCATCCTCCTAACATCGACACCGACACAGTCTCTCCCCGCACCCTCCATCCCTTCCATATCTTTCGTTTCATATCTCAATCCAGCCCAGTTTTGGTCATGCACATCGAGGGACTTCATTATAGCAACAAGTCGTCCAGCTTTGCTTTTGTCGAGCTACAGGGAGTCAGACTGGGCCATGTGCATGCGCGAGGAGGCGTTGCTGTACCTTCCATGCTGCATGGATCTGCAGACCGTCCAGACTCTGTTCCATTTCCGAGGAGTGGAACTATGGGATGGCATTACAGTAAAAACTACAGCAATGTGCTTCCGATTTTAGTGAAGAACTCAATAAAAACGGGGCGAGGGAAAGGAAAAACGAGAGGAAAGTCCTTTGTTAGGACTGGCCCTGAGACAAAAAAAGTTGTCGTGACTCGAATGTACATGTTAGCCTTTTGCCAAAACACGTGTTTTCCAACAGAACGTTTGCAGTGGACCCTATATTCCTCCCTCCTTTAACATTTTAGATCTCCAGTTTTTCGGGATAAACTGGCTATTTCAGTCGTCCTGGTGATCATCCAAGTTGCCTGGCGTCTTCCGGCTTTCAAGAACCATTCTATATAACCCCTAAAGCCCGTGTCGACCGCACGGAATGACGGCACTGCATGGACATGGCCTCAACCATAACGAAGGACAACAATAGCGCCCCGTCTGCAATCGTCGACGAACTTGTTGCCGATTTTCCAGGTCCTGCACAAGTGGCAAAACGACCAGGTCATTCGGTCCACATCGACGAAGAACCCAGGGCCCTTCATCTTACCCCCTGCACGTTTACGCAGTACGCCGAACTTCCGCAAGGTGACCGTGAGAAATACGACCTCGTCGACGGCTTGCTTGTCTTCTCACCAAGGATGGGCGATAACTTGCACGAACGCATAGTGTCCTACATTATCAGCAAAGCTCAAGTTGCTCACGCCACTAAGAAAGCGTACATAACCATTTATGGACGCGGAAAAGTGTACATACCGAGTCGCAGGAGGGCTCTGGAGGCTCAGTTCGGTGAGGTGTTCGATGACTCCGGCTCACCTACGTCCTCGCCAGGTGGGTCTAGTTCCTCCGGAAAATCGGACACGGTACGCGAGCCGGACGTCTCCATCGGCAAATATCGTGACGATAGAGCTATGGAGTCCACAGCAGGCGAGCAATCAAAGACAATCAGGTTTGGAAAAAACGTTGATCCCCCCGTACTCGTGTTTGAGGTCACGAGTCCCTCCACTCGCAATGTCGACCTCGACAGTAAGTGGAGAGCGTACCGCCGAGCCAATATCGAAGAATACGTTATTGTCGACCGTGGTGGAGTTGGTGGAAAAGATGCTTGCGTCATTGTGGGTAAACTTCATGGCCGAAGCGACAAGGACGGAGACCGACAAGCGTCTGGCGATCCTACTATAACCACTCGCGGCAGTGGCAGTTCGCTGATGTACCACAGAAAGATCTATCGGGGAAATGAGTCCGTCATATGGAAAGAGACCGACAAGCGTCTGGCGATCCTACTATAACCACTCGCGGCAGTGGCAGTTCGCTGATGTACCACAGAAAGATCTATCGGGGAAATGAGTCCGTCATATGCCGTATCTTCAGCCGTGAAGACAAGATAACGGTGAAAGAGTTGCTCAATCCTCCGAGTGGGACTAAGGTGATTGAATACGAGCTGCAGAACAGAGAAGCAGAGATAGATAAATTGAGGAAAGAGATCAAGAGCTTGAAAAAGCGCGATAGAAGTCCAACCCAAAGCCACCACAATGGTTCGCCCAATGGTTCGGCCACCAACAGCCCGTCCAGAAAGAAACAAGTAGAGCGAAAGCATACAGAAAGGTAAGAAAAGATATGCTCTTTGGAAGGGAAGTCAGATTTGCAGTCTGTGCGGGTTAGCCGTGACAGATATTATAGCGGACAACTGGATAGTGTTCTTGATTATGCCAAATCATGCAAGCAATTGAAGATAGTAAATGAAAAGCCATAGTTGTGAGAAAGTTGTGAGAAGTAATATGCCTCTGCGCGCCGGAGGCAACTCTCCTTCGCCGTGTGCAGAAGACATATTTGCGACGCGATAAAGCTCGGTTCTGGAAATACGCGACTCGAGAAGAGCATCGTGCGTTATCAATTGATGGGTGGGGAGCCAATACCTTGGTAATGCTACTGGCATACTGGAAATTTCGGCTGTATATGAAACTATCGAAAAGCGCCGCAATATCTGCAGTTGTCGCTCGCAAGCTCGCAGCCAACATCCCCACGTTAGATGCCGCGAGTATGGTATACAGGTGCTCGTGCGTTATCTTTAATATATTGGTTGCCAACTGATATTCCTCGGCAGTCGTCTCCGTTTTTGCAGTCACGATCGTTAAAACATCAGTCTTGCCACGACCTCACTCGCTTTTTTTCTCTATCATCTCCCTTGAACTTTGCTCTCTGCACTGTTCGCTCCTATTGTTCACAGAATCACTTGAGGGTCCTAGTCAGTTTCATTCGATTTCTGAGGTCTTTCAGTCGATATGTCCGTAGCTCCATTTCTGCCATATTCAACTTCCTCCATAAATATTCTGTCGTCACCGTTAGTGCATTAACCTTGCTCTTTAATCTTTCCTTTTCACTAGCCTTCGCCCCATTCAAGCTTGCAATGGTTGGATTCTTCATCTTGGATCCCCAACCGCGCTTGCGCTTTGCAGAAACTGGGATTTGTGGGAGGATAGGAACAGCAGACATGACAGCCGGAGGGTCAAATCCATCTGCGGGATTGTGTAAAACGCCACTCGCCAGTTCAAATTCAAGTTCGTCCATTTGTCTCCTCAACCTCCGATTCTCACCGCACAATCTTGCACAACCCGCGCAGCCCGCGCAACCAACTTCGGTTGGAATGCGTTTCCAGTCGCTGCGCACGGTGCTCTGCTTTGCTTTTTTCATGGCTTGCGCTGGAGACTTTTTCTCCTGCTGGTTCTTTTCGCTTGGGGAACCCGACTCACTAAGGACTTCTTCGTCATCGTCTAGCTGCCGGAAATCCACACGTTCCAAATGCGAGTTAATTAATTTCCCTTCAACGTCATGCTCTGCAACTCCCTGGGCGAGGAATTCTTCTTCGAACTCATCACGAGCCGGACGGTCTCCAGATGCGGATTCTCCCAGCTCAAAGTCGGAGACGCTTGTGTGGTGAGAGAGGTGTGGTAGTCCTGTACCGGCGCGACGAGGGCGGCGAGGGGAGGAGGAAGAGGAACGCACTCGCCTAGAGAAGGGATGTGGCGACAGCATGATGGGGAGACGAGGAATGGGACCATCGGATGGTTCTGGGGAGGAAGGAGCAGAGGGAGTGAACGGAGGCGCAGAAGGGGTTAACTCCCGAGAAACTAGAGATGAAGGTAGCTTCGAAGGCGCTCGTGAATGCGCCGGACGAGGTGGTGACGGTGATGATGAGAAATGACCGGATGTGGACTGGGGCACCTTGGACAATACTAGTTCATTGCGATCATCCGGGTTAGATGGTGGAGATGATGGGGAAGAAGCGTCTGGTATGGATTCCGGTAGCTTGGAAGGTACTCGTGCATGGACAGGGTGAGACGGTGGCAGTGGTGGGGCAGCAATGCCTCCAGAAGGTCGGACTGGGGCGAAAGGCAGCGGCGGAGCGGGGGGCGGAGGTGCCATGTTGCGACCGGGAGCAATCGGGGGTCGCTTGTCGGCTGCGTTGAGGAGGCGCGAAAATAGCGCTGCCGGAAGAAAGTAAAGAGGTAAGAAATGAATGCGGAAGGTGGAGTGGGAAGAATGGGGAGCCTGACGGTGCGTCATGAGGGGCACGGCAGGTCCGTGAGTGTTAGGTTAGTGCGCGCTGAGTCAGCGAGTTGCAAAATCATGCTAGATATTGCCGGGGCCAAGGGCAGGGCGGAGGCGTGAGAAGTTGATGGGACTTGGGCAGACGACGAATGTGTGCGTAAAGAAGAGGACATGTTGTGCGGGGCGGAAATGGGGGGAGTGGGATTCAGGAGGAGCGGGGCCTAAGAGTTGGACTTTGCTGACCCGGGCAAACGACAGCCGGAGCGGAGACGCGGGACGGCCTCCCGCAGAGGGCCGTAAGCGCAACGCAGGCTGAAGGTCGCGCAGGGAACTGGTGGCGGAAGCAAGCAGAATGAGGACTAAGGTGGCGTGGGAGACGTTGTCGGACATGAATTGGACATAGCGAGGCAGCTTGCGGCTCCGCATGCCGGGCCCGAGGGGCGGGAGAGCGCAGTGCACGCGATCGTACACGTCATTTGTCTGGATAGCTACTTCTGATTGGAAAATTAATCGCCGATTCGGCGTGTGATTGGTCAGCAGAAAATGCCCCCCTAACAGATGCAAAACCTCTGGCAGAATCAGCAAAACAAGGCGCCGCTTGTTCGGCTTAGGGCCCGGATTCTTCTAAGGCAAGTCGCCACTTGCAAATCCCTTACGAGACCCTAGAGTAGACACAGAAACCTGAAGAAACCATATGTATGCCCTTTTCACTCTGCAATGAGTCGAGCAACTTGGCCTCCGGTATATTGCAGACTTCATCCACATCGTGAGCATTCCGACCTTTGATGCCCAACACTATCCACGCAGATTTGCAGGAATGTCTTCTTCGGTGAGGAGGCGTTCATTTAATCTGTCGCCCCCCGCGTCACACGCGGCCGCAACTCCTCAAGTGCAGGCCTGAAACGATTCATGTGCAAAATGCATGTTTTGAGTCAAGCAGACGATTTGGAAAGGCTTATTCTGTTGACAAAGAGGCGTGCAGACTTATTCGTACGTCGCGTCTCGGGAACAACTTCACCCTTGCCCGAATGATCTGGTGAATGTTCAGAATGCCGCCAAAAAGGCGCCTGGGACTTGTCCATAGAGCTGGCCAACCTTCGCCATCTCCGCTCAAATGGTTTGATTCGCACTCCTCAATATTGCTCGCAGTGAAAAGGCATCGCAGACCGGTGTCTGGTGGTGGTATTGCTGGTAGGGATCTTCGTCAGGAAAGGCAAGCTCTACTGCCGTTCGAGTGGTGGCTACCCAAGGGTACGAGGCAGTTACATCACACAGGCAGGCAAGGGCAAACCGAAAAAAAAACTTTCGGCCTTTCACTTTCGGCCTTTCAATTCAAAAAAGTATAGAGCCCCTGGCGGGAACTTCGGAGGACTCGAACCCGCAATCTTTGGCTTAGGAGGCCAACGCGTTATCCATTGCGCTACAGGAGCTACTGAACTGATGGCCAATTGGACATATCATTGATATTTATTATATTCTTTTGAATCTATGCAAATAAGACACGTGTTCGACGTGGCATACCTGTCCACGCACCTGCTCTCTGATCCCTTGATGTTTGAGAAATGAACTCCCCCTTTTATGTGGCATACCTGTCTATATCCACTTCGTGACTTGGTTTGTGTCCTGTTTTGGGTCCCGACAGGCAGTCTGAAGCTTGCCGGCTTGTCCAAATGTGGATAGCTGACTAGCGATCTTGAAAAGTTAAGTGCGAGAACAGAGAAGCAAAAATGTGAGGCGTGATATAACAGTGGGCAGGGCGATACGGCAACAATCTCTCGACATACATATAATCAGGCTAGAGGCAAAGCATGTTTGAGTAGTTTTGACTGGTAGGAAAGGTGTGCTTCAGCCATTTCCCGAATAATTCTGCTCCCTAATATCGATCGCACCATTTTCTCGCTCTGCAAATTCTGCAGGTGTATTGCAAGTCAGGCGCTGAAGAAGATGCTCTTTCATCGTACACCTATGGTCTGAATTCGTAAGACTGAATGTCCTAGTGTGTCTATGACTCACCAGTGGTGTGGGAGGATGGTTGGGCGCGGTCGATGCGAGTGCGGGAACGAGGGTGGGGGAAGAAACACCGCTAAGACTTGCAGCGGGGGACGGAAGGGCGGGGGCGCAAGTCGCGGCGAGTGCAAGTATGGGGATGAAACTAGCAGGGAGCTGCTTTCGTAGCAGAGATGCTGCAGGCGCGTCTCGCATTCTTGCTCTCACTTAAACAGCGCCCTGGGATCCGTCTCGTTCATAACTGCGCATCCTGCAGCAGCGTCTGAGGTTCAGAGCAGTCAGAAATCGCTCGTGCCAAGCGCCCACCTCAAAATGCGGATGGTCGAGGACCACAGACTCTCAGCACTACCAACATTGCCTCGCTCCTCATATGGTCTCCCCTGCGGGACATGCCGCTACATGCAAGCATGACCTCAACGTCACCCATAGACGCAACCCCGTCCGCAAAGCGACCGCCCACTGCCAGTTCCAACCCACCGGTTCCGTGCACAGCCGTGCAGCGCCCTTCGTCCCTGGCTAAAGTGCGACGCCCTCGCTGCTGTCCTTGTCCTGCCCGCCCTCTACCCGGTCTACCCCGACAAACCGACTTTGGCGTATTACACTACTGTTCGCAGCCCCTACCGCCGCGCCGTCATCCAGCAGGTCGCTCGACACCCCGCCAGTGCCGCTTCAGCAGACGGGCTCAAACTCCCGGCCCACCCCAGAGCCCTTCGCGACGTGCTTCTCCTACAGGACAGCACGCCAGTCGCCGAATTGACTGGCAATCTTTTCCCAACTCCTTTGATACAGGCGATGCTGAGTCGCCGAATTGACTGGCAATCTTTTCCCAACTCCTTTGATACAGGCGATGCTGAGTGTCGCCGGAGCCATCCTCGCTCCAATTTCCTTTCATACCGCCGACTTCTGCCGCCCGATACAAGTGCGATCTTGATTACATGCATTCAGACGTGAGACGCACGCAAGCGTCCTCCAAAAGCTGCCAAACAAACATATTCTTCAAGACGCTTTACTGGAGTGATGCATTTCTCTTCCGGTTCTTCAGTTCAGTACTGGAGAACCTGAGGTGAAGTGCATCATCGCGAGCATAGCATTTGAAGTACGGCACTTTGATGTTGACAGCGTGATTTCTGCTTACAGGCAGAGTTAGCCGGCGACGCACACATTTACCGGTACATTCACCCACCGGGCGGGCGTGTTATGGGGGGTTTGCTGTCGCAGAAACATCTGCAGGACAAACTCCGGCGTCACGCAAGACGATGCGCACAGCGTCGTCTAGCGACCATTCGCAAACACCACAGGGGCGGACTTGCATCCTAGCTGCGTCCACTTCTGCGACTCTGGTCCACGCCGTAACTGCCGGTTCTCCTCTCAAGCGCGACAAGGCTTCCCGCAATGCGCGTATGCGCATGACTTCTTCCACGGCGCGGTCTTCGCGCAGCAGGTCCAGCAGCGCGTCCTGCGCGGCCTGTCTGACGGAGGAGTGTTCGCTGGCGGCGCAGCGTTCCAGGGCCGCCAGCACGCCGGCGTCCAGCAGTGCGACGCGGCCGGCCGACCCGCTGCGCGCCTGCCGCGCGACGCGGGATAGGCCCGTGCGCGACAGGAGCGGCTCCTCGCAGGCGCACAGCGTCACCGATTGCGGGGCCTTCGCGTGGATCACGATCGGGGATAGGTGCAGAGCAACGGCCGTCGAGGAGCCCAGCGCCAGGATTCGGAAGACGATGGCTGCCGGGGAAGCTGAGGCGCTCGCCGCAGATACCATCGCCCTCTATCCTGCCACCCTGCTGCCGATCAACGCGACGATATGCAAGTCTCAATTGATTCCGGTCGCGTCGTGTTTCCCCACACACATCTCTCACGCCCTGGTGTCTACTTCTCGAGATACAGTGTAGACGACAAGCGATTTTGCCCATATGAGGCAAGCTTTTTTTGCGAAATAAATTGTAAAATTTTCAAGTTATTTTGGACACAATTTCTTTACCGTACTTGCTATCGGCCATAATATCTTGCAAAACATCAGGATAGCAGTTCTGAATGTAAAGAAAGACGAGGAGTCCAATTTAGATTAAGTGCCCGTTCGCAATTTTAAACGGACGTTTTGGTTATCAATACAGAACATTTTAAGGATGCTCCAAAACGCTTCTTTTCCGGATTTTTGTAAGAACGATTGGAAAGAATACTCAGTTACCACCCAAATCCATCCTCCCACCACGCAGAATTCAAGTACGGGAGGGAGCGTATCTTTGTCCTTCTTATCAAGTGAGCACAAGTCCGGAAAAAATAAGTTGAGAAGTAGCCTAGTAATGGCCACGAGGCTATTTGACCTGAATTGAGGTCAAATGTTTCCTAGACACTGGGGCTCATGACAGAGGAATGCATTACTGTAAGTTGATGATAATGTAAGCTCTGTCACCAATAGGGCCCCTGTCCACATCATCATATTGCACGTTACATTATGATACAGTAGTAATGCCGCACCAAAGCCCATTTCCCTTCTCTGCTCGCTCGGCTCCGTTCACGTCGAGGTACGTTGGCACGCAAGCTTAGTCGCTTCCTCCATAACTTGCTCAAATGTCCGCCAAAGAGGCAGAGGCCGGCGAGGCCGGTGAGTTCTTGAACGCTGATCTCCACCATTCGCTGCCTGCCCCATCCGCGGAGCCTTCATCCACTATTCCGGCTGAAGCGGCCGAGGAAGAAGAGGAAGCCGAAGGTGCCGTCCAGTCGCTTTTGCGGCGCAGTTCGCATCCCACCGTTGCCATATTTCACGTGATTTTCAAGGCCGGCGCCATCGCCTCTTATCTCTTGCTTGGCTTCTTCACAGACTCGTTTGTTATCCAGTTTGTCATCACTGTCACGCTCCTCGCGTTCGACTTTTGGACCGTGAAAAACGTCACAGGCCGTCTCCTAGTCGGCTTGCGGTGGTGGAATGAGATTGCTGACGACGGTACCACACAAGCGTGGCGCTTCGAGACGATTGCGGATCGCGAGAACCTCAATGTCATTGACGGCCGCATTTTTTGGTGGACCATGTACATCAGTCCTATCATCTGGCTTCTACTTGGTGTCGTGTGCGTCTTGAAGTTTAATGTCTCGTACCTTCTCATGGTTGTTATTGCGCTTCTACTCAACGGCGCCAACATCGTCGGCTACTATAAGTGCAACAAGGATGCTACAGAGCAGATTAGGAACTATATTGGCAAAAGTATGCTCGGCCATGCCATGGAGAGAAGCGGTCTAGGAGGCCTTTCACAGCTCTCGGGGCGTCTTTCAAATTTCGTTTGAGCCTTTGCGCCATCTTCATATGTCATAGTCTTGATATTCACTCTTCCTGGATGCATTCAGGGGGGAGGGGCAAGCATATTCGACTTTTCTCTACAGTACATCGCCGACGACCTTGGTTGCTCCTCTCGCTGAAAAGTCGTCTGTTGATATCATCTCGCAGCACTTGCTGGTACCCTCTAGAGCTGTGATGGCATGATAACAATGACAAAAATGTGGGCTGAGCCATCCATTTTCTAGAGTGCATCGTCAAAGAGATATGAGTACAGCCCGGGTTCACAATACGGGCGTCCGAAAAGTATACTCCAGTCGTTCAGGAAGGCCTGGGTGCATCTTTCCCGGTGGCGTCACGAATGACGGCAGTGGGTATGTTAATGATGCCCTTCGGATCAACTCGAGAGAGCTGGAATTGAAACGCTGGAGTGACCCATTTTCCACATGAGCACGGCGCTCCTGACCATGAAAAAGATCCGACCCGGGCGCTGCATTTAGGGCACATCAGACGACCGTCATTGCCGGCTGCGCCCTCAGCCCATTCTGGCATTTCCGAGGTAAACACACTGCTACATTTTCCTCCAACACCCTTGTACGTCGTCTCGCGTGCTCCCCATTGTTCCTTCACTTGGCTCACCCCCGCTCCATCGCTGCAGTGGCCGGTTGTGCCCTCGTGCATAACGTGAGCTCTATAAAACAAGATGTTTCGACACTTGCCGCATGTGTAGTATTCCTCGCTATTTGGATGTTGCTCCATAAGACGTTGAGGATAGGATAGATGCACGAATGGTGAGACAGACGATAAGACGTTCTTGCTCGGCTCCGGATGCTGGCATCTCAAAGACTGCCCCGAAAAACTTTTGCCCGTGCCGTAGCTTATTCGATCATACGGCGTCCTTGAGGGGATAGAGAGGGAGCTGCAAAAAGAAGTAAAATTTAACTTGATATTTCCAGTCTTTTCTAGAGCGCCATGTTGCATGTCCCAAATTTATACTTGCGGTCCCCTGCCGTTCAGACGAAGGGACAACATTCGCTCTACTCACAACAGTCAACATTTCATCCGCTCAACCTCAGCCTGAAGTTGTCAGACCTTGACTAGACATACTTACCGCTTCCATTTCTGTTACTCGAAGGATTCCATAAACGTATTGCGTCGACGAGCAAGACGTTGAACGAAGGGTGTTGCCTCGTTGATTTGTGTTTCCAGTTCAGAGTTTAGCAATGGCACAGCGCCTTCTCAAGGAGCACCGCGACCTGCAAAAGGAAGCCAAGAAGTCAAACCCGGATATTCTTCTTTCACCGGTAGACAGCAACCTTTTTCGATGGGCAGGTTCAGTCGCAGGTCCGGAGGGGACTCCCTATGAAGGTGGTCGATTTTCACTTGAGGTCAAGGTTCCGAGCTCGTACCCCCTCACAGCGCCAAACTTTCGTCTCCTCACCAAGATTTTCCATCCGAACGTGCACCCTAAGACTGGGGAAATCTGTATCGATATCCTGAAGAATGCGTGGTCTCCGGCGTGGACGCTGCAGTCAACCTGCCGCGCTATCATTATCCTTCTTTCTCACCCAGAACCGGATTCTCCTCTAAACTGCGACGCTGGAAATCTACTCCGTCAAGGCGACCATCGAGGCTTTCGTTCCGTCGCAACGATGTACACAGCTATTCATGCTACACGGAAAGGGGAAGCATCGCGCACCTAATGTCATGGTCGGGTGTATCTGCGGCCAGTCCGGCTTCAGAAACCGCTTTATTCTCTTCTACTCGTAACACATGTGTTGTGCGGGCCCCTGCCAACACAGCTTTTGAAAACACCAACGTTTCAACTCTCTTCCATGCGTAATGGCTCTCTTCTGGAAATGTGAGCCGGGTTATCTTCACTCTCAGTGTTTGTACACTCAAATGCCCTTATGAATGAGAAATTCCGCCCGTTGCGAAAACGTATCCGTAGAACAACGCTATAAAACCGATTATTCCAGCACCAATAAGGAAACCTTTATCGTTGCTCCATGCCGATGTAAGTCTCTCCACTTGCTCGCCTTCAAACTTCGCCTGCTTCTGCTGATAGTCGTCCGGAGGAAGCTTAAACACGCCACCATTACTCGTCTTACGCTCCTCAAACTCTTTCCATGACGAATCCCAGTCACGTGGGTTCTCACTCTCACCATCGCCTTCTTCTGGTTCTGACTTTCCTTTCTCGGCGTTCATGGTGACGAAAACCGGTCTTCTGGTTTTGGCCAGGTTCCGAGCTCGGAGGGGGGTGCATGAAAATAGACGCTTGCGCATCCAATGAGGTTGGGAGGGCAGAAACGCCGCCCCAGGGACCCAGCAAACAACCCCCTCGTCGCCCCTATTCACGCCGACCGAAGCGTGCATACCGATACCCGCTTCTCTGCTCAGTGGTTGTCGCGTGGAGAGTTTCCAGCCCAAGTCGCTGTTGTAGCGAAATGTCAAAATCTGATTGACAGATTTGGGAAATATCACGGCTTTATGCCCCTGAAACATTGAGGTCCCTGACGTCCGAAACTCCGGTTTGTCTGATGTTATTCTAAAGGTGCGACAACTCGAGTTCAAAATCTAGAGTACGCGAAGAGGTGGAATCAAGTCTTGCAAACTCCCTTCCCTATTCTCGTTCAAGAAGAATGTTTCTCTTCGATAAAAGGTGAGGTTTCATCTAGGGCCTCGAGATTCGCCGTGTCTCCATTTTCCTCCACCTGCGTTGTGTTTGGAATTGGTGCACGACGTTGTTTGATCCCGGGTGATGGGCTCTCTACTTCTGCCTTTTCGTCTGGGCTCTCTTCGATTGCCGCGTTTTCGTTGATTGCATCTGTGGGATGGTCACCGACAATCACACCAGGCTGAACAGCCTCAACAGCCGGGCGAATCCTCTTGCGATTGTGTTTAAGCTCCTTTTTGCGACGTCTCTTTGATGCGCGCTTCAGAGTTTTATTGATTTCTTTCAATCGCCTCTCCTCAGCGGCGCGAAATGCCTTGCCCTGTTCCTCCTTCTCCAGGGCTTCCCTTTCCATGTTCGCAATGCGCGCTACTTCTACGCGCCGTTGATGCCTGTAAACATGAAAATCACCGCTTCCCGCACCAGCCGTGCTGCCTGCCACATTCTTCGCTTGAATGTCGCGTGGATCAAACTGTCCGTCAGGCCGTGCTTTGGGTTCTGGAGTCGACATCTTCACGTGCACCCAAATGCAAAGTCAGCGGATTGGATGGATGTTTCGGCAATTCTCCACCCGTTTTTCCAACACGCTTAAAATTTGCAAGCCATCGCAAACCTTAAGGGCACATACGGAAAAAAAATCCGCGACGAAAATTTGATGCACTGTAGACAAAAAAAAAACAGGCAACCAAGAATTTAATGGTTCCACGCACCCACTCAGACGACCATAGAGTTGTTGCATGGGTTATCAAACTGGTGCCCAATCTAAGGCGTACACCCCTCGACAAAGAGATGATACTGGCAACTAACAAGACCGAACTTTCTTCAACCACGAAGGAATGGACTCGCAAAACGGTGACACAACTTGGAATTTGGCACATCAACCAGAACCTGACCTCTACACCTAGGCATCATGAATTTCCTCGTTCCGGACTGAGGTCCCGAAGAACCCAGCCAGAGCCTACATTTTCCTGCCCCAGAAGTCATGAAGCCTGTCATGGATAAAAATAAGGACATCCTTTCGTCTAGGCTTATTCCTCATCGTCTTCCGGATGGTCGTTCTCATACCCTTCTTCTTCGTATCCCTCCACACCGTCAGCAGTCGCTTCACCGTACTGCTGATATTCGGAAACAAGGTCGGCCAAGTTCGACTCGGCTTCCGAAAACTCAAGCTCGTCCATGCCTTCACTCTTGTACCAATGCAAAAAGGCCTTACGTCTGAACATGGAGCGGAATTGGTTACCAAACCGCTTGAAGGTTGCCTCAATTGCAGTGGTGTTTCCGATAAATGCAGAGGAAATCTTTTCGCCAGCTGCCGGAATATCACATACAGAGGTCTTTATGTTGTGCGGAATCCATTCAACAAAGTAAGCCGAGTTCTTGGTCTGCATCAATGTCATCTCGTCTTCGACTTCTTTCGTGCTAACCTTACCACGGAAATAGACTGCAGCAGTGAGGTACCTACCTTCACGCGGGTCGATTTCAGCCATCATGTTGTTGCGATCAAACATTTGTCCAGCGAGCTCCGGGACGGAAAGGGAGCGATATCCAGCGGAGTTGGATGCAGCCAGTGGTGCATGTCCGACGGCAAAGAAGTGCAGACGAGGGAAGGGAACCAAGTTGACTGCAAGTTTCCGCAAGTCAGCATTGAGCTGCCCAGGGAACCGAAGCGAGCAAGTGATACCGGACATGACGCTGGAAATGAGACTGTTCAGCTCATCATAGGACGGCTGCTCAATTTTCAAGGTGTTGTAGCAGATGTTATACAAGGCCTCATTGTCAATTGCGAAAACGCAATCGGCGTTTTCAATCAGTTGATGAATTGAAAGGGTGCAATTGTAAGGCTCAACGACAGTGTCGGATACCTTAGGAGATGGGAGCACGGAGTAGGTGCACATCATGCGATCGGGATACTCTTCACGGATTTTCGACACAAGCAATGTGCCCATGCCAGATCCAGTCCCGCCCCCTAGAGAGTGAGTAACCTGAAAACCTTGAAGCACGTCGCAAGTCTCAGCTTCCCTTCGAATGATATCCAAAGCAGTTTCTACAAGTTCAGCACCCTCCGTGTAATGGCCCTTAGCCCAGTTGTTCCCTGCCCCGGATTGACCGTACGCAAAGTTGTCAGGATGGAAGAGTTGCCCGCGCTTTGAATTTTTGATGGCCATCAAGACGCCGGGTTCGAGATCCAGCATCGCGGCACGGGGCACATAGCTTCCGCTAGAACTTTCATTGTAATAGACGCCAATGCGATGGAGCTCCTGGTCGGGACGATCGCCGATGTATTTACCATCGACATCGATGCCATGCTCGGCCGAAATCCCTTCCCAGAACTTGAGACCCACTTGGTTCCCGCATTGACCAACTTGCAAACTAACTAAGCGATAAAAAATGGGCGCGCGCGGATTGGCGAAAAGCGGTGATGCGTTAGATTGAAAAGAGCAGTGCGGGTATAGTTGATTTCAAGCTTCGTGCGGCACGTACCAATGCTGCGGGTCATGGCGGGGAGAGATGGGGAGGCAAGTGTTCCTTAAGTTTTTCGCGCGTTCGATGGTTGGCGCAGGGTAGATCGGTTGTTGAGAAGGACAGTGACGGGATGTTAGCGGGTGGGGGTGGGGGTGGGGGTGGTATGTAAAAGGGTGCGAAGTATTTGGGTTCGGAATAAGGCAACAAACGGATCGGAATTGAGGTGATGCGCGGGAATTGCAAAAAACGCTGGAAGTTGCGGGAAGAATTATTTTTTTATTGGTGTGGGAGTCATTTGAGAGGAAAGCGGCCAATCTTTCGCGCCCGTACCACGGCACCGAGCCGCAGCACCGGATGGCCCCGCACACAACCCACACGTCGTCACGTACCGACCCGGCCCCTCTATCTCTCAGGCCCCAGACCTGAAGACCGCTAGACCAATACGGGCCGTGTCCGAGACGTGGCTGACACTCTTCTCGAGACGACCTCACACCGTGAGGCCGTCCTCAAGAAAGGGGAAAGCAAGCCCCGAGTCCGGCCCCCGTCTGGATGTATCCCTATCACTCTGCACAGACTAATATGCGCCTAGTGCTGCTTAGGGTTGCACCAACTCAATTAAATTCCTCTGTACAGTATAGAAGAGTTTCCCTCGCGGCTCTGTGATGACGACACAGATAACAGACAATCAATCTCACGTCAAGATCGTCGCACGAACTGATATGACGTACAGTAGTTGTGAAAGTGTTCTGCGCCAACGTCCAATGCAGACTTCTCACCCATGCGTATCAATAGACTACAAAATTCAGTGGGCATGCGGCCCTTTCAACAGAGAGACTACTTTCCCGCGACGTTTTAGTTAGAGAAGAGAAGACACGTCGCTGAAAAGGCCACAAGATATGTGGCAGCCCCCACTTGCTTAACCTTGAAGAATTCGAAAATAGCCTGACTCTTACCTTTCAGGTACGGGGCGTACCCGGGCCATGCCACAGAGAGCGCGGCAGAGATAATGAGTTGCCTGTTTCCATTGCGACTTCTTACTGGAACAGCAGCTCTTAATGCTCTCTTTCTAGTACGAAATCTCCCTTTCAGAGAACGGCGAGCATGAGTGCAGTTAGGGCCTGCGGTTTCCGACAAAACGACATCGGCCACATAAATATGTCAAGTATCTTCTCTCTAGCTAGAAGCGCGAGGCTTGCCTTTCCTTTCACATCAAGATCCACCCTACAGCACATACAGTGCTCCGCCTTCGGCAATAGCCTTGGATACCGTTTCGAAATACAAGTAGAACGCGGAGGCTCTGCGAAACGATGTCGCAGCCTTGCTGGCACCTGCCGCAAATCACGTGCTCCCAACCTCAAAGCTGCGGCCGTGGACAGTGATTTGCATCCTCGCGAAACATCCAACCTTTCATCTCCTGCTGGTGATACCCCACGAGGGGTAGAGCGACGTTGTAAATTTAATCTTGAAACTGCATATCATACTCTCAGAACCCTGAAATGTCCAATTCCGCACCCTGAAATCCAAGCCCGGACTTCATGTTCCTGCTCAGCGACTCGCAGCCGGACAAAAAGCAGCAGTACCAAAACGTACCCCCTCCCCTCTCTCAAGCCGGGGACGCCTGCTCCATCATGGACCACGCCGCCCTAACCTCTCTCCGTCAGCATCTTCCGACCCTCCATGCCTCCCCGACCCCGCAGACCTCCACCTCTCTCCATCCAGCCCGCTTCGCTGCCAATTCCCTGTCCCATACCGAGGTTGTTCGCGAGCTACGCCGCCTCCCACCAGGTCCAGCCTTCGTGTCCGCTCTCTCCGCCCTCGGTGCCTACCCTCCTCTTGCGATGTTACGCCGGGCAGTGCTTTCCGATAAGTCCTTGACATCCCCACCGGAGAAAAGCAAGGACAAGAAAGCAAAACGCCGTCCGGCTACACGAGAGCATGGCACTGCCGCGGACCTTACTATGAGGCCGCAGTCTCGCCTGGCGTCGCGGCACGCGCACGCCATATCCTCTTTGGTTCGAGAGTGGCGCCCTTTCATCCGGGATGACGTTGTCGCCCTTCGAGCGTTGACAGCTCTCGCCGCTGCATATCCAGTCCAGGATCAAGAGGCAGTAGAACACCAAACTGAATCCGCTGTAACTTCTTTTCGTCATGAGCTTGACTCTCTGAGCGAGATTCTAAATTCACTTCAAGAGCAGCTATCGAATGCGGTCGCGATAATAGGTGACGGTGATGTAGGAGACCACGACGGCCTCGTCGAGGTTGTTTCGGCGGCATGGGCCTCCGTTCGTGCGCGGCGCGTAGGGATGGCGGACTTGCGAGTCAAAATGAATGCCTTTGCTGAACATTCGCGACATCCCCAGAGGGAGAGGTTAGCTGTGGGCGAACTGGTTCATCGCCTAGATGAGCAGGTCAGGAAATTACACCAGCGCAGAAATGAACTCAGGGAAAGAGGATTCGTCATCAGGCAAGTCAGTCCTGGGCCAGAGGAGGACGACGAAAGTAGTAGCGAGGATGAATGGGAGGATGCAGTTGAGGTTTCTGTACAAAAAACTGAAGCAACGGGAGACGACGAATTGCCAAAGGTTACAGACTGGGCTAAAGTGATGAGGGGTGAAGAAGGCAGCGATACGAATAGGCTATTATTGGAGCGCTTAGAAAAGCGATCAATGGATCGCAGAAGATCGAACGGGCCAACTGAGAATACTGGAGGAGGTACCGGCATTAGTGAAACAGAGATGGGCAGTGGGCGAGGGCGTGGTCGTGGTCGAGGCAGAGGTCGAGGCAGGGGACGCCGTCAGTCGACAGCCAGGGAGCGCATCTGCAAAAAGTTGGGAATAAAGAAAAGACGCAAGAAGAGCCTGCTCGATGACCTCTAACTACATTTTCGCAGGAGTAACATACCACCCGGTACTAGAACCATGTCGACATGTTGTCCTGTTCTATTATAGGTTCGGCTTTCAACCACAGGTCTTCTCAGAGTTGAATGATGGAAATCATAGTCTCCTCAGAATTGCTTCGGGCCATGCTCAGAAGAAGAATTCGCTTCAAATCCAAAATTCTGAATGTCAACATGTCTTCATTTACTGCCATTCCTCTCCGCAGTAAAGATACCAAGACAGCAAACAAGCATGAAGGGCTCTAGTGAGCTGCCATTCCCACAGCTCCCTTCATAGCCTCATCAATAACTTCGCTCAATGTCGGATGCGTATGCACACAGAATGCCAACTCATCCACGGTAGTTCCTCTCGCCATCGCATTGGAACACTCTTGAATCAGATCAGCCGCGTGAATTCCAATGATGTGAACTCCAAGAATTTTGCCGTTGTCCTTGTTAAACAACACCTTGGCAATGCCATCGCCTTCACCTTCAGCCAGAGCTTTGGAGTTGGCGCGGAAATGGCCGATTGATTTCCCAAGCTCAAAGCCGCCTTCCTTAGCTGCTTCCTTTGCTGCTGGTTCCGTCAATCCGACCATGGAGATTTCAGGGTGCGTGAAGCATGCCGCTGGGACGGTGTTGTGATCTACGACGTGCGACTTTCCAGTGATGTTCTCTACGGCGCTAATTCCCTGCGCGGAAGCAGCATGCGCCAGCATCATCTTACCATTGACATCCCCAATCGCGTACACATGCTCAATGACGTTTCCATCTTTGTCTACAACGTTCATTTTTTCATCAACAGGAACAAACCCTCTTTGTGTCTCGACATTGATACTATCAAGACCGAGTCCATTCGTGTATGGCGCTCTGCCAGTGGCAATCATGGCAGCATCTACGTATAAGGTATCAACTGGTTCTTTCGATCCTGCATCAATAAGCTCGATGACGACTGGCTTCTCACCCGGAATCCCCGGAGTGACTTTGGACGCAAAGACGTTAGTGTGATAGTCAATAGGACGGGGGTTAATTAGCAGTCTTTGAGCAAGACGAGATATTTCCGGGTCAAAACCAGGCATCAAGTTGGGCAGAGCCTCGACAAAGGTAACGTTTGAACCAAGAGCCGTGTATACGTCGGAGAACTCGAGACCGATGTAGCCAGAACCAACAATGGCGACCCAGTCCGGAACCCATTCCATCTTGAGTGCGCCATCGGAGGTGAACACAGTCTTGTTGTCAATCTCAATGCCCCTCGGCACAAACGGGGTGCTTCCCGGGGCAAGAATGATATCCTTCGCCGTATACGTACTCCCATTTGACCCGCTGATGCTTTGCGGGCCCGTCAGGGTCGCTCTGGCATTGATAATCTCTACACCAAGCGAAGTCAATGAGTTAGCCATGTTGCTCTTCACCTTTGACGCCAACCCAGTAGCGTGGTCGGCAACCCCCTGTCTGTCATACTCGACGTCCGACAACGAAATTCCCATGGCGCGCAAATGATCAGCGTCCTTCATTTCGCGAACGCGACCGGCAGCAGCGAGCAGTGCCTTTGAGGGGACGCATCCGCGATTGACGCAAGTTCCTCCAACGTCTGCAGCTTCAAATATAACGACCTTTAGACCCTTAGATACTGCATGGAGAGCCGCGCCGTGGCCACCGACTCCAGCTCCAATGACAGCGAGATCATAGTCAAACGATGCTCGAATTTGCACCGGGGCCGACCGATGCACAGTAGGGGAGAGACGGGATGCTCGTCTTGATGGCGAGCGCAGCAATGCGCGACGGAGAGATGACTTATGACTTGACGCGTAGGGTGCGAAGTGGGCGACCGGTAATGAGGGGACGAAAGCCATGAAGATTCAAACGAGCTGTTAGGGTACGGATCTTGTCTATCGATCCCGTGCTGTCGAGTTGTGCGAGTTCGATATGTAGTTGGTGTCTACGGTAACAGGTCTTGGAATGATAAAACGATGAACTGAAGGATGAGGACAATGCAGCGAAACAGAGCCTCGGACGGATGTTGATCCTCGGCATTACATGAACAGGGCCTCAATTGTGTGGCTATGGATCGCGATCCGTTTTCCCACGGCGCATTTCCTTGAATTTCCATTTCTTTTGGCACAGTACCAACACGATTGAGGGCAATCATAATCACCAACTCAATCTCCCGACTCTACGGTGGCAGGCACATCCCTGAGCAACTTAGCATGCTCGCGCTGTCGATGGCCCTGGAGCGTCACGCCTCTACTGACGAAGTTACCTTCGAAGCACTTCCCTTCTAGACCTCATCATCCCCAGGAACAGATGATCTAGGGGACTCCGTCTCCAGTAGGTTTTCAAGCATTCGCAACTGCACAACAATTTGATCACGAGCAAAGATGTGTCTGGTACAGCAAATTCTTCCGTGAATACCGCATACACGTATTTGAATCGTTACATGCTCCTTCCTCAAAAAGAGCTGTCCTCAAAAACTTGGTCGCTTTAGAAACGGCCAGGATCAGTATTCCTACGGTAGTTCCTGCAAACCTTCAACCGCCAAACTCATGCCGGGTATCTCAAACCTACATCAGCCCAATTACTCGTCCCGTCTTTAGATCTACGTCAATATTGTAATAGGCCGGTCGCGTGGGAAGACCCGGCATCGTTTGAATAGTCCCACAGATGGCAAGTACAAACCCTGCGCCGGCGCTTAACCTCACCTCACGCACCGGAAGCGTGAACCCAGTAGGAGCACCTTTCAAATTTGCGTCTGCAGAAAAACTGTACTGCGTTTTAGCGATGCAAATTGGCATTTTCCCGAATCCTCTTGCCTGATACATCTCGAGGCGGCGGGTCGCATTTTCAGAAAACTCAACCCCACTCGCACCGTACACTTTCGTCGCGATTACTTCAATTTTTTCACGTAACGGCATTGCGTCTTCGTACAGAAACTGGAATTCGTTTTTGGCTTCAGATGTTGCCGCTATGACTGCCTCTCCGAAAGCAACTGCTCCCTTTCCTCCTTCCTCCCAGTGGTTAGAAACAACTGCATCGTAAGCTCCAGCTTCTTTGGACATCTTAACAATGGTATCAAGTTCCTTTCCAGAATCCGTTCTGAAACGATTACAGCAAACAACAACTGGAACCTTGTATAAATTCGCATGCTCTATGTGTCTTCTTAGATTCTCAAAGCCTTTAGAAACCAGTTCGACATGCTCTGAAGTGTACACATCAGGGAGGGCCGTTCCAGCGATAACTGGAGGACCTCCTCCGTGCATCTTAAGGGCACGGACAGTGGCAACCAACACAATTACAGAAGGCCTTAGTCCACCCAGCCTGCATTTCAGGTGGACGAACTTTTCTAGACCTATTTCCGATCCGAAACCGGCTTCCGTGACAACAAACCCGTCTGGACCAACAAGTTTTAAAGCCACTTGATCAGCCACAACTGAGGAGTTCCCAGATGCGATGTTGGCAAATGGACCGGCATGCACAAAGGTAGGTGTTCCTTCAAGGGTTTGAAGCAAGTTTGGCTTCAAAGCGTCCTTCATTAGGACTGTCAATGCACCGCCAATACCAAGATCATCTGCTGTGATGAGTTCGTCCGCAGACTTTGATTCCCCAATCACGATGCGACCAAGCCGTGATCTCAGGTCTGCAAGGCTAGTTGTAAGCGCGAGAATGGCCATAATTTCCGAAGCAACGCTGATATCAAATTTCGTCTCCCTCACCATGCCTTTTTCCGTGCGAGCTTTGCCAACGTCGATGCATCTAAGAAACCTGTCATTCACATCCACTACTCGGTTCCATTGGACAGAGTCAGGGTCGATGTCTAACCTTACGAATCGCAATATTTCCTCCTCAGTAAGGTCTGCTGGGTTGTTCTTGTTGATGCCAAGCTTTTCTAGACGAGGAAACATTCCGCGACAGAATTTACGAGAGCCATCCTTCGGATCTGGAGGACAAAGCCTGCGGAACAACGCTTCATTCGTCTGTGTGTTTTCGTGGTACATTCTCGTCTCTATCGCAGCAGCTAGTAGGTTCGTCGCTGCAGATATGGCATGAATGTCGCCAGTGAGATGCAAATTGAAGTCCTCCATCGGCAGTACCTGGCTCCAGCCTCCACCAGCAGCACCCCCCTTGATCCCAAATGTGGGACCTTGGCTAGGCTGGCGAATGCATGTGAAGACGTTTTTTTCCAAGTGAGCGCCGAGCGCCTGACTAACCCCCACTGTTGAAGTACTCTTTCCCTCTCCCAAAGAAGTAGGATTCATTCCTGCTACAATGCATAGCTTTCCATCTGGTGCGTTGGAAAGCCTTTCCAAGACCGATAACGAAACTTTGGCCTTCGTGTTTCCATACAGTTCCAGCTCCTCAGAAAGGATCCCTGCACTGTCCGCGATATCACATATCGGTTGAATCGAAACACTTTGAGCAATTTCAATGTCTGAAGGTACAGGAGTTGTAGTAACAAGCTTCCGTGCCGTCCCTACCATGGCTGCCGATAAGGAGAATGCTCGGAAAAACAGTCCTTTAATTCCAGTTGGCCGCAAAAAGGGCAATAGCATCGGACCACCTGCTACTGTAGGGTGCATGGAAGTTGGCAATGTTTTTCATAAACACGTCTAAAAGCAACTAAACCGATTTGAAAATGGACGGCTGGTAGTCTTCTAACACAATTTAGGAGCTCAATGGATGGATCAATCCTAAAAAAAATCTCACTCTCGTTTTGCCCCGCTAATGGATGTCGTATCATTCACCTCCCATCTCTCCATACCCCGCCAGTTATGCACATCGTCGCGTTCGCGTCGTTCGTGCGGCTTCCTTCAACGCAGCGGCGACCACGTCCGTCCACCCGACAACCTCCCTTCCTCAGTACACGTCGAGCACCTCGCACTTTTGTACGTCTCTGTCCAGGTCCAAACAATACTACACTGCTGCAAACCTCTATTACAACCTTCTCTTCTCGACCGCGCTCCCCAGCCGACACCCCACGCACCCTCGACCTCCATGCCGTTATTCACATTGCAGACCCCACCTACTACTCAAACCTCCAGCATGAACTCTCAAACACTTCAGCACCATTGGACGGCGCAGTGCTCTACGAGCTAATCCTCCCATCTTCATTTTCCTACCCAACTCAAGTACACGGTCTCCGCGAGGTACGAGCGCCCGTGCGTGCCCCTCTGGACGACACGCGTAGGGCTCATCGAATGCGTGCAGTCGCGCAAGCGGATGCATTTAATCCATGCATCCCAAGGTGGTACTTGGCGGACCTATCGTCGGAGAAGGTTAAATCTCTAACCAAGCAACACTCCCCGCGACAGCCAGCACCCGATCCGCTTCGCCTCATTGCTGCTTTCCTTCCCTGTCCAGAGCTGTTTGCAGGTGCTGTTGCAGTTCCAAGCCGTGGCGCAGGCTTGCTTGTGCGCGCTTTAGCTGCGGGAGATGTAGCCACCGCAAGGCGTATCGCCTTTGCGCGAAAGGCGGTAGCGTCAACAGCTTCAAGGGCGTTCGCTTCTGCCGATGCCGTTACCGCAGCGAGGGACGCGGCTGCCATGTCTGCAGTCAAAGCTGCGGGGAAGGCTGGTGCAAGACATGTCGCACTTATTTATGGAGCATGGCATGCTGGGCATTTGTGCAGACGGTCGGAGAATGAGCTCGGAATGGACTTTGTTCGGACTAGATGGCGAACAGCCATGGTGCTACCAACGAAGAAAGGTAATACAACTGCGCTTGTGGTGGGGTGTGTTGTTGCTGCAGCATATTTTTGTTACGCAGGCTTGGATTGGGTTCTTACAATTGAATCAGTAGTTCGAACGCTGGAAGAGGGATTTGATGTTGATGTAGACGTCACCGTGAGGGTTTTAAATATGATTGGATGGTACACGGTGAGGCATCTTCTCCCTTACGTAGGCTTTCAGCGCTGGTTCGACGTAGGTGAAGGAGAGTAATGTGGCTCGCAATTGCGAGGGTTAGTAAATAGTGGACAATGCCATTAAAAGGTTAATCGCGGCGTTCTTGAAGAACAGCTGAACCATGTGCAACTAAGCTATTTTCTCATGTTATCTCGTTCGTCAACTATCGAGCTCTCTCAAACTGCACGAGGGCTTCTCTGTCGGAACAGAGCTGTTTGTCAACAGCGATATCGGGCTTAGGGTCTAGCTCAGCACATATCTTCACCAAGAGAACAGCCCTAGAATTCACTCGTGCACCGCGTTCTGTAAATAGCCATCCCTACAAATTGAAGCCTCCTGCCACCGCCAACGATGAAACAGCCTATGTTTAAAAAGGAGGGTGTGTCGCCAATTCGTCGTGGATGAAAAAGGAAGCAGCGCTAAACTCTTCGAGTAGCGGACAACTCGGTGTACTAGAGTTATCACAACCACTCGCACCTGCCCGGATGAAGTTTCGGGACACCAGTGACAGAAGAATATCCATCCTCTGAAGTTGTACGCTGCACAGGACAGGACGATGATAATGACGTCAACTACATAGTCTGACGGATGAACGGCTTTGAAAATATCAGTCATCGAGGCCCCTACTGTATTCTGCTTTTCTTTCGTCTGGATGTTCTGTTCTCTCATTCCTTCGCATATCATTAGTTCGCTCTCAGTTAGAAGACTAAAACCCCCCGAACGGCCCCGAAAAAAGTGTCACGCAACTCCGGCATAGGGTTATTATAGAAGAGGCCAACAGGATCTCCGAGTCAGAACATGAACGGCCTTCGTCAGACTACACTTCAGGAGTTCTTTAAACGATGTATTTTGCATCCCGAACATGGAATACCGCAGGAAGCATGTCCACTGAGGTGCTACAATCATCGCGAGGCGACTGTACAGTACCGGTATCGTACTTACCGATCATATGATGAGAGCATCGAAATTCCATTGTATACTTGACCCTGACCCAGAGCACGTAATAATTCAATACTTCCTTACCCCTACCAGAGGACTCGAGCACTGATCCCTATCCATATTTGGTTGATCCAAGAGTCTTTTTCGGAAATGGGATGGAGCTGGCCTCTCGCGATACAGTAAATTACAGGATAAAGGACTGGCATGGTTTTGCATCGAGACGCCCTTGCCCTGAATACCATGCACCGCCAGTATACACTGCAAAGTCCAAAGAGAGAAACATTAGATTCCGTCAGAAATTTGGAAGCCAGAAAGGAACGACAAGACTTGTCGACCTTTTCGAGCGCAGGGTTCAACGCCTTGGCGATTTCAGCCTTCCATGCTTCCATCCAGAATGCACAGCGCCACTCTATCTTCGAATACTTCTCTCAGATTTATTCTCTTGCTTCTTTTTGTTACTGTTTGCATCTTGCTTTTCCTTCAATTGGTATTAGAAAGACCTAAGTGGGAAGGCCATGAAGCCGTTGTTTGCACCCTCATTCTGCTGTGCCGTAAAAAGTGCGAGTTATGCCTTTGAAGACTTTGCCAAACGATTCCCACACCCATGGAAAGAATGTCCATTGGGGCAGCTTTGTTCGATTGGGGAAAGGAGGCCTCTGTTCTGCAATGGCGAGCAGAGTCATGCCATTTGGGACATACTGCGTCGATTGATGAATAATGGGTTCCGAAATGTTCTCAAATTGCATCCTGCTGCCACCGTGAATTATATCTGGAACGATCCTGTCGTTGTATACTACGACTATGTCCTCACTAACGAATAAGTATATTTCATCGTTGAAACTGTCCAGGAGCGCTTTAAAAGGTCAATGGTTTTCGACGAAACGGGAACCCGGCAGATTTATTCTGGCCGTACCTCAGATACAGCATGGATTTATCTAACCGAAGACCCAAGATTTAACGTAATCGTGAACAAGCTGGCACCTCAATCCAGTTTTACTGCGAAAAGTGCAGAGCACATCAGCGTTAATCGATACCGAGCAGGCCAATACTTCAACCCACAACACCACTTTTTGCAAGAGGAGCAACTTTGAGCCTTTAAATTCAAGAACTGTCGATGGGCTTGTACTAATCTCTTTATTTGACTGATGTAAAGAAAGGTGGAGAGACGATGTTTGGAGGAAGTTCACTATGGATGAAGGATTGGCATACGAAGCCAATAATCCAGATCATTTTCGTGTTGTGCCTGAACGTAGAAGAGTGCTTGTGTGGTACAATATGCATCCTTACACAGAAAGGATTGATGATCGTACTATGCATGCAGAAGCTGCCGTTACTCAACGCGAGAAGAAAGGGGCTACAGTGTTCATTTGCAACTGCAATAACTCTCCGTCTGAGACGAAAGAGACTGAAAGTGTGGAGTCTATGGCAGTCAATCCATGTGATTGAGACGGTGAATCCCACAGCTGTGATGCAGAGCAGGCTGAAGAGTTGTAGTGCAATTAGTGCTTGGTATATTATTGTATTTCATCTCTCTTCTACAGCGTCAGGGCATCACCTTCTTGTAGATAGCATGACACAGGTTTGTCATGAAAGACAAAGTCTACATGCACATCGGAAGCACAGATATATGATGCCTTTATACGTACAAGATCTGAAGAATAGATCGTTCGAAGTCATCAACAGGCGTATTTTTATGTCTGTTGATCCTGTTCGAATGATATAGCCTTTGTCTTTATTTCGATGGCAATATAATATTTACCTCTACCTTATTTCCGTAGGGTGAAGGGGACAAGAGTTCCAGAGCAAACAACGCCATATCTTCCCGTCTTGAAATATATGAGAGATAATTCTATAGAAGTTGTTTGCAACTGCACTTACCGACAGTCTGCTGAAGAATTAAAATCCTTTTGCAAAATCGACACTTCGTTTCGAAAAACATGTACTTCATAAGCTGCTCTTATTCAGAGCATGTCGCCATCACGGGGGCACGAATTCAGTTCTTGGTGTATCGCAGGAATGTGCATCCATGCCCGAGGGAAATGATCAACGGGCCTTCATGACGCTCTCCCTGACTGCGCGGGCGAGCCTCCTCTCTTTCCTCTTGGTCTTGTTGCATTATTTGCTTCTTTTTCAAAGACGTGTAGAAGTTCAAGCGCGTCTTCCTAAGACTCCAGGCTGGCAGGATCAAACTCTCAGAGCTGCCGTTGTGACAATGGCAGACCCCACGTTTCAGCATTGTGCGCTTCAGCTGCTACAATCTACAAGAGACCAGGACTGGCGTCAGCCTATTATTCTCCTTGCGGTTGACTATGAAGATTTCGGATCTGACGTCACAGAGCGATTGGAGGCCTTAGGAGTGATCGTAATTCACACAAACCCAATATTTGACGTTTGGCTGCAGAGAGGCGTTGAAAACATTGACATATTCCGTTCGCTGCAGTCAACCAAGTTTCGAAAGATGGAGTTATTTCTTAACCCCATATTGCGAGCTTACGAGCGCCTTATTTTTATGGATGCCGACGGAATTGTCGACGCAAGTCTTGAACCTCTACTGACCGTTCCGTTTCCGGAAAATACAACTCTAATGATGAGGCAGAACGACATCTCACTAGGCAAAAAGGGGTTCTGGGGAAATGAAATAGCTGTGGAGATGCTGAGCGACAAACAACTTGAACTTCTGTCACAAAGGTTTCCAAATCGAGCAAAGACAGGAGGTTCGTGTTGGTTCATTGTGGATGTGAAGAAACTTCACTCACCTTCTCGAGTGGCTTCCAAAAGCATTGAGCTTCTATGCAATCTTCGTGCCGGGTTTCGATTCAACGATCAAACGCTGATAAGCTTACTGTTCTATGATTCCATTTCTCTTTTTCCGTGGTGCGTGTGGGACGAAGTACCTATTCTGAACGATCCGAAGCATTTGTCCGATTATTGCTCCAAGAACAAGCACCTCCAACGTTGGCTGAACGGGAAGCTCAAATTTATTTACAGGCACATGAGTGTAGAAGAAAAAAAGCAATGCTCTGCCCTACATTTAAGAAAGATAAAGAAAGCCCAGTATGTCGAGAGTAGGCGTGACGAGAGAAAAGGTACTGAATCAATTGTCAATTCCAAGTTTCTCGACGAAGAGATTGAAAAGAAGAATTGTATAGAGGCTTGGGAGCAATGGAAAAGTCGACTGCCCAAAGAATGAAGATTCCAACTCGTGGAACCAGACTGATACTTCACTCAAGAGGATATTGCAACATCGAGGCAGTTTGTATTCTTGTAAATATGGTTAAACATTTTGCTGCTGACATGCTTTTATGTAAGGACTCACCTCCTGAAGGCCCTTATTCATTTTCCAATGATAGAATCTTTGCTTGACAACAAGCAAACGCATGATAATGTTACGGAGCATGTTGGCATATAATTTCAGTTACAAATACCCAATGCTGTGTTGAGTCAACCACTGCTTGTGCTTTGCGCGTATGGGAGAGATGACGTCTTGGAATCATTGTTTCAACTCTTTTCTTCGGAGAAACTCTTTCCTCTTGCAAGGCATCTCGGAGCTACGGTGGGAAGTGCACGGGAGACAAGGATAGAGTAAATGCATACAGTTGTAGAAGGTTTTGATAGTCACGACTACACAACAATGGCATTGAACACACCATGCGCACCGGCAGCGATAGATGCGCACGCCCCAGAGATAAATCGCACAGGTGCGGTGAGAGTAGCTGTATGAACGCTTGTATGCATGCGCGAAGCGGAAGAGGGATGCCATTTTGGGTGGTCGCTGGCCAAATTTCTGGAATTTTGTAAGATGTAAAATCCTTTTTTCGAGGTACAGTGCGTGCACGTCTACGGAACTTGTACGTACAGGGGGGGGACTAGCATTAGTGCCGCTTTTGTTTGTGCCACCCTCCCATTAGTGCAGGCCCAGACGCCGAACACGAAAAGTGCCACGTGTCATACGGTTCCGGCTGTTATGGTGCCGTCCGTACGCGTCAAACATGTAAAAGCCGCTTTTTAGTCCGATCCCCCTCACGCCACCGAACATCGTTCACGGATCTTAGCTTGTACTCGGCAGGGCCTCCTTTAAGACAGCATGGACGGTTCCAGAAAAGACCAAAGCGACACGCAAGCGCCTGACCATATCGCAGAAGCTCGAAATCGCAGATCTGCTCAACAATGGACACCGTGCACCC